AGAAAGAAACGTAAAAAAAACGACGGTTTTAGCGCCGCGACCACGCCGAAACCCGCAGAGGGTTGTCCGCGCAAATCAAGAAACGTAAAAAAACGACGGTTTTAGCACCGCGACCACGCGGAAACCCGCAGAGGGTTGCAATCCCGATTGGCGATGTCAACCCAGCCCGCCGCCTTAGAAAGAGTAATTTTAATTATAATTTAAAAATCTAGGACTGGGTACGAAGGTCTACTAAGTTCTACGTAAATCTCGCAATTTCTAGAAACTTCTACTTCGCTTTATGCAATTCACTCTATGCAATTCACTCTATGCACTTCACTCTATGCACTTCACTCTATGCACTTCACTCTATGCAATTCACTCTATGCACTTCACTCTATGCACTTCACTCTATGCACTTGACTCTATGCACTTCACTCCATGCACTTCACTCTATGCACTTGACTCTATGCACTTCACTCTATGCACTTGACTCTATGCACTTCACTCTATGCACTTCACTCTATGCACTTCACACTATGCACTTGACTCTATGCACTTGACTCTATGCACTTCACACTATGCACTTCACTCTATGCACTTCACTCTACGCGCTTCACTCTATGCACTTCACTCTATGCACTTGACTCTATGTACTTCACTCTATGTTGTTGGGTCAGAGGGCTCCGCACGGAAGAGCCCTTCGCGATGCTTTCGGGAAAACATGCACGTTTACGCAGAGCAAGGTTGAAAAACCATCTGCAAGCAAAAATCCTTTGCTGTTTTTGTTACTCTTTGTTTCCCACGCCCGCCGCGCTTGCGGGCTTGCGCCGCGTGAGGGGCGGTCGCGGCGGTCGCTGTCGCATGGGGACCGAGGGACGATGAGGGACGCCTCCTGTGTTGACGGGGCCCTTGGCCACACGTCGCAGCACAGGATAGCACTAATTTGCGGGGACGTCCCATGCACACCTCCAAGTCGAGTGCCCTCGCAGTCGGCTGGCGACACGAGCCAGGCTTGCTCGAACAACTTCACCATCTTCGCCCACCTAGCTAAACAAACCGGTGTGGGTGCGACTGCAAGCACCCGGGCCCCCTTGCAAGGGCAAGTCGGCGCAAATGTGTCAGCAGCACGTCTGGAGGGGAGGTGCACCGTCGCCGCCGCCTTCGGCCCGATTGGGAGTGCAGCATGGTGGAACCCAAACAGCCAACAAAGCAGGGCGCTGGACATGAACCCATGAACAAGTCTGGGAAGCCGCATACTGCACAATAGCGCAGCACCCGGCCTTTGCTGCAGCCCAGCGGCGCTTGCAAAATGGCACGGCCATATTCGTTTACCTCGACGACATCTATGTCATAGCCGCGCCTGATTCGTTTCTGCAAGACGCCTTCAAGGAGGAAGGGATCAAGCTCAACAGGGGCAGAAGGCGCATTTGGAATGCCGCTGGCGAGGCACCATCCGGCACCTCTCACTTGCAAGGGGCGGACGGGGAGCCGGTCGGGGATTGGTCGTTGCAGTGTGACCAGCAAGGCTTCAAAGTCTTCGGCATGCCCCCTGGCACGCCCTGTGGCGCGGACGCCCTCGTCGGTGTGCTGAGCACGGTGTTTGCTGCGCAGCAACCCCACGGTGCCGGACCTCCAGGCTGCGTGCATCATTGCGCCGTCCCGCAGGTTTGTTGCCAGGTTTTCGCGTCACCCTCAGAAGTAGGGAGCCGTGGGCAGGTGCCATTTTGTTCACATTCGGGCTGTGGGGTGTTTCTCCCAGACGTGGTTTTACCCGCAGTCCGGAGTGTAACTTCAGATGGCGAATGCTTCTTGGCGAATGACCTGTTGCGCAACGTGCCCCCAGCGCTCACCGCCCATAATGCCGCCGACCACGATGCTGGCATTGCTGCAAGCTTGGCCGCGTTGGTGGACCAGGCCGCTGCTCGCTGAGACGTTGCCTGGGTTATCTCGTGGTCCGCCCCACTTGAGCTTGGACCAACCTCCGCGTGCTCCTTCTGCGACGGCTGCGTTTGCCGCTCCCCTTGGCGCCGCGCACCTGTCGTTGCCGAGGCCGCCTCGACCCGCTGGGCGACCACCGCTCAGCCTGTGCGACGTCCGGTGTGTTGGCGTCCAGAGCCCTCCCACTTGAGCACGTGGTCGCCCGCGTCTGCCGGGAGAGCGGCGCGCGCGTTGCACGCAACGTCAGGCTCGCTGACATGAACATCGATGTTCCTGTCAGCGACGCGCGTTGCATTGAGGTCGTCGCGAACGGCCTGCCCCTTTGGCACGGGGCGCAGCTCGCGATTGACGCAACCATCGTCAGTCCGGGCGCCGCGCACACCCGGGCGCGGCAGTCCAGGCCGCCGCTCCCCCGAGCTCGCGAGCGCGCGACGGGCGCGTCTCGTTGTTGTCGGGGTCGAGGTTGGCGGGCGCTTCGGTGCTGAAGCCGCCTCCTTCCTCCGCCACCTCGCGCGGCACCGTGCTGCCAGCCTCCCGCCGCCGCTCCGGGCCGCTGCCAGTGCCGGCTGGGTCCAGCGCTGGTCCGGCTTCCTCGCGGTCGCCGCCATGCACGCCTATGCGGCCTCCCTCCTGGAGCTGCCGCCTGGGGGTGACCTATGCGATGCGGGAGAGGCGCCCGACCTGCACGAGGTCCTCGCTGAGGTCCGGCACCACGCTACGCTGGAGTTCAGGGTAGGTGTCGCGCTGTTTCTGCTGCATCGCCACTCAGATGGTGGGTGGTGGCAGGGCGGGAGTTAGCCCCCAGGCCATGAATGTGGTGTCAGCTGCCCATGCCATGAGGTCACACCGATGCAGACTTTCGATGCGGCGTGCGTCGTGGACGGGCGTGAGCAGGTTCATGTCCGCCAGCCCCACGTTGCGCGCCACCAGCGTCGAGCCCAAGCGGTAGCCGTGGCATGTCGGAGAGAAGGGCGCGTGCGGAGGCGAACAAGATCACGAACGAGAGCCCGGGCTCCCGTGCCCCAACGGCCTCCCACTTCCGAGCCGAGTACGATGAGGCGCTGGCGACCGTTGCGCAGCAGCTCCGGGTATGTCGGAGCTGTGGGCAGCGAGTGCAGCCCCATCTTGATCCACTGAATACACGGGAGAAGCCAATGTCGTGTCACTGCACAGTGCCCCCCCCAAGGGGTGACACCGCAGATGACCATGTCAAGTTGGCGGCGGTCATCCGGTGCCACACACGGTGCCACTGCGGAACGACCGCTCTTCAGGCCCGATTTCGTCGCGTGCCGAGCAGACCCAGGCATGCTCTTTGACCGTCAGAGTGCCTCGAAAAGCAGCTCACGTTTTTTTTTCTCCACGTCTCTTGTCTTGCATCCCACTTCGCAGTCCCACGGAAGTAGCCCGAGGCCACGCTCCACCTACGGATGCGTAAAAAGGGGCTGCACTGCTGAGTCAGCAAAAAAAAGTCAGCAACGATGTCGAGGCGATTCTCCATCAACGTTTGCTGTGCCGGAGATGGGAAGGAAAGGAGGCTGGCTGCAAAACAGCAGGCGGCTGCAAAGGCGAGGGTCGCCGACCAGCGCAACGCAAACGCGGAAGTGCAAGCTGCCCGTGACGCAGCAGGGGCAGCTCGGGCCCGGCATCGAGCAAGCAGCAAACAGGCGGCCTGGCGACTCCAGCGCCCGCCAACCGAGGACGACGAGCCAACAGCGACGGCCGGACGCAAGCTCGTGTAGGGCCTACACATGCCTGCGCGGTTGGCTATGTCATGCTGCCGGTGCATGCCGGTGCCTGCGATCAGCGCGACGTCCGGGTTTTTGCCATCCCAGCGTCCGTAATTCGCTTTCCGCCGCTGTCGCAAACCGCCGCATGCCAATACCGTCCAGCCTGTAGGGTGTGTGCCGATCTCCGTGTCATCTTGGTGCTGCGTGTGCAACTCTCGTCCACTCGTCCGTTCCGCCAGGTGCCGCTGCCGGGCGTGCCTGGATGTCTATGGTGACCACCCCGCAGCCTGCCCCCCGAGCAGGCTTCCTGCGCTGCAGTGCCGTGAAGCCATCCTTAGCCGCGAGCTCAACGTCGTCGCTGCCCACTACGACGACCGCCGCCTAAGGGTCATCGCCAATGGCTTGCCGTTGTGGGGCGGTGTCCAGCTTGCACACAACCATGGTTTCCCTACTGGACACCCGTGGCCGCCCCTGCCCGTGCTGCGCGGTGCCTGTGTCGCAGCAGGCCAAGGCGTTCGCAGCGACGCTGCTCAGTCTTCCGCTGCATGGCGCGGCCAACGTCCGAGCTGCGAGCTCTTCAATGAGGATCGTTTCCTCGACTCGTGCCGGGGGGGGGGGGGGGGGGGACGGTGGGGGATACAGGAGGACCGTCCCCTCTGACAAACGCAAAAAGGCGCAAAAAACCAAGTTTCCAACATAGTTCCATCGTTCCAACCTGCGTGAAACATCTCGCGTGCTGCAGGGCTCGTGCCGAGGCGTTGCCCGATCGTGCGTCTGTCCTATACGTTCCGCTCTCGCGACGCACTGGCATGCCCCGGTGTTCTTTCCTCCAGCATCTTGGCCAACCGTGTCAGTGTCTTTTTTTTTGGCGTCCGCACCTTTTTCCGGTCACGCTTTTCTTTGTCCTTACCTGCAGCAAAAGCCGGGGAGCCAGTCGTTGCCAGTACGGCCTTGCGCGAGACTTCAACTTGGACTTCTTCGCCAAGGACGCCCGACGAGTCGACGAGCTCCCGGAACTTCGTGGCCGATTCCGCCTTTGCATGGCGTGGCCTTTTCTCGGGACGAAGGTCGGCGACCGCTTTGGAGCCGGCGCGCGTTCGGTTTCCTTGCTCGCACGCAGAGCCGCGGCGCAGCCTTGGAGATCTGGCCGCTTTGAACCCACGGTGCCACACTGCTGGAGCTTCTGGCCGGTTCGTTCCTTAACGCATCGTGGGTAGTGCACGTGTTGCACTTGTAAGAAGGCTGGACGCATACTGTGCACTAGCGCAAGCTTCATTGAGATTCACGCGGTCGCTATTTCGGAAGCGGGTCATTGTAGCACGCACCGCCCCTGCGGGGGCGGTTGCGCTGGCCATGGCACGGGCATGGTACCGGCCTCAACATGGTTGATCGCAAATAGACAAAGTCCCCTGAAGATCCGTCAATGCTTGTTGAAGCTACCGCCAGGCCATTCGCTGCCTTGTGGCGGCAGGCAGTGGATCAAGTTGAAGTATCGTTGTGGTGTGGCAGTCGGCTCTTGTTGGCAAGGCAGTTGGGTATGCATTTGCTATCGCGCTGGTTTTAGAGCGCGCGGATCTGAATGTAGTTTGGAGGCGTCGAAATGCAATCCTCTTGCAGCATTGTGCTTAGTTTTTCGAGGCTTTCCGACATGCACCCAAGCAGTCGCTTTGAGAACAGAGGCCTGGCATGAATAGGCAGGACGACGAATGCCAGTATCAGTGTGTCGCGCAAGGCACAGATGATGGGCAACAATCCTGTGAAGAAGATCATTGACATGCTGGAAACGATGCGAAACAAGGTTGGCGCACCTATTGCTTGAAAATGCTTGAAAGTTGAGTTGTTCACGCGATTGCGCAAGGTGCAGGAGGAGGGTGAGGAAAAGTCCAAGGTTTTTGAGAAGTGGGCATCGGATCGTTTTGCAAGTTTGGCAATTTGGCCAAAACCTACCCCCATGTCAATGTTCACCAACCTTTGCTCAGGTACATGTGCTATTGCAAGTCCAGCGCAGCGAAGTTAAATTCGGAGCTTGATCAGGCTGCCGTTCGTTGATTGCACTGTGGGTTCGATGATCGGGGCTGGCTGGATGCTCTGCAGGCCGCAACAGGTTTACCCCAACTCCGGTCCCGAGTTCGGGAGGTCACCAGCTCAAAGCTCCACATAATCTTGTGGTGTGGGAGTGAAGAGTGGGAGAGGACTGGATGCCGGTGATGCAAAGCGATCCCTGGCCAAGCCCACGAGGTCATCGCTTTGCAAGCAACATTGGAATCCGAAGTGTCGCAGCACAAGAAGGATCAGCATACGGTTCTCACCCAGAAGCATTGGACACACTTTACCGCGCTTGGGACAGCAGGATCGGGACGAAGCCAACAATGCGATGGCCAGTGCATCCGCCCTGCGCAAGAAGGCCGTGCAGACGGTTGCTTGTTGTTTGGAGTTTGACTTGGTTGCGTCGTGGCGTCGTCGCTGGAATAAGGAGTCGGAGGCGTATCTGAAGGACGCTTTGTCCATGCTAAGCGTTGCCAAGCTGTGCTCGGCTACTAGGCCTGAGTCCGTCATGGCCTTGTTGCAGGAGTCTACAAGTGAGAAGCAGACGTTAGATTCAGTCACAGAGGTTGCAATCTTGGTTTGGACAATGCACGCGTCACCGTTTCACGTGGGTTGATTTCATGCCTCAGGCCATCAAGGCACTGGAGAAGGGCCAGGGCCAGTCTTTCCTCCAGACCCAGCAGGCTTTGGCATTGCAAAGGCCGGCAGCATGTGCAAGACAGCCGCATAAGTGAGACCATGGAAGAATTGTAAGAAAGGTTATCCATGTCAGCTGCTAGGGCCCCAACTTTTTGGCTTGAGGATGCATACAATTCATCACGTTTTCCACGACCTGCTTGGTTCCAAGGACATGACAACTGAGCACCGGGACTTATTATCTGCTTTCCTAGCAGGCCGACGTCTTCATGCCCCCTGTCCGCATGGAGCTTTCGTAGAATGTTTATCTTGAGGTGAGCAGCAGCCTTCCAGCAGCCGCATTGTGGGCATGCTCAAGCAGATGAAGGAGGCTTCGGCAACTTATGTAGTAAGAGGGAACGATGAGCGAGGGATGCTGTACTTGTGTTGGAGGAGATTGCCAACGATGTCAGTGAGTTGGTGGAGATGGAAAAGCAACGGCTGGCAGAGCTTGATACCCAATTGCTCGCTCACTTGTACTATGTACTTTTGGGATACACTTGCTCTCGACTTTGTTTGTTTGTTTGTTTGTTTGTTTGTTTGTTTGTTTGTTTGTTTGTTTGTTTGTTTGTTTGTTTGTTTGTTTGTTTGTTTGTTTGTTTGTTTGTTTGTTTGTTTGTTTGTTTGTTTGTTTGTTTGTTTGTTTGTGTGTTTGTTTGTTTGTTTGCTTGTTTGTTTGTTTGTTTGTTTTTTGTTTGTTTGTTTGTTTGTGTTTGTTTGTTGTTTGTGTGTTGTTTGTTGTTTGTTGTTTGTTGTTTGTTGTTTGGTGTTTGTTGTTTGTTGTTTGTTGTTTGTTGTTTGTTGTTTGTTGTTTGTTGTTTGTTGTTTGGTGTTTGTTGTTTGTTGTTTGTTGTTTGTTGTTTGTTGTTTGTTGTTTGTTGTTTGTTGTTTGTTGTTTGTTGTTTGTTTTTTGTTGTTTGTTGTTTGTTGTTTGTTGTTTGTTGTTTGTTGTTTGTTGTTTGTTGTTTGTTGTTTGTTGTTTGTTGTTTGTTGTTTGTTGTTTGTTGTTTGTTGTTTGTTGTGTGTTGTGTGTTGTTTGTTGTTTGTTGTTTGTTGTTTGTTGTTTGTTGTTTGTTGTTTGTTGTTTGTTGTTTGTTGCTTGTTGGTTGTTGCTTGTTGGTTGTTGCTTGTTGGTTGTTGCTTGTTGCTTGTTGCTTGTTGCTTGTTGCTTGTTGTTTGTTGTGTGTTGTTTGTTGTGTGTTGTGTGTTGTTTGTTGTTTGTTGTTTGTTGTTTGTTGTTTGTTGTTTGTTGTTTGTTGTTTGTTGTTTTTTGTTTGTTGTTGTTGTGGTTGTGGTTGTGGTGGTTGTTGTTGTTGTTGTTGTTGTTGTTGTTGTTGTTGTTGTTGTTGTTGTTGTTGTTGTTGTTGTTGTTGTTGTTGTTGTTGTTGTTGTGGTTGGTTTGTTTGTTTGTTTGGTTGTTTGTTTGTTTGTTTGTTTGTTGGCTCGTTGGCTTGGTTTTGTTTTTTTGTTTGTTTGTTTGTTGTTTTGTTGTTTGTTTGTTTGTTTGTTTGTTTGTTTGTTTTGTTTGTTGTTTGTTTGTTGTTTGTTGTTTTGTTTGTTTTGTTTTGTTTGTTGTTGTTTGTTGTTTGTTTGTTTGTTTTGTTTGTTTGTTTGTTTGTTTGTTTGTTTGTTGTTGTTTTTGTTGTTTTGTTGGTTTGTTTGTTGTTTGTTTTGTTTGTTGTTTGTTTTGTTTGTTTGTTTGTTTGTTGTTTTTGTTTGTTTGTTGTTTGGTTGGTTGTTTGTTTGTTTGTTTGTTTGTTTGTTTGTTTGTTTGTTGTTTGTTGTTTGTTGTTTGTTTGTGTGGTTGTTGTTTGTTGTTTGTTTTTGTTTGTTTGTTTGTTTTTGTTTGTTTGTTGTTTGTTTGTTTTGTTTGTTTGTTTGTTTGTTTGTTTGTTTGTTGTTTTTGTTTGTTTGTTTGTTTGTTTGTTGTTTGTTTGTTGTTTTTTGTTGTTTGTTTGTTTTTTTGTTTTTTGTTTTGTTTGTTTTGTTTGTTTGTTGTTTGTTTGTTTTTTGTTTGTTGTTTGTTTTGTTTTGTTTGTTTGTTTGTTTGTTTGTTGTTTGTTTGTTTGTTTGTTTTGTTTTTTGTTTGTTTTGTTTGTTTGTTGATTTTGTTTGTTGTTTGTTTGTTGTTTGTTTGTTTGTTTGGTTGTTGTTTGTGTTGTTTGTTTTTGTGGTTGTTGGTGGTGTGCGTGGGTGTGTGTGTGTGTGGTGTGGTGTGTGAGTGTGTGTGTGTGTGTGCGGGCGGCGCGCGCGCGCGCGGGGGGGGTGTGTGTATGATGTTTTTTTGGGTTGTGTGTGTGTGTGTGTGGCGTTTGTGTGCGTGTGCTGCGTGTTCGTGCGTGTGCGTGCGTGTGCGTGCGTGTGCGTTGCTGGCGTGCGTGTGCGTGCTGTGCGGCGTGTGCTTGCGTGTGCGGGCGTGTGCGTGCGGAGGTGTGCGTTGTGCGTGTTGCGTGTGTGCGTGTGTTGCGTGTGTGCGTGTGTGCGTGTGTGCGTGTGTGCGTGTGTGCGTGTGTGCGGTGTTTGCGTGTGTGCGTGTGTGCGTTTGTGCGCCACAGTGTGCGCGTGTGCGCGTGTGCGCGTGTGCGCGGTGCGCGTGTGCGCGTGGTGCGCGTGTGCGCGGTGCGCGTGTGCGCGTGGGCGCTGTGTGCTCGTGTGCGCGTGGCGCGTTGCGCGTGTGCCTCGTGTGCGCGTGTGCGCGTGTGCGCGTCTGCGCCGTGTGCGTGTGTCAGCGTGTGTGCGTGTGGGTGCCGAGTGCGCGTGTTCCGTGTGTGCTTGGTGCGCGATGTGGCGTGTGGTGCGCGTGTGCGTTGTGGCGTGTGCGTTGTGCGTGTGCGAGGGTTCGTGTGCGTGGGCTGTGCACTGTGGTTGTGCGTGTGCGTGTGCGTGTGCGTGTGCGTGTGTGTGTGTGTGTGTGTGTGTGTGTGGGTGTGGGTGTGCGTATATGTGTGTGTGTGTGTGTGTGCGTGCGTGCGTGTGAGTTTTCTCGCATTACCCAGGCATGAGAGCCTGCTAGAAGCCAAGCAAAAAGAAGGCGAGGCAGCGATGAAAGCTATGGAAGAAAAGTGGCGGACTCAGCTAGGCTTTCGATTTGACTGTTGCGATTTCATTTGCCGGTTCCATCTGACCAGGATGTTGCGACTCGGTGAGCTCAAAGTCGAAGCTCAGATGGTGAAAGATGACATCCAGGACTGCTTCTTCGTCTTGGTTTTGTACAGGCTTGACCACCTCTGGACTAGCTGGCAAGGAGAAGGTGGATGGTCAAAAGGTGCCTGCGTTTCCGGCAACAGCAGACACGTACCAGTGGAATGTGTGTTGCAGTTGTCATCCGACGAGAGGAGAGCTCAGATTTCTTCCTTGATTTGAACCAGACCTGCGAAGCGAAGCAACAGGTTCATGCAATCATGCGACCTGTCAGCGACACATCGGATGAGTTTTTTCCAGGCTTGGAATGCCTACCAAGCCTCTCAAGCAGAGGAGATCCAGGCTTTAACAGAAACCGCCTCTTGGATTGCGATAGCGTTCGATGGACGACGGGCTGGACCGGTGGTAACCGGGTAACCTTTTGGAATCAGGTGGAGTTCTTGGAGGAGAACGATGTACAGCATGCGGTACGCGGTGCATTGACAAGTTCCTCCCTGGTGCAGAAGTTGAAGTCGAACCCCCAGATGATCTGAGTAAGCGTCGCAAAAGGAGGTGTGCACTGCTTAAGGACCCGTCCAGCGCCTGCCTTCTCTTGGCCCGATTCCGGCTTTTATGCAGCCCCTTGCCTATCAGATCAAAAACGAGATCGGTGGCTGAGAGCAAAGCCTACCTACGTGTTCGTGTATTCCGCATGTCGCAGGGGGGTCGGCTCAGCCTCCTGCAGCTCAGTGCTGGAAGTGCACGCGATCAGGCGCGATGTCTTTGCATCATGCACTGGGTTGGACAAGAGTGTTTTTGGCAATGACAAAAGCCAATCAGTGCAGCACTTCCTTTCAGTTTTCTTTCATGTTGCTTGCGAATTGGAGACCTGCCCGGTGAGCTCAGTGTGGCGGCGAGGCCTCTTATGGACGGACAGCAGACTATGCCTATGCCGAGATGGGTTTGCGCAACTGGGACACGATATGAGTTGCATTCGCAACCATTCCCGTCCAACCAATCACACCACTCCCCGGAGTCAGGCCAACTTTCTTTTCATAGTTGCTCGCTGCAGGTGGGGATCGGCCAAGCTTGGAAGTTGCCATTAACAAGATTGTGGCATCTTTGCGAGCAAGAAAAATTTCCATCCCATGTCTGCCTCAGATATACATGTGAGGGGCGAAAGTTCAGATGTTCTGATTGCAGCCAAGGATCTTCATGGTGTTCTTGATAAGGAGCAGGCATCTGACGAGGAGATCTCTTTTTTTGGCTCTGTTGCGCATGTTCCTACGAATCCTGCAAGCGGGTGGCCGTGATTGAGGACCGCAAGAAATACTGTGAAAAGAAGCTACGTCAGGCTTCCGTTTTCGCCCGAAGATATCGGAAGCCATCGTGTGGCATGAAAAACGCGGAGGCCGACTTGGCCCAGCAGAGCAAAGAACGCGAAATCCAGGAGCCCAGACATTGAAATCACCGGCCATTACGTCACGTGACACGGTTACGCCGTCACGTTTTGCATGACATCTTCAGCTCAGGATGCGGCGAGCATCATGGCAACTTACGAGGACTGCCATTCGCTTTTCTTCGCGGTGGTCATCATTTGCCGTTGCTTTGCCAGAACGAGCTGAGCACCGTGGTCGACGAGATTAAAGATATGGACAAAGGCATGAAGGACCTGCAGTGTGGCACGGTGAAATTTGAAAGGCTCGAAGCTAGAACGCCAAAGCAAATACGGAGGTTTTTAGTTTGGTGGTCCGACTCGAGGCTTGGGTTGCACATGGTCGAATGAATGCAATGTATCCCATGTACCGCTGCGTAAGTTGCATAAGATGAAAGCACGCGAAAGATGGTTCAGTGCCTCGATCGTGCAGCTTCGTGTGGTATGCTGAGACAGGAGCTTGATGCACAAGTGACAGAAGTTACAAACACGCGCAAGAGCGAGCACGAGGCATTTGTGTGGAGCTTACTCGTCGACTGGACGTGATGGCAACATCCCATGCGCCACCTGGGCTGAGGTCAAAGCACGGGATACAAACAATGAAGCCCCTTGCCTGCTTCAAGAAACAATTGCATTCCCCGTCTGACACGGGTGTGCTTGAAATTGCTTGAATGCGGGCCAGGCCCTTGAACTCCTGGATGTGGCAGCACAGCGCATCGAGCGGCCATTTTCTCAAGATCTGGCCATGCAGCGACCACCTGCAGCCAACTTGCGTTCTGCCTTGCAGGTTCTATTCACGCAGTTTCGTTCAGGCCGGGTGGTAGGTCGGCAGGATTGGAAGCGACTGCACGGCTGAATGCCTTGACAGCGCATGTCATAGACCTGGCTGGAAAGTCCGGCCCAGAATTCGAGTGGAAAAGGGTGCATGAGTTGCCTTGAGTGGCACCACGAGCAAGGTGCAGCACAACACAACATACGGGGCTTCGAGGCCCGCGAGCTGACTATTTTGCTTTCCCTGCCGCCATGGCTTCTGTATGATTCAGTGGCAGGATGAAGGGCGTCGTCGTGCTGTTGATTGTAAGTGTGCACCAGTCCACTCAACTGAATACAGGCTGGCAAGTTCCAAGGCTGTCCCAGAGGCCAGCTTGTGTGGGTCTCGAGTGTCTCTGGGCCTTTGCTGAAAAAGACGTTTCCAGGCCGACCTGACATATCGCAAGCAAGGCTCCGCCGCAGTTCTTTTTTCGCATGCCTGTCCAGCCCCATCGGGCCCAGGCGAGTCCTCGACTCGGCTCGTCATGCTTTTCAGCCGCATCAAGGCGAGAGTGCATCTTTTGGCCGTGCCATGTGAAAGCTAAAAATGATGGAAGGCAGACATCCAGAAGCAGACTGAGACCTTGGAGTCAGATGACAAGGTTGTCAAGCACCCAGCCGGCTCAGTCTTGGTGTGACGGGTGCAGGGGTGAGCGTTGCTGAGGGACAGGCGGAGTATGAGAACATCGTCAAGAACTCCAATCAGAAAAAGCTGATCAGCAACAAGAGCTTGGGGAGCAAGCAGGCTTTTCGACCCATTAGTTTCGCGTCAATGCCACAAGCATGCACAAGCCTCGCTGCGGAGCAGGCGGCCAAAGCAGAGCTTCAGGTCACACTCCAACGAAGTCCGAACCTAACAACAACACTGTGAACCCTGCTCGGTGTTGCCAGCCATGTCCCAGGTCGTGAGGAGTTGCGATCACAGAAACAGGTGCCGGGTCTGGAGTGTGTGAGCATGTGAGAACCATTTTGGTGGCAGAAGTGTTGAGTTCGGTGAGGCACTTCTTGCCGTGGAGGAGGAGCATGCACTTGTTGCCTGCAGAAGACTTCCTTGAGCCAGTTGGGATCTTGCGTGCATGTTGTTCTGCTGCAGGAGATCCGAGGTCTACATGCTGAATGCGATTTCCTGTTAAAGAGTTTTGCCTGAAAGTTCAAGCGGCCAGTTGGCTCCAATGCCCTTCAAGCGTGTGCGGGCGGGTGACTTAGGAATTTCGACATGCGACAGGATGCCCGAGCCCCGGGCGCATCAGATATTGGGGGTTTAAAGCGTTTCCGATGCACAGCCAAACGTCGCACGATCTTTGCTGACCGAAAGGCCCGGCAATCTGAGCACCGCTCTCTCACTCGTGCTAAAGCTACGCTTGAAGCAGCAAGTGAGAGCTGAGCCCGTGGCCGGAATGCTCAGCGTAGCAAAAGAGTGCTTCCTTCTACACGCTAGTTACTGCCACTTCATTGTGCATCACAGCCAATCATAGCTTTGACGTTCGCGGCCTTTTTGGTTTGTTGCTGTGCTTCTCTGCCCACTGAAGCCCCTAGATGTATTTTGATGTATTTTGTTAAAGTTGGAAAGGGCTGCATGTTGCCGTATCTGGTTGAATTGGAAAGCCGCCCCAAAAGAGAGCTGTAGCCTGGTAAGCCTGTTTGAAACACAGGTAATACAAGCTATTCAAGTTAAACGTTTGATACGTTTGCCAGTTGGGGATCATGTTAGAGCCGACGGGAAATCAGCATGATCTTCCACGGCCGTCGAAGGCTGAAAGGTGCCGGCTCTTCAGTTGACCACTGAGACCCGTGCGCAAATTACGTTTTGAAAGGCTGAAGACAGTCTTTGCCGCCCCGCTTCTTGGGCGGCATTGCTTAAGCTAGCGAGCGCTCCGAGCCGTGCCTTGTTGGGACATATTTCTCTTGTGAGACATGAGGTCGCAGGAGCTGGACAAGGATGGCCAACGTGGCAAACAAGCATGTTCCAGAGTCCGCCGCGCAGCGTCTGACTTCGCGGCATGGTTGGCGCAACCATACAATGTACCTGGGCTGCAGATTCAGTGCCCTTGGCTTTCCAAAGCCAGAGACAAATCAGGTGGACATTGAGATTCCTGATAGTGATGATGAAGACGATGGCAACAAAGAAGAGGGCAACAAAGAAGAGGCCAACAAGGCATGCCTCAGTTCTGCTGCCTTCAGTAGATCGCAGTAGGTCATGCTGGGGAAAACGAAGGAGCCCGTCCAAAAGCTGACAATGCGAGAGAAGCTGCTTGTCTGCACGCATGTCGTGTGGGGGGGGGGCCGTGGGTGGTTGTGAGGCACGCATTGAGTGGGCAAGTGGCGCTCAGAATTTCAGTGGCACGGGGTCATGTACAAGGCTGTACTTGTGTTTATGCTCAGCGCAGATTTTTCCTTCTACGCGAATTGCAGAATTTCACAGCCGGTACTCAAGGTTTCACAGCACATGTTCCGTAAGCCACGGACCTGGCCTGGTCGCTCTTGCAAGGCTAAGAAAATTGGTGACAAGCAATGGATTTGAGACACTTGTCCTGAACCCACTTTCTTTATTTTTCGATTTGACGGACGGGGTCTTCCTGGCAGTTTGATGTGGGGCTTCTGGATTGTATGGACTTTTTCCCCGCTTCAGGGCCATGAGTTGCATGTTGATCAGCATCAACTTGGTGTTCCTCGGTGTCCAGGCAGATTGAACTGGCCTCAGTTGGTTTGTGTGAGAGCTATGTTTGGATGTGTCGCGCTTTACTGGGCTTCATTGAGGCAACGAAGGTTGCAGTGACCTCACGATGGCCACGATTAGTGCTTTTGATGTGACGTGGCCTGCAATGTGTACGCCCTCATGCAGCAAGAGTGGCAGCAGCACCTCTTGCTTGTGAGGAGAGTTTCACTGCGCTCTTCCTTGTCGAGCCCCGCCTTGCAAATACACCAAAAACAAACCCAAACATGCAGACAGCAGTTGCCTCGAGTAGTTCACAGATCGATGCTTGTTTGTGTGCTTTCAGATAAGGAGTGGTTGTTTTATGTTGCGGCGCATGGGATAGACTATTTCAAAAGCGCTTCCAATTGGCTGGACACGTTTATTGTGTGGGTGGTTGGCGTCTTTCTCCTTTGGATTGCGCCGCTTGTCTTTGGTGCCGGAGGCTTGGCTGCTTTCCAGGCGCTTGGGGTTTGGAATGAACTCCTGCCATACAAGATCGTCTGTGGCTGCCCAGTTGCCCCCTTTGGCAGTTCTGCATGTCTAGCACAGTCAGACGAATCACCTTGGGAAGAAAGTCGTCCAGACTGTGCCCTTGCTCATGTAAAAGGTTTCGCTGGCCGTACGGCCTCATCAGTCAAAAGACGTCCTTGCCAGGCAATTCGAGCAATAAGAGGCATGCGCTCTTTGCGATATTTTCGCGTGCTCCGACACTTCCAGAGCTTCCGGATGCTGTTGACCGGTTTCTTGGGCACCATATTCACCCTGGCAGCAACTCGGGCATTCAGCAGCCATCCGCATACTGTGACAGACTCGACTTGGCAAGCTGTGTGCCCTCATAACGTGCATGTGTGCGAGGCATGTGTTGTGATGATTACCCTGACCGACCTGACGTTCGGCATCATCTCTGTGGATATCATAGGAGCAGCATGCAGGGAATGATAGTTTGTTGCAGTGGACCCTTAGGTGGACCCTAAGCCAGAAGATGACAACTTTGGAACGGTGAAGCGGCTCAATTGTGGCAGGACGAGATCCTGCCTGGGGCACTGCTCCTGAAGGAACTGCGGCCTGGTACTTTCAAAACGGTGTGATTCAAGCCAGTCTGACCATGTCCCGATTCATTTTCAGTGGCTTGGCTGCGTGAAGGTTGCGGCCACGCCTGAATGACTTAAAGGCTTCAGCTCAGACGGGGGGGAGCTTGCGAGAGATTTGCTGAGGCGACAACGCCGTAAATCTTATCGAGGAGTTGCAAGAGAAGCAGCCCTACATCTGGATATACTGCTTTGCATTTATGGCGATTGCGGCTTATGTCATCCTCAACCTTGTTACAGCTACTATCTGCCAGCTGGACTGAAGCAAAAAATAACTGAGAGAGGTATGACCTTGGCAGCCACGCCCAACAGCTTGTGTCCAAGTTTGCCCAAGGTGACAAGGCGCAGGCAATTGTGAACGAGAATGAGGCAGAAAGGCTGTTCGAGATGCGCATGGAGGAGAAGAGAAACATGAAGGACCTAAGGCTGCTGGACCATTGGATGGGTTGCATTCCCAGGGCTGTGACTACTGCTTTGCTCGGAGGCACATTTTCGAGGTTCTTGATGAAGACGGCAGCGGCCTGGTAACGACGGAGGAGTTTGACGCTGCCTTCGAGATACAACATTGCAGGCAGAACCTCGTGTGATGCGAGGAAAAGTTTGTGCAGCAAGTGTTGAATCCCTGAGGGATAAGTTCTTCCTGCTGGGCTTCGAGGAGGAGGCTTTCTATATGTTTGAAGTGGTTTTCTTGCGATTGGAAGCTGCATGAGGAAATGAAGCAACTTTTCAGAGTACTGGACGACGACGGTCAAGGTGAGTTGAGCGTCTCCGAAGCTGGGATGGCATTCAAGTGAGATGCAGTGCTTCGGAAATCAGCTGGTTGTTGTAGTGTCCGCAGTGTCTCTGTACTGAGAGCATCCGAGGAGTTCCTGAAGGGAATGGCCCAGGTGCAAGGACCAGAAGTGGTAGGTCTGATAGTAACCGCATGGTGTTCGGGCATTCCGTCACAGCCTTGACTCTTTGGGCACCAACAGCAAGCATTTAAGCCACTGGGCATGAGGAGATGCGGATTCAAAATCAATGCTGGTTGCCAGCAAGACCATGGAGAAGGTACTTTGGTTGCATGGGCACGCGCGCGAGACGGGGGACGGCTCGTCATGCTGAGTCATGCTGCACGCTACGCTTGCTCCTGTAAGGTCAAGGTTTCCTATGAGAAAGTGAGCGGAACAAAGGGAGGGACGGCTTCTGTGGAGCTCCGGCAATCCATGCGTGCCGAGCCGACGTTGGATGAGCAGCTGACCTCCTTGGTGTCTTGTCGCCATTGATTCAGCTGGCCTCTCTGCCCATACTTACCTCGAAGCATCGTGTCAACCAAGGAGACATATGCCATGACTCGCCTTGACCAAATTGAGAATGTACTCCGGTCATTTCATGCTAAAGCTGATACTTTCGAAAAGAAGCTGCAAACAATTCAAAGTTGGCCTCCACTTCCTACGGCTTCAAGCCCGGACTCTGGCAAAGCCAAGTCTAGAGAGGCTGAGCCGATGGAAGGTGAACATGAGAACGAAGAGGGTGAGGGCTGAGCGCGCCTCCCAAGAAGCAAACGATCGCATGAGCTCTTTTCGCTGAACGGTGTTGCTCACAGACTCACAGCTGTACTGGCCATGCTGGGTTTGCGCACCGAATTTGGGTTCAAGAGCTTTATGGCGGCTGCGGCTCCAGGCTTTGCCATGGCCGAGGAGGTTTCCAGCATCAGATGGAATAACTCGACTGAGTCAGTGCTCACAGCGCACACCGTGATCACACCAGCTACACTGTATGGTTGGAGGATGATGCGGCTGCACGGGCAAAGGCACCAAGTTTAGAAAAGGCAAGTCTGGGAGCCTCGATCTGCACAAGCAGAAATCTGAAGGATGCAGCCAACTTGGATGCCGCCGCAAAGGCAGCTTTGGATGCGCCCTCGGACAAGCTACGGCATAGCTCTCGCACGTGAGATTGTGTCATCGTGGTGCAGATGTCCTTTGCCAACTGTACAGCATCATTTCAGCTTGGCAAGGCATCCCTTCAGGGTGCAAACTTCTCAGGCAGAGGTCCTTCTGTGCGCCGGAGCTGTTCGTGCAGGAATCAGAATTGTCGGAATGTCCCTGCCAGGCGAGGATGGTGGAATCCAACAGAGACCTGCTCCTCAGGCAAGTTTGCCGTTTGCATAGGAGAAGTGCAGGCTCAGCTGACAGGCACCAGGCGGCAGCGAAAAGCAGGACCGACTGTTCGTGTCGAAGGCAGTTGAGCTTTTCAGTTTGCCGGGCGAAGGCCCGCAAAAGAAGCAGTGGCAGGTGCCGCAGTCGTTAGGCCAAGCCGAACTTCGGGCACACTTCGCGCAGCCGGTTGCTTACTATATCAGACTGGGTGTTGTGCTAGCCCTTTCCAGAACCTGGGGCAACATAGCTGAGGTTTGGTGACCTCACCGATGTTTATCTACCGTCTGCTCCGGGCAGTGGTCATGGCCTTGACCATTTAGCTCCGCTGCATGTCACCACTGCCATCTGACATCTGCTGCCGTATCTTGCCCCGGGCAATTTGCTTTTGGCGTTGAGGTGCTGGTGTTATCACCATTTTCCTGCTAAACTTTATCAAATTCTGCACAACTGCAGGTGGACACAAAGGAATTTGCTTTGTGTCTTTCGTGGCAGACTCGGCCACTGGGTATGTGGCAGAGCCTCCGTGTATCTCCCTGTGCTGAAGTTTGGGAAGGTTTGTCGCCTGAGGCGGATGCGTCTGGCATCCAGAAAGCCATAGCACATGGCGTGCACGAAGTCCAAGGCAAGTGGTTGACCGGGAGAAAGTGAAGTGTGCAGCACCTTTGCGTGAAGGTAGCCCAATATCTGTGGACATTGCCGCGCCACGAGCGCCTGCTACCGAATGAAGCTGCTGTTGGGGCTGCTTTGTTTGTGGAGCACAGGTGTAGACTCGTAGAGCCAAACACAGCAGTGCTTGGAAAGCTTTGCTTTGCTCCGTAGTCTCACAGTTGTCAGGCCGCCGCCCTCCACGGTGACGGCTTCTGTGCAGAGCGGGTGTCGCGTTTTCTTGACGAAGGTGCCTTGGGAAAGCACAAATTATCATCAATTCTGGGAGCACATTTGCGGTTCTCAATGTTTGCGTGAGAGTTCTTGACTTTTCGTCCCCTGTGTGAGTCGGGACATGTGGCTCACGCGAACCTTGGTTGTTGTGACCCTGATGCCAACATTCCCTGATGGAAAGCTTGAGAGTCTGAGCACATGGCGACGCGCTACCAAACGTCTAAGCCGTGAAGACTGACACGTGCATGCTGAGAAACGACTTGTAAAGCATCCAAACGATCCGATGTCTTCGAGATGGCAACACAGCTGGTTTGCAGTCGGATCCTTGCGCACCTTGCGCATCTTCCTCTGCGCTCTGCCGCCATGGTCGTCACGCTGATGGCGAAGCTGGCTGTCCAAGTACCAGCCAAGCTGGGCGAGGGCTCTATATGGGATAGCCGCAAATAGCATGCATATAGCATGCAGTTTAGAGTGGTTGAGATGGCGCATTGATTCAAAAGCCTATCGGAAGAAAAGCGGAGCCCACACCCAGGATCAAAGAGATTGCTCTGGTTAGATATCTACAGTGGCTTGGTCGCAACAGGAAATGTGCGGCAAGCTTCCGGCAGTCTGCGCTTTAAGGCTCCAAGCTCTACCGCTTTGACCCAGTCTCACAGAGCAACGAGGAGTATGATCTCAGCAAGTTCTCAGTCTTCGTGAGCTCTGTCGTGCCACTGTCTCGCGAACTGGATCCCGCTGGCGATTCTGTTGCAGTTACGCTGCGGGAGGGCTTCGCAGCAGCCTGAGCATGAAAAGCTGCCTTAAGACCCTAAGTTGTCGTCCACGATGCAAGGTGCGGTGTCCAGCCAAACATGCCTAAGCCGCCTAAGTCAATCCCGAGGCAGTTTACAACTTTCGAACGCAGATCCTGGAGAAGCTGGGAAACGATCCGCCAATGGGTGAGTTCGAGCGTTTCAATGATGGCAAAGTGGACCCACGAGGCTGCTACTGGGCGGGCACTATCACCCGTGACAAGGACTCCAACATCTGCAAAGGCGCGACACTATACTGTCGAGACATGGCCGGTAATGTCTTACCAATGCTGACAGACCTGAGCATCTCAAACGGCTTGGTTTGGACTCGTGATGGGCGCACCATGTACTACATCGACACACCTTCAGCACAAGTTGACGCCTTCGACTTTGACTCGACTGGTGCACTCTCCAATCGACGTGCCGTCATCAAGGGTTTCGACTTCCTGACCACTGGTTTTCCAGATGGGAAGCTCAGCCTGCAGGGAGAGCGCTTTTGCACAAATGCTGCGGATAACGCGCGTAGCTTGCATACATAACTGTAGTTGTCAAGGAGTTTCAAGTATATACATGTGTGATTGTTTTGCAGAAGAGTTGTCGTCTCGGCAAAGGTGTGCCATTGACCAAAGCGACCGATTGTGGATAGCGCGCTTCAATGGTGGCTGCGTGGGCTTCTATGATCCAATGTCGGGCAGCCTTTTGGCAGAAGTACATGTGCCGCCCGAGGCCGGCAAACAGGCGCGCATTTTTTCATGAAGGGGCGTGCCTTTGCTGTAGTGTGTGCACAACTAGCTTGAGCTTGTCGTCAGACTGGCGTGGCTGCAGGTGACATCTGTTGCCTTTGGCGGCGAAAACTTGGAAGACCTCTACATTACCACTGCCCGGGAAGGTTTTCGTGCTGATGATGATGCAAAGTATCCCTTGGCTGGGTCTTTGTTTGTGATGCATAAGGCCAGAGTTCATGGTTACAAGCACAAAGTGTCCTGAAAAGCAGAAGAGTCTAGAAGCGTGCGTGAAGCCCGTGCAGGCACAACTTGCAGAAGCTGGCGCTGTTCCTGGCCAGCCAGCAAACGAGTTGAAACTCTCGCGCTTGTAGAGACAAAAGCCAGGCATTCACTTTTGGACGACTCCGAACCTTGAAGTTTGCGGGCAAAACAGGAAGATAGCAGGAAGCGACGATTCATTTGGCAAGTGCGGCCCCAGAACATCCTCAAACGCTGCCACTCTGCTATTGTGCATGGCAGGTCACAGCGGACGTGATGCGAGCAGACCTCCAGGCCATGAGGGCCATCCGCCACAGGGTCATCTCCTGCGTCAAGTGCTGCAGGATCGGAAACCACATGCGCCCGATCAGATGCACATGAATCATGACATATCAGGACACAGCCTAGCAGCCGAACGCCCCACTTTGAGTCTGAATGGATATACGATGGGACGATCATTTGGAACATCGTACTTTCTTTCTTTAGAGTCTTGAGAAAAGCATGCTGCCAAGATCCGTCAAGCCATGGAAGTCCATGTTGTCGCGGTGGAAGCCCGTAGCTCACTGGCCAGTTACAGCAGAACGCAAGCCTCGGGGCTCGCAATATGGACAGCTGGAACAGCGGCTGGAACCGGAACCCCATTGATTCTGACAACATGCGTCATCAGGCCAGAAAGTGTCGTTACGGTTGCTCTCCCAGGAGCAAATCCCAGGCAACGAAATGTGGTGGTAGAGGCCTACCTGAAGGCTTCTGCCCGCATTCGCCAAGCGTCCGAGGCTTTCCACAGCCTTGAGTCCAGAGGTTGGCGGTGTGGAGCCGAGACTCCACAGGCCAGCAGTGGCTTCCTCCTCCACCTCTTGCGGCTTGCAACAGACTGCCAGAAACCCGGCTGTACCGGAATATCCTGCTGTTGGTCTGAGCCAGATGAGCGGTGGGTCAGCCGAGAGATCCAGCTGCTCTTTGCACCTTTCGGGGCAAGAGCTGGGACTGGCGAATGGCAATCTATGTGGACGGTCGCCACGCGAGGCGGGACATTTGCCCATGAACCATGATGCCTCCACATTGAATGTTGACAAGTTTGTCATCAGTCTGCCTGTGGCCAAGGCATAATCTCAAACATATCTTCACATCCTGGCCTCCTCCTGACGGACGCGACTGCTGACTGTTCGGCAGGTGGTGCCGTGGTAATGCAGGCTGGAAGCAGTTCACCGGGCGGATGCCATGTAGGGCATTGAATGACTCAAGACTCAAAGCTCTTCACCATATGGGGGCTTTGGTCTGCGCAGTGACATAGTGGCAATAATGGCTCAGTGAGGCGCAAGTGGTGGCAATCATTGCCCCAGCCCTGCGCAGCCGATCAGGACATCCGAAACGAACCTGCAAAAGCAGCGTGCGATGGCACTCCTGGTACGGACAAAGCTTATGATAAGAAAGGTTCAAAGGTCCATGAGAGTCTGGGACAGTTCCGAAGTAGACAGATTGGTTCAGCAAGGTGTGTTTGAGGTGAGAGTCTTGAAAACATCTTTTTTCGGCCCTGAGCTAACCCTTCAGACATCCAGCCATCCGGCCATCCAGTCCTTCAGCCATCCAGCCCTCCAGCCCTCCTCCCAACCTCCCGACCTCCCAGCCCCCCAACATCCCAACAGAGCGGGCTATGTTTGGGAGGCGATCGAGACCCTCAATATAACTGTTTCAAAACGATCAAAACGAGAGTCCAAATTCTTGCTTCATAAACTGACTTGCGTTGCTGCAGGAGAGGCTGTGGCACTCAGCGTGGCCATTCCACTATGTGCAGTCCGGGAAACGCTGCTGGATGATCCTGTGTGCGCGGGGCCTAGATGCTGTGCTCAGAGGGAGAGGTCGAAGCAGTAATGCACAGGTCAGGCACAGCTTCTGGAGAGCGAGGCTGCCGCGCTGCAACCATTCGACACGCCTGTGCCGCGCTCATGGCAGTCGGAGCAGGCAGGCATTGGCTTTCTTTCACAGGGCACCTCACGAGTAGCTTTTCGAGGATTTTGCGTGAAAGTTTGGCGTATGACAGGCTCGTGAAGGAGTGGCCCTCCTGTGGCTGGACTCTGGTAGTTGGGCCTCCGCTGTGGTGTTATCCGCAGATGGCCATCTCCTGACTTGTGCTCACCTGCTGACTGGCACATCTTGGATGGAACCGTCGAAGGTGTCTTGCTGGACACAACATACACAACCGGTTGTCGGAGGGGGGCTAATGGATCTACAATCGCTTGTGACTGTTTTTGGCTTGCTCGTGGTTGTCTTTTTTCATCCATTCTTGGCAGGTGTTCGCTTGTGACTTTTGCTATCAGACCATCCGAAGACGACAAGTATTCTTAGCCACTGCCACACTATCCCCCCTGCTACCGCTACAGCTACCGCTACTCCTACAACGACGACGTCTACGATTACTACCACTACCACTGGCACGTCGACTGCCACTACCACCACCGCGACTGCGACGACGGCGACAGCGACGCCGACGGCGACGACGACGACGACGTAAACGACGATGCAAAGAGCGTTTAGTCTCCCGATGGGTACCCCCGCAAAATGTGGTCAATAGGTAAACCTAAATATGACCTGGAGTCCGTGGGCGACACCCTATTACTCGGCATCACCTCCACGTTCGAAGAATACTTATGCAACGTCCAGGTCGAGGCTTCCCTGTGTGGAATGACCCTCAACCTCGACAAGACGGAAATTGTGCCCCACCCAAAAGGGCCTACAGACTACGACAATACCACGGTTAAGCTCGCTAGCACATCTAAATGCTTAGGCACCATGGTGGCATGGAATAGGCCCACGCTCACGGCTGCATTCCATAGCTCTGGCGGAGGCATCCCATAAAAAGCTCCTACCCATTTGGTCTATAGTAGTCTTCCCCAAACAGTCCAGCTGCGCATTTTCCAGTCTCCTCCTTAACCTATTCCCTTTGAAACACCTCCAATTCGTTGATTCCTGGTACTTCAGAATCTTACGCCGCGCCATGGGGGTGAAAGCCCCCCATTGCTCTAGAATCAGAAACGAAAGAGCGTGGCACATGGCAGGTATGCCCACCCTCCCAGCCCAACCCTCCTGTCACAACAATTGGAGTTGTACACGCCAAGCTTGACTACTCCGCCGGATTCGCCTTTTCATCATGTTATCTTTGCTCCAGCATACAAGGATCGGGCTGGCGTATAAAAGAACCCACAGTGCGGCCACCCCCACAACATTGGACCGGCCTAGCACACCAGCGCATGCCCCCAGGGTACCTTCAACACATTCCCACCTTCCCTAACTACACCATGGCAGTGGTAAGAAGGCCCTTAGCTCAAAAGAGTTTTGTGGTTGTTTCAGGTTAGTCGGTTTTGCGCGCATATCCTTTTATAACGTCCAGGCAGAAGGCCAACATGCAGGCGTAGGGCAAGTGTTTGCAGTGTTCAAGTTGCTTCGCCACATGCCCGCTGCCACTCGCGTTTGAGATTGGGTGGTAGATATCTATTGTGCTAGGATGGCAACCCCCCGCGGCGTTTGTCAGCAAGCTTTCCGCGCTGTCATGGACGATGCTTCGTGCAGGATCAGGCGGGTAGTGCTGCCGGTACTGCACCTGATCGGGTCATGCGGTATCCGTGTGGTTTTTCCAGGGCAGAACTCTGGCCGTTACCTTTGAAGCGGACGTGTTGCACGTCTTCGAGGGTTTCCTGGATGCGGCACTGCTTGTAGCGAAGCCCACCAGGAGCTGTTGCTATTGTGCTAACCGTTGCTAACCATTTGAGATGCACGAGATTTGGTGGCTTTTGTTAGGTATTGTTGGATCTTTGTGGTACATAGTCGGCAACTGGATGAGTTGGTAGAGTTCATGCGTTGTGACTTGAGAGGGGCTCGCGCTTGACCTTCAATCCCAGTCTCTGGAAGCAGCAGAGTGCCTCTGCCATCCAGCACGGCATGAAGGCGCCTTCTAGAGCATCAGAGAGACACGGTCCTTCGAGTTTTCGATCGGTTACGTCGGCTCGAAACATCGCAGTGCCTCCGAAGAAAGGTTTGGGCTGTGGGGCATGGGCTGTTTGGTCCGGGCTCTCCATGGCATGGTCCAGCCGTGACATGCGGCAGCAGGCTGAGCGAACTCCATGCAATGCCCACGCCTGCAAGCCAACGGCCGTTTTGAACTCTGAGGCCAGCTTGCCAGGATTGTCCGTGGCAAAAATGGCCGGATGGCTGTGTTGCAGAGCTCGGCAGCAGTGCATCGTGGGTGCAGTGGCGGGGCTCTGGTAGCCGCAGACACCGGTGAGCCACTCGAAACATTGGTCCCAAATTACACGGTGCACCTGCCTTTTGTCCTTTATTGTCATTTCCCGGTTTTGTTCCTGAGATGTTTGAGGTTTCTTGGCATGGTGACTACGAATGCGAAACAACAGGAGTACGTTTCTTCGCAGCTCTTGCAAATCTTCATGGTGGCAGCGGTGGCGGTGCATGTGTGTTCAGCCTGTGAGATTGAAGGATGGTGGTGTGTTGCCCCACATCAACTTCATATTGCCGGTGAGCTTGCTGGCTCCGTTGTTCGAGTTCTTGGAGACTCCGCATGAACCGGATGCCTTGGCCAGGCTGATCGAGGACTGCTGTGACTTCGGCGCAGTGTGGTGATCTTTGTTTGGGAATCGAGTAGCAGCTTGTCAGGACTTGCAGGGGGCTGCAGCTGATCCGGAAGAGCGGGGCTTTTGGAGGCTTGAACCGGAGCATCTCAACTTGCCCAGCAGACGCCCGGAAGCAAAAGGCATATCCGCAAATTTGAAAGGCAGAGGCATGCTTGTCCGACCAGTTGTGTAACCAGACATCGACCGCCATCTTGTGACAGAGCCGCAAAGTGCATGCCAACCGAGGGCTGTCAGCGAGGTGGGGGGGCAAAAGTGCATTCCAGCAGATCAGCAGTCCTTAGATGGTTCACGGAATGTGGGTGAGGTGTGTTTCGTCTTGCTGCTACAGGGGTAGCCCTTCCTGTCAGGAAGTGGCATGTCCTGGAGAGTTTGGATGAGCTTGAGAAGATGGCCAGTGCAGAGGCCATAGATGGGCAACTCTTGTGGACAATTTGACGGTTCCTCAGCTCGTCTCATTGCCCGTAAGGCTTCGAACGCTGAGAAAAAGTCGAACTACCATAGCAAGTTGTGATGATCCAGCCGCGATGTTTCACCAGACAGACAGTCGACCATTCATCTGCTCGTTCTCAACATAAAGCGGCCGTCAGGGCTGAGTGCGCAATACTCGCAAGTTGGCAAGCTGATGTTTGGCAGTTGTGTCTTGCGTGCTTCTTTATGACGAGGGATGCTAGGTATAAACTTGTATCAAAGCAGCGCTTGTGCAGACAAGCGGTCCAACGCCGTGCCACTTTTGGTCCTTTCTGGACTCAGGCATACTTCTGCAGATTTGGCGAGCTGTCAGACTGCTATGTCGGAGCCTGGAATTTAGGTTGCGGCGATTTTGCCACGCTGCGACCTGCACTGTTGTAGGTCCCGCCTGGCAACAAGGGTATAGCCTTTGTCAGCTTCAAAGATCCCAGCACTGTCTTTGGCTTAGTGGTCGAAACAAACAAGTCGGGACTCACAGTCGTCTCAAAAGCAGCTGTTGTCACGTGTCATGGCAAGCCTTTGAGGCTTCATCAGTTGTAGCTCATCAGCAGCACGAGGTGAAGTGCCTCCCTCAGATCTCTTGAACATGTTTTCTTGTAACTTTCTCTTGCTTCCTTCTCCCCCTCAAACAGGCCTGGTGTTGTGCTGATTGCTGCCCCAGCATTCGACAGACCTCAGCCCCGATCTAAGCTTTGCTTTGCAAACATCGGCCGTGGGCAATACTGCGCTGCATTTCATTTCCAACCTCGGAGCTGATGTACTCATATGAAGTAGGGTTTATATTGCTGATATTGGTGAGTGTATATAAGGTTCCTTTTTAATACTGGTGAGTGTATATACTTGGTGATACGAGAAATATATACCCCAGGCCCTACGCCATATAATTCCTCGTACTTTCCTACGCGTGCTAGGCCGGGGTCCAAAGGAGGCAGGGGCGAGACGTGCACTGCTCCAGCCATGATGTACAAAAGCATGTTCTCAAGAAGCACAATTGCCTGATTTGTGCGCATTGCTGGAAGGAGGCAAGGGCGGCTATGGCTGCTGCGGTGCGCAATCTGTTTGTTGCAAGTTGCTTCATGCAAGCATAAAGTCCTTTTGCGTGCTTTGAAGGTGGCGGGTGCAACGCGTTTAGCGGTGCCTGTGATGGTTGTCGCTCGGTCCAATAGTGCTCTTGTTCCGATCGGCCCTGTGCCCGCATTGAAAGTCAATGAGACAATGGCTGATGCTGATGATGGTTGTTTGCTGTGCTGTGCTATTATGTTGCGTTGTGCTGTGTTGTGCTGTGTTGTGCTGCTGTCGTCTTTCGTTATAAGTGTAAAGATAGTCGCACGCCCGCGAGCACGCATACCTACATGCATGCATGCCAGCCTGCACTGACCGCGCCACGAGTCTCTTGTTTGCAGCTTTTTACGCGAGCTTTTAGGAGGGAGCCTCGCCCACTGCAAACGAAGTGATCCTGGACAGCAGGTCCCGCATTTTGCTGTTTTGGGCCGGCGTGAAGCACACTGAGCTCCAGCGTGAGAAGAGGGGCCTCGATGATGCTGCTCATGGGTGCGGTGGACAAGCAGCTGAAACTGATCTCGCTTCACCCATGCCGATTGTGTGGTTCTGTTCCCTTCCGAGGCTGCTTGTTTTTGAAGGCTTCTTTTGTTGTTGTCAATGAGGAACGCTTGGATACTTATGCTTGGTTTGCACATCGTGCACTATGAGTGAGAGTACCGTTCTTTTGCGTGATGGGCTTCTTCATTCGTTGCTGTGCTTTGGGGCTTTGGTTGGTGTTGTTTTTGCACTCGTCTTTCAAGTCCGCAAAGTCCAGATGACAAACTAAGAAGATAGCAGCGATGAGAGGCACCTTAGGCCACGAGAGTCCTGGCGACACTAGGACGCTAAGGCTAAAGATCGGGTTCTGCCTCGTATGGCTTCTGCCACGGTTAAGCTTCGACTTTGGGACGTTCCAGGTGACCCAGCTGGAAACTTTGGTGGCTATGGAGGCAGTGCAAGACACTGTCCAATGCAAGATGCACGGTGCTGATTGGCAAGAGCTTGCGGTAGTAACTGGGGTTATAGATTGAGGAGGCAGTTCCTGCAGCGGATGCGGCTTCAGCCTGATGCTCAGACAGGGCAACTTTTGCAAGACGCGTTTGCTTTTGACTGACGCTGTCCGCCGAACCAGGAGTTTCAGATACAGTGTGCGGCACAGCCAGTTGAGCCCTTCTGCACAGCCAAGGTGACGGCACCTCGATGGGATTCCAGCAGAATGGCTTCCCACAAGCCGGCTGCGCAAACCAACAAAGCTTTGGAGCGCCGGCCTGCGGGGCCTCCCTGCAGGGTTTCCCACAAGGATTTGGCTCACTGGGTGGCTTCATGCCACAAGGTGGCTGTGGCATGGTGAGGAGCTGAGCTTGCCTGTCTTCAGTTTTCTTCGACTGGCTAGATCTTGGGCAGAATCTTACACGTGTGGATGATCGACTGTTTTTGCGGCGCTGGCCCAAACTAAGCGGTTCCTTCCGGGTTCCAGGCTACTGCCATGGAGCCCAGCATGCCTGCCTCATGTTCACTTTGACGGTGCGCACATGTCCCTGCCTGTGGATCCCGCAGAATCTGTTTCGCAGGCGCAAGGATTTGCGCCATGGCAAGCTTGAGCCAGCATCAGTCTTTGAAAGAACCCTGCGGGCAGGCCACTTCTGCAGATTCTGTTCTCCAGAGAGTGCGGGAGACACTGAACAGAACGCACATCAGTCATTCGGCCGCACTGTTGCGGCTGCTGACTGGGCATGAACGCTGTCCTGTTGCCGATGTTAGCTGAAGCTTCCGTTAGGTGCGGGGGATTTGCGCCAGTCATTGCTGGAAGACCAGGCTCCTTCTCTGACAGGGAATCTTGCAGCTTTGCAGACTCTGGCTGTGAAGCTTCTTGCAAGGCAAGCGCAACAATCAGCCCAGCTAGCCTCCGAACTGGCTTGGCCAAGCTTGGCTTCCAGCTGAGTGACGACCAGTTCCATGCTGTTTATGACAAATTGGACAAGGACTCGAGTCACGAGATCTAGAAGTTGCAAACCGGCTACAATTTAGGCAATTGCGCGCAATCCATTTCGCTCATCTTTGCTCACAGGATGCAGCTGGCCAGGTGCTGGTCGAAAATCTGGAAAGACGGTTGACCCGCACTGGGACCAAAGAGCGTCAAAGAAGCAAGCCAAACGCAGGTGCAGAAGTGCACGCAGGCCAAAATTGAGCAGCAACGTTGTGTCCGGTGCGAGATGTGGAGGACATTTATTATTTGTTTTTCCTAGGTGTGTTCTTGACATCTGCTTGAGCTAAGGCGTGCAGCATCGCATCTCCCCAGCTTGCGAAATGATGTCGAGGCCTGGTCCACTTGTTGGTTGGTTTTGGGTTTGACGGTCAGTGGGGCGACGATGGCGACGTGTGTGCGGTCGGCCTGCCTTGGACTGTGGCAAGATATGGCAAAATGTGGCAAGGTTGCTTCCGTCCATCAGCTCAAAGACGTGATGCCTCAACCGCAACCGCTGGCAGGCTTGGGTCGAAAGGAATGACGGAAACCATGCTTGTCTTAGCGATGCTCTCAACTCCCTGCAGGTAATGACAGGCATGGGGCCGTGACTGCTCGTGAAAGACACCCACTGCACATACAGCTGTCAAGAGGTTTGCACAGATGTAGTATCAAGAAGCGCAAACATGAGTAAAGCAAGTGGCGATCGTCGCAAGGGCCCCCCGGAGAGTTCAGGACGCATGGCAAGCCACCGCCGGAAGCAGACAGAGTTGATGCCTCTTTCAGACACTGACCTCGCCCTCCTCAAAATCCAGGGTATGCTGAGCCGCAGGACCCCGCACATGGCCATAGAACAGGGAAGGAGCCGTCGTGTTGAATGAAGTGTCAACACTCATGCGCTGTTGAACCAGGAAGGTCAGATCTTTGGATGTCCTCAAGCTACATGGCTAGAAGAAGGGCTGGTCCAATGTAGAGACGCGTAGCGAGCTTGGCTCAGCTCGTTGGTTGCTTGTTGGCGAGTGGGTGGGTACATGAATATGTACTCGGCAGGTTCCTGAATGTCAACGGCACAGGGGCAGTGTCCCGCGAGCAGCTCTGCAATGGCTTGGAGAGGTGTGTAAACTGATGCATGGGTCCATGGTCATACAAGTGTCGTGCAAGTTTAGCTTCGGCTTCCTTGGCCGCTGCAGACTTGGCGTTGAGAAGCTGTCGGTGCCTGAGCAGCGGAATCTCTTCCGCGCCTTTGACACGGACAGCAGCGGCAACATCAGCCTCGCGGAGCGCCTCAGCATGCTTTTCAGCTTGTGCTTGGCTGAGCAGTCTATTGTCCGATTTCTTTCCCTGTGTGCAATACTATTCTCTCTACACCACAGCATGCGGCCGTCAAGAGCCGTCGGTGTTTCGCAAGCCAGCCCCCGCCACGCCAAGAGGTTTACGACATCACTAAAGCTTGCAGAGAAGAAGGCTCGGAGCCAGGGCCAACATGAGCTTCTCGACAGCCAAGTGCCGGCAGAGTCACTTGGATGAATTGGCGTGTTAAGGCACCGGACAAGTGCTCTCAAATGAACACCAGCACATTGTGCAACAGGCTGCGAGCTGATGTTTCGACAAGCACCACCACAGACTGGTCAAGACGCACCCTCAAGTTCGACAGCAAGTTCAGCGACGAACGTACAGCGAAGTGCTTGACAAGTAGTGACATCTCTCGGTCTTTGGACTTTGACGTCTCCAAGTCAGACTTCGAAGAGGCTACTCATGACATTGAGATGACAGAGAGCATCCTCAGTGAGACAAACTCTCCTCGCTCTCCTCGAAGATGCACATCTGCAATTGAGGCTTGAGGCTCACATTGGCTCGTGCAGGGGAATGTCTCTCGCCGCCCAAGTCTTGGACAAATTCTCAGAGCTGAGGATATCTCAACGCCTCCAGCAATTCTTGGCTGCAGGCCTCTGCAGGGCCACTCCGAGCGGCACTGACCGCTCCCTTGGGCTGTGGCAACTTGCATGAGCCTCGAGCAAGCAAAGAACCAGAGCAAAAACTAATGCAAGATCTGTTTTTTCCACCACTCTTAGCACTCCCACGCTGCAGATTTCTTTCTGCCTTCCTGTCCTTCTCCAGGACAACTACATCTTAAGGCAAAGGCTTGTCAGCAACACGAGGGCGTCGCATCCACCCAGTCTGGAGACCGAAAGGCTGCCGCCGCTTGACTTTTTAGGGACATCGTTTGAGACCATGTGCGTGTTACCAGGCAGCTATAGCAGCCATAGCAGCTAAGTGCAGGGGCTGCGGAGCATCCAGCCCAGGCTGTACGTGCATGGGAGATTTCGGCCACCTGTCACAGAGCGGAGTGCTGTGGCCATGCTCTTGCAATTTGCGAGATGGAGTGGAGATGGTGGTATTTGTTCATGGTTTTTCTTCTTTAGTCGTCGTTGTCGTCATCTGCCATCGTTCTTGTGGTTCTGGCTGTGCCTGCCGCTGCGTGTTGCTGCTATCGTCGTCTTCTTTGTCGTCGTTGCCGTTGTGGCAGTAGTGTGGCGGTTTGGTTGTGTGGTGGTTTGGTTGTGTGGTGGTTTGGCTGTTCAGTTCTTTGGTGTCACTTTTCAGTTGCCTCCGCCTTGGGGAGACACGTTCAGAAGTGCATAGGAGTTTAGCTTGATTGAACACAGAAGAGATGACTTTAAGGCGCGCGATTGCAGAAACTCGATGGGGAGCAGAGGTTGTCGGCCTTTCAGATGAGCGAATGCGTCGAACCCGTGTGTCTCGCCTGTGGACGCGTCTTGTGAGCAGGCGGTGGATACCTGGTTGAAGCCTTGCAGCTCCTGTAACGGTTGCTCATCACAGAATACATGAGCCTAGGATGCATGCTTGACGGCCAGTCGGTCGAGGTATCAAGGCCTCATGGATGGTGGCAGGTGCTTGGAGGGCAGGGCTGAGACTGGAGGGACGGCTTCTTATGGCTGCTATTACAGCTTCTGGCAATGTTTTGTTGCAGGGAGAAGTTCCATGCTCCACTTCTCCAATCGGTTGTGGACTCCGTGGTGTTTGGTCACGATATGGACTTCTCCAGCAGCCGGGACTATGATGATGATTTCAAGGCTGGGCGGCTCTGACACTCATGACAAGCGTGGGCTGCGCTTGCCGACTGTGATTGCAGAGTGTCCACCTTCTGCTGCTGAGGCAAAATTTCGAGGTGCATACGGGAAACCATCTTGGTTTGCGGCAGAGCGTGAAAAACTGGGACCAAATAATCTCGCCCCGACTTGCAGACAGCCGCTTCAGACGTCTTGACGTCACGAGTCGGCAGCAAATTCTATTTGCTTCGAGAGCGCAAGACCAGCAGAGCTGATTGAAATTTAGTTGGGTTCCACATGCCCGAAAGGGACCGTGACCTTTACCTATGTTCACAGACAGTGAATGACAGCTTCGAGCAACATCTTGGCAAAGCCAGCAGATGTTGTCGTTGCACCGGAGATTGCTTCTGCTTGCGTGGCAAAACCCTTATTCCATGATTTTACTGATCCGTCGCTTGAAGACTTCTTGTGATTAATGCATGCTTTGGCGCCAAGGGGCAGTTCCAAGCAAACCAACTGGTGCCGCCGCAAGGTCGAAAGTCAATTTCAGGGGAGTTTTTGATTCTGTTGCTGCTTTGTTGGCTACCTGAGCGAGTGTAGGCATGGGCTTTGCAAACTGGGGTGGCGGCCTCGCTGTTGGCCGGACTGCGGCATTCGTGTAGCTGTGTTTCTTGCAGTCGCAAATCGCTGCGGCAGATACGGGTGGGGTCAGTTTTCTGTTGCACATGCTTTTGACCTGGGGGGGGGGGGGGGGGCGGGTCGGCCCTGAAATTTGCATTCGTGCCAGCAGGCGTTCAGCAGCCAATGGATCAGGCAGCTTGGCATTGGGCCGTTGAAAGCGTGCTAGTGCTTTGTTTTGGCTGTATTCGTAGACATGGAGGCCACTTATGGTGCTTTCCAGCAGCCGCAGATGCAGATGATGCAAAGGCCAACTGTTGGGCGTTTGCTCAGAGCGTTCTGTGTGCTTTGGTTGAACATGGGAAGGCCGGGTCCGTACTGAGATTGGGCGGGAATGATTGTTGTTGCAACACATGTCGGGATCGGTTGTGTACGTTGTTGCCAACACAAGCCTTGTACGATTCAGCGTTTGACATATGGCCATGGCACTTGTAGCCGAGAAGGAATATCTTGGAACCTAGGTATTTTGTTGTTTGTATGAGTGTGTTGGTGCGTCATGTTGCAATGTGCCAGAGAAGACGGTCAAACTCCCATGCAGCGCGCTGGTGAAAAAGATCCTGTCGCCAAGCATCTGCGCGGTGGGGACATAGTAGCAGTTTCGTGGTTGAGCTATCCTTAGCCCCTAAACGTAAACAACAATCGCGATCGAATTTTCAAGTAAGGCTCACAATGCATGCTTGTGTGTGTGTGTGTGCTGGAACTGGTTGTCTAGAGTCTGGAGCGATCTTTGTGTTGGGGGGGGGGGGAGGGGGCGGGGCGGACGACAAAATCAAGATCGATTTCAAGTCATTGTTGGCAACATTCTTGCAAGGGCAAATCAACAGAATCGATTGTTTGATGAGCGCTGTAGAATCTACTGTAGAAATCATCCGCGATTGGGCGCCGAAGGATATTCTGCGGCATCACGGGGACTCTGCAGAGTTCCCAGCGAAAATTCTCATGTCGGAGACTCTTCCGAGGTTCCACATCACTTCGCAGTTGCTCCGCGGGATTCTTCTTGGAATTCGCTCCAGGGGTTTCTTTGCCGGGAAAGCCGGAGACCTGGGCAAGGGGGGAATACTTGTTCGAATTTACCACCATGTGCACTCCACGCATTGAACTGGGCTTTGTTGTTTGAGTGAGTTTTGGTATTCGCAACGTAGGTTTGGGGGCGCAAACACAGCCCCTAGCAGATAATGTTGTTTGTCGTGAAAGAACACGAACTCGCTTTTGGAATTCCTTTTCTAGCCCAGAGAAGTATTTCTTCATATGATAATGTAGAGCGCGAAGTGAATGCAAAGATTGCGCGAACAGCGTTTTATTCTATTCATTTGGCATTTCAGCCCCAGGTTTGATTTTATGATGTTGGCATGCGATCATGACACATGGCTTCCCTCGCAGCTGGACCAAGACTTTGAGGTACTAAGGAATGAGGGATTGGGGTCTTTAGGGTTTAGGGCTCTAAGGGTTACATCGCATTCCGCCACGTGATTAAAAACGCGGGTTGTAAGATTTCTTGAGGTCCAAGAGGGTTACTGTCCCAACGTTCCCTGATGTCGCTCTACACCGCGAAGGTTCCCTTTCAAAATGCTCTAAGCAAAGGGTGACCCCCACAAATGTTAGCATCCGAAAGCGTTAAACTCTGAAACCCTAAATCCTAGCCCTAGACGCACACATCCGCCTCCAAACCTTACCGCCCAACGCCATCGAAGAACTCGAAAGTCATAGTTCTCTCCTAACTGCAAAACCTTTCAACACCTTAACCTGCTGAATTTTCAACCGCCTCCACAAGTATGTGCAACTGTGCATCTAGACTTCTGCAACTGGGAAGGTAACCCGAACTCCAGATGGGTCCGGTAAAGACCCCAAAAAGCCCTTAGACCAAAAGTCCTGGAGCCCTAAAACGCAAAAGCCGTAAAGCCTTAAAGCATTCCGCCCTCAAAACCCAAAAGCTTTGAACCCTAAATCGTTGCCTGCAGCATCATGCTCGCCCTCAAGCCCCAAGCTGACCCCCTTGTGCAAAAAGGATGCAACAAGGTGCATCCTGAAAGTCGTCCAAACGCGCACACGCACACTAAGGCCACAATGTTCCCAAGTGCACCCCGAATTCCTCCTCAAAGCAAGTGAAGTACCCATATGTCATTGCAAGATCTTCAAACAAATTCAAGAAATCGTACTCCTTCAGTGTAGGGTTTTCTCGACCTGGCTGAGCTCCTGCAAGGATCCTGTGTCAAAGCCTCAACTTTACGACATGCTTTTCCAAGCCAGGCGTTTGGACGTTTTCAGCCGAGCGGTGAAGATCAGTCGGATCAGAGTTGTGACAGCATTTGCCAATGCAAGACATGAGCGAGTAACTAACCACACAACTTCAAGAAAGTAGGCTTCAAACCCCGTTCCCCCCAGTCACTTCACGTTTGCACATGCCCGTCGCTGCTATTGGCTGGAGGGATTAGTGCAGTAGTTGTAGCCCGAATTCTTCGGCTGCAGCTTCTGCAAGAATCTCAGCTGTTGCAGATCTTCCACTTGCTAGACACGAGGGTCCAGTTTCAGGTGCTGGGTCCGCAGACTTTGGCGGCCCCAGCTGTCCAGAGCCCGGCTTGTGAGGAAGTAGAGTCAAGGCAGTCAAGGCGATTTTGTTCTCGGTTTCCGACAGTTTCCACCTGGGCTTTTCCGAAGTTACGTTGCAACAGGTTGTATCGAATGGTGCTGACGTGCAAGAAGTAAGGATGGGACCCCCCAATGGCAACAGCAACAAAGATACAAAGGCTGTGGATGGGTTTCTGAGTTTTGGTCGTTTCGTTGAATGTTGTGCAGAGCAGTGCCAGGCAGTAAAACCCACCATGCAGTTGCAGATCCCACCCCCTGGCTCACGGGACTGCTGCACTGCACTTGCACGGCAGTCTCCATGTCGCACATGCCTTGATTGAAGAGTTACATGGAGCTGCACACAGTCTCACACAGTTACCGAAATCCGTGCAGGACTCTGGTCGCTCAACAGAGCCCTCCGTTGAGGGTCGAAGCAGGAGCCTGAGCAAAGCCTGTGAAACACTTGTGAAAAATCTGCACAGAAGAGGCGAAGAGGCCGCGTGATATCATGTGTTCTACCTTGCTCAGGCCCCAAGCTCTCAGTGCGAACCGGAGATTCTGGTGATCCACTCAAGATCATTAGCCCACGGTCCAACAAGACCTTGAAAGACAAAGAACAGAAGAACAAAGCTAGCGCCGTCCCAAGCTTCCGAATCGCCGCGCATGTCCGCGACCCACCTCACATCAGTGCCTACACCGTTCTTTGCAAGGAAGAAGCGCGCCCTTGTACGTTTTGGTGTCAAGGAAGATTGTACACCTGGCCAGGTTGTTCGGGACAAGGGTTTCTCCTGTCAAGTGCACGGGTCTTGCCAGGTTGACAACAGATATTTCATGATTTTCACCACGCTTCTCACCTTCTATGCCTTGACGGCGGACGATTTGAGGCAACGGATGCTTTCTGGGCCTCGGATCCATCATGTGCTTGCGTTCAATTGGTGTCCTGGCCAGGATAATCCTCACAGAGAAGCCGGCAGACATAGTATTCAACATCATGGGCTTAGTTTGCAACTTGGCAGCCACGTGAGACGATGGACGACATAGATCGGATTGAGGCATGATCAGATTCATCTTGTTCTGTTGCTTCGATGCATGCTTCCTTGATCTCACAAGGTATAGTGGTCTTCACACTGGAGGCCAGGTTACATTGACTGTGCTCAGCCAGGAGACACGGTAGGCGCACAGGTCAGCATTCGAGCATGCTTCGTAATGCTTCGTAATGCGGTTGTGGCAGGTGATCCTCTCCTGCCTGGGGAAGGCTGGTTCACACCCGGAAGCGAGATGCCGACAAATCCCATGCCCTAGACCCACTCCATACATGCTTAGGAATAATTCTACAACAACTTAAAGCTGCTAACAATGTAGACACGAACTTCAGATCGCGGACCGCTAATGTCCGCCAGAGTCCACTGATGTCCACTGGAGCCCGCATATGCTTTGCTGTCCCGTTCTGGCAGGCCGACTACTACTTAGGGTTTTTCTTCTGGCTAGATGTCATCAGCACGGCAACGCTACTGCCATGGCGCTGAGACATGTTGCTCTGTTTCATTCTCCGATACGCTGCAGCAGCCTTCCGCTGCTTGGATTGTATCGCTTGCCGCCTCGAGGCTTGACCTAACATGGGTCAGTGAGGCTATCCAGGTCCGCTGCTGCTTTGGCCGTGAATCGCAGCATCGCATCGCTTCCTGGAGCCTTTCTTACTGCGTCGGCGGCCAGGGTGGTGGCGATGGTGGCGATGCCTCGGATCTGCGGTCCGGCAGGACTGAATCACGTGCTTGCTGCAGCACGGCGGCTCTCTTCAGGCCGTCCAGGCAAGCAGATGGTGTGATGCTTTGAGGACAGCAAGAGTTGGAGCCCGTGCTGGGCGAGTAGTCATGCGCTCGGCTTGAACGGACGCACCTCTGCTGTGCAAGCATCCGACAGCCGTCTTGCGTTTCAACATAATCAACTCATGACTCATGGCCATGTGGGCGTGCGATCGTGAGGTTCGAGTGCTCCGACTGGTACATGGCTCAGTGCCAGTCCTCTGAACTTCTTCCTTTTGTCCAAAGCAGAACCAATGCATCCTGTTTGGAGGTAAGAATTCTGAAGCTTTACAAGGCCTATTATGAGGCTGCGGAAGAGTGTGGCTTGAGAGACTGACCGCTTGCTGCAAAAGCAAGCTTCGGTCAGCAATATGACGCACTGTGCCCCCGCATGAATCATTGAATCCACACATCCAGCATGTCGCCACGTCCACAGGCCAAGCAGAGAAGACTCGAACGAGAAAGAAGAAAGAAGTCAGGTGAAGACCTGCAGGTGGCATTGTGATTCGTTCAAAGAGGAGTTGTGCCCACTTGATTTCAAGCTTCTTTTGCAAGGATGACTGGGATGAAGCAGACTATGAAGCAGTTGAAAAAGCAGATGGGAAGGCCAACGAGAGCTCAGACCTCAGCTGATACCATCAGAAGCAGCAAGCGGAGAGAGGAATTAACAGCATGTTCCCTCCTCCGCGCGATCGGCATTAAGGCCGAGTAGGAAAGAAGCTTTCCGAGATGACAACCAGACGCGTTATCTGTCGAAACCCCAGTAATTCTGGAAGGCTGAGAGCTGAAACGCTCGGAGTGGGTGGTGAGTGGGCTGCGTTCTGCCACTCAGGTCTCATTCTCGCAATGCTTCTGATTCTGCCCTTGCTCTCCAAGGAGTCTGTCCCACCGGCTACGTTCAGCAGCGGAAGCCAGATGACAGTAGGGTACAGCTGCCTTACGATGAGAGAGCATGCCAGGCAGATCAGACTCCATACTCGGTTAGCTATGGCGCCAATGCTGTTTGGAAGGCCGGGCATGGGCCGGGCATGGGCCGGGCATGGGCCGGGCATGGGCCGGGCAGGGGCCGGTGCTGGACAGGATATGTCAAATGATGTCTCGCCGAAGTTTTGGCAGTAGCTAACATAAGTATGTGGCGATGCAATGAAGGAGCTTCGATCACAGAACCTGCGAGGGCTTTGTGGGACAAGCAGTGTCGCGTGCAGGCATTTCAGGCCAAGATGGGGAACACCTCATCTGCAGCGCAGCTTGCCACAACGTCGCAGCCTGGTCGCACTGGGGAAGTGCCTCGCCCGAAGGCTTGCCCAAATTTAGTTCACTTAAAACAAGCACCGCTTCTGAGTCACCGGCGTGCTGGCTGAGGTACGACGATGTCAACACCCCAGTCAGTTTTGATAATCAAATCTAGCTTGTTGCGTGAGAAGAAGCTGCTCTGCCGAGAGCACCAGAGCAACACAGGCGCTCCTTGACTACATCTACTACCACAACTGGTACGTTGCAAACCATCAAGCCCCTGCCTGGGAGCTATCGCATGCCAGCACAAAGAAAGACCGTGCATACCAACTCATGCAGCCATTGACACCTGTGCAGGCGATGTATTGTCCTGCTGCAAACTGCGCTGGAAGGTTTCTAGGCTGGGCTGGACTGAAGTTGCCCAGAGGTTTGCCAAACGAGTTGTAACTGCGAGTAAACTTTGGTTTGCTTGGCCCACGAAGTTCGGAAAAGAAGCTCAGGGAGGTATGCATGGCAAGGCCATGCATGAAATGGAGATGAGCAACTTGCTCGTCCTCACACGCTCCGATGATCTGACTTTGGCAGGCTCATTGTTCTGGATTGGCCTGGCAGGCGTCGCACTTGCAGCAAATCGTGGCGAATTGCAATGGGTCTTTTTGTTTGGACCATGATCTGTGCTGTAGAGGTAGGAAGGTAGGGTACATATAGATCATATAGATGCAAAGGAGATGCTCGTGTGCGTGCACGTGCACGGACGCACTGCAATGTTAATCAAGCTTGGATGTAGAGGGTGCGTTGTGCCGTACGACTTCAGTTGCGGCATGTTGCGGCTTTACCTCACATCGTCTTCTCTTTCAGGACCTCTGGGCAGTGTGGACTTCAGTTCCGTGTTGCAGGACCACGGAGCACTTCTTTCCTGTGATTGTGTTCCGTATGCTTCTGTTGCTCCGAGTGTTCTCTCTCCAAAGCTGCCCTGGCGCAGTACACGCAGCTGAATACCACGGTTGTGGCTGCCTTTGAGAGCAACCAGATCGCCTCGTACAGCAACCAGGCCTGGGCTCTGCCTGGGCTTGGTGTTCGGGAAGACCTTGGAAAAAAACAGCCCCGCGTTGTTAGCCTTTGCCAGTGTGACAACCGCTTTCGAGCCAGACTTGGTAGAAAGGGATGTAGCGTCATACGTGCAGGACTTGTGGATGGCGCTTGGAACGTTGCCATCTGAAGTGAAGGACAGGGCATAGCAAGTACTGCAATGGGGCCGTTTTAATGTCTGGAATGTTTCTTTGCTGTGATTGTGGGGTATTCTCTGCATACGGATGCGCGCTCTGCCGGCTATCCCTGCTGCTGGCAAAGCATGGTAGTTGTTGCGGCAGCCGAACTGTCCACAAATGAGCCACCTGTAGTACAATGACTGCAGTTGCTGTAGTAGCGACATGCAACGGCGGCCTTGCGCCCTGCTGCTTGCGAAGAGCTATGCGTGTAGAAGCTGATGATGCATGTTCGGTGTTTTTGGGGACAACTGGCAGCGCTTCTGAAGACAGCTGTGCGAGGCAGTTCTTTCCGAGCCCTGGACACAGTCGTGTGCGACGTCGACGACTGCCAGAGCCCTACGTCACGGTTGTGAACCTAAGTGTGAACTACAACAGGCTCTCTGACAGGTTCTGAGATGCACTCGGGGGATGCAAGAAATGTCCATTGGAGGACCTCCTCGGCTTGTCGCTGATCAAAGCGGTTATCAGCGGACTGAACCACCACCAGGTTCAAGGGCGCATGAACGCGAACCACAGCGAACGCCTTCGAAGGGGTCCACTTGTTGAGGTGGCATGTCCGCTGGATCTCCGGGCGACGGAGATTCAGGTGGGCCGTGGCTTTCTGGATGTTTGTTGGCTTTGTTCCCGGCAAGCATCTCACTCAGGCATATGCCTCCCAGCTTATAGCTCCTGGTGAGGAACTCAGGGCATTTCAGGGCAAGAAGCAAGCGCCAAGTTGCCAGAGTTTGGACTTCAAGCCATGACACGAGTCTTGAGGCCAGCCATATTACCTCACTTTCTACTATGACATGCGCCCTTTCAATCGACAGACTTCGGCGTGGGGGTGCCCAACAAGAGGTTGTGTGTGTTGGCTGAGTGACCATGTTGCAGTCTTTTGCTATGGCCGCTCTGTCCTAGGGAGTCTCCGAATAAATCTTCCCCCCATAATTGAGGTTCAGCTTGGGCGTGACGTTCTTCGTGATGGTCCTTCTCGTCACGGCGTCACTCATGTTTACTAGCGATGCGAATCGACTGGTGCTTCGGCCTGCTGGAGCCTCAGAGTATCTCAGACTTGCGTTTGGATCGTTTGGTGAGTTTGGTGCCCCCGCGCCGCAGGGGCTTGCCTTGTGAGAACCCTCGAAATCCGCCTTCGTACTTGAAAAGCCTTCTAATCTTCGCGTTTTGTCTGCGTGTGCCGGCGACAAGCCGTGTAGCCGTCCTGCCTGTGCCCCAAACAAAAAACCGCCAAAGGTTGAGAAGATGATTGAGCGCATCGAGGCTGGGATTTCTTGCCGCTTAAAACCCCGTGGTTCTTCTGCTTCCATGAAACATGTCTATGACTCTGCGCATCAGGCCATTCGAGACAAGCCTTTACTGGCAATGAAGATGGTCTGGCCCTTTGCGGATGTGTTGAAGCGTGTCTTGTGGTGCTCGACTGACTCGAACTTTCCAAGGCTGATGATGAGTTCAAGGCCGAGGAAATCAAAAAGGTCCCCGCTCACAGTGCGAGGGCACTTTGCGGCGAAAGTTGCGGAGTTTCCGGGGGTTGGGGCAGCGCATCTCACGCAAGCACGACGCCTGACTCCTGCTGCCAGGCGCGCATGATCAGGAACAAGCAGAAGCCCTTCACTAGAATCGCCATGGACCCCGCAAGAGAGACATCCCAGTGGAGTTTTTGCTTGTTCCAAGCGTACTTCAGAGCCCGTTGCATTGACTTGACGATGGTGTCCTTTCAGTGAGAGTTGGCAAGGGTCTCGGCACCTGCGAGGAAGCTTCCAGGCTGTGTGCCTCTCGACAAGAGGTCATGGAGACAGTGATTTTGGAGAAAACCATCATCAAGCTGCTTGATTGCAAAGTTGCATCGGTTGCAACAGTACAGTACAGTGATGCGAAGCCCCCAAGGCTTGGATCTTTGCTCGCCCTGGGCTTTGGAGAAGCTGGCGCCGACATCATCGGCCGGAAGCCCTGCCTTGCTCTGCAAGATCCTCTGCGGGCTTCTTAGCGTGCTTTTCATGCTTTTCCTGGGACCCAGGCAAGAACATGAGCGGCTCCGACTCTGCTGGTGTGAATGCCATGGTGCCAGGGCGCAAGTGCGAGCCGTGAAGCTCAGTTGTTTTAGAGCCACGCCGCGGCTAATGTGTGGCCAGCAAGCCTCGCAGCGGACTTTGCCAAGGTGTATAGTTGGCATTCTTCGCGTGCGCGACTTCAGCACTGCGACGGAGGCCATTCAAGTTTGACTCCCGTGACTCTGCAAGTAGCCGCAGCTGTACATCTGAAGCGTTTGGCACCTGATGGCATCTCATTGCATGTTCGAAATTACTAGGGTAAGCGTCGTCGGTCTCACTGCAAGAGGTCCTTCAGGCCAAGGTCATGATGTTCTCCAACCAAATAGCGGAAATCGTCTGCTTCTCAGAGAGCTGGTGCAAAATTGCTGCCCAGCTACCCTCTTTCTGGACTTTCCATGGCCTCTTCGTCCTCGTCCTCCTCGCTTGCACGCCATGCTCGGCACATTCTCAGTTGTCACAGCAAGGTCCACGGAGTCTGTAACGAATTCCATGGAGCCCGGCCCCCAGATGCGGCGGTTGGAAAGACCGAAGCAACTGATTGTGCTTGCCCAGACATACCGAAGAAAGTAGGTGGACGATGGTAGAAATAGTTGCGTACGCTCATGCAAGGCTCCGAACAAAAACACTGGCGACTCCTTCCTGGTCATCTGGAAGGAGAGCAATGATGCAGGACCTGGCGCGCATGCAATATTCTGAGACCCATCTGACAATTCTGGCATTCACTGCGCACTGTTGAGATTTGCAGACTTCAGGGAGCTCCGTAAAGAGACACAACTTGAGTGCATTTGTGCAGCCTTGCAAGGACTCGGACTAGATTGTTCCGAGCTGATGCAGAAGTACGCCGAAGGCATTTCTGGTGCTGGTAGTTCTGTTAGTTATGCTCGGGAAGGGAAGGTTGGCCCGTGCAGGTGCCATTGTTTCCTCTGCCTGCGTTATTGGTGCTGTGCACCATTCGCAGTCTCCTGAGATAGGTGCGGAGAATGATCACGGACGGTGGACCAACTTGTTCTACAAAGTCAGTTGACAAACTGGCGTACGGTTGTGCCCAGGCCTCTTCTTGGCAGCTACAGAGAACACCCTGGGCTACAGTATCGGCTGGGTCGTGTGCTTGGAGGGTTGCCTGCTTCTGGCGATGTCAGCTCCCGAAAAGTTCCGTTGAGTTGCGGCAGTTGACCGATCTTCGGCTGAAGGCTCCAACTGCCGGGTGCACCTCAGCGTTGGCCTTCACAAAGGATGGGCCATTGAAGGTGCAGTGGCCACCTCAGCTAGAATCTGCTGATGTTGCGACTCCCGTCATCGCTGACATTTTCCTGAGGTCGGCAGCGAGTTCAAAATCGATTGTTCATATTTGTCGCCGAACGTGAGCATTGCCACGTCCATCGAGCGATCCACTGTCTCCTCAGCACGCTTTTGCATTGGAAAGGGCATGAAAGGGCCTTTTGTAGTTGCAACGTAGATCCTGGTGTAGCGGCCGACGGCTGCACACTGCTGGTCGACAAAGTCTAGCGGATTCGGCATGCCAGTCAATGACAATGTGACAGGGTCTGGCATGCCCTTTAAAAATGCTTTGCCCCGTTGCCAGGAAGCCTATGGAGTGTCGGTCATGGTAGCGCAATCAGTCAGGACCACAGAGCGGGGCACCATAAATACCGTGCTGTACCCTTACATATTTAAACGCTTGCCTTGGGGTGTCATTGTTTGGTGTGTGAATTGCCGTTCTGTCGTTGTTTCGGAATCCATCGCTATTCTATGATTTCTATGCTGAAGGATTAAGCTGGAATGGGAGGGTTTCTTGGAGGGCGCCTAAATCGAGACCTTGTGTCCGCAGTCTCCGCCAGACCAGATGATACAGGTCTTGGGCTGTAAGAAGTTAGTGTCCATCTGCCGGCATAGCCTTTTGCTGTTAAGTGCCCCGAGTAGGGACAGTGTAGGGAAGACCTTGCCTGTACGAGCTCAACCTGTCGAGCTACTCTTTACCCTTGCAAGGTCGTTGACCTGTGTGACTACCCCATTCGGTGGTTGCCTCGGTCAAGCCTTTGGTCGCAAGAGCTGGCTGGTTCTCGCAGCGCTTGCGGCACTTGTGGCTAGCTATGCTCGCAGCTCTCGTCCCACACGTTGCACCAAGTAGGTCCCAGTGCCGATTGATTGACAAAGTCATCGTGCGAGGCCGTGTAGGTTTTATTGTTTGTGTTGTGCATGTACTGCACTAGCAAGCCGAAACAGCTGCCATTGGAGAGGTTCTCCAGCACCGATGGAGCTGTACTGTGTCGACCTGGACTACATGAGCAGACCCCTCAGTGAGCATGGTTGCTGCTGGTTGCTGCTGGGCCTGGCTGCTCAAAGGCCCAAAGTGTCAAGTTCTGTCAGGTGTGGAAGTGGACTACACGATGCGACCCAAGGCGACAAGTGGTTTGTTGAACAACATCAGCTGAAGATTCCTGCCGGCTTCACCCAAAGCGCATCCGTGCGTCAGGTTCCCTGGAACACTCGCCAGAGGTTCAAGGCCGAAAGCACTGCTGATCTCTACTTCTGGCTAGCGAATGGCTGTGCAAACCGAGCGCGGTTGGCACAACATGGTCGCCCATAGCTGCAGGTTCGACAGCAGATTGAGCAAGAAAAGAAGGAAGTACTCCAGAAGGACACGGAGTGTTCGTGGCTGTAGAGCTCCGAGGAAGCTTAAGCTTTAGATAGCAAGCCTTGACTGCAGTGCACTTCCACCAGCTGGTTTTGCAGGATTTGGCAGACATCTTCGTGACAGATGAGGCCAAATATGCTGAACTCCAGCCAGTTTGTGTAGTTGGAATGCTGGATCCACTGTTGGAAATGAGGTGATTCTGCAAATGCGGGAACGCTTCACCGCTGTCTTCTCAGAAGAAGTCTGGCTAGTTGTCGCGATTCATCTGGCTTTAGCCTGGCATTCAGGTGGAGTTCTTCCAGCTTTTCAATATGGGCTACCAGAACTACTCGCAAGGGGAATGGCAGGTGGCGCGGCGAATGCTGCCAGGGACCTAAGTGTGCCAACAAACCGTGTGGACCTTGCGCCTTTCCTGTGCTGCAACCATCTGCCACCCATCTGCGAGGATGCACATTAAGAGCGAAGTAGCACATGAAGATGGCCCCAGCACGGCCTTGCTGAAGTTCATGGAGGCTCGGAAGTGACATGTCAAATACCGATGAAAGTCGATGATAGTTCATTTTGTTCAAGCAAGGTATAAAATGTCTCATGAGAGCCCTTGTGAGCTCTGCGAGGCGCCTTATGGCTTCGAGGCGCCGAAAGGATGGCAAGGCATCCGTGAGCTGGCCAGGACCCCACAAAGCACTTTACACCCTTATGCTGGGTGGCGGCGTGGCCCACTGCATCTCACTGCATCCCACTGCATCCCACTGTCCCGAGAGAATTACGTGCTTTGAGAGTCTTCGCGAGGTCTGTTAACGATTCCATTGGGGGGTCTTGTGGCCTGATTCCCGGTTCACGGAAGCAACGTCTATGCAGGGCGCATCCACAGATTGAGACGTCCGAATGAATGGTTGTAGAGGCACTGCAATTTTCTGACGTAGATTGAAGAGTGTCGATTGCGGGGGCACTCTGAGAAGCGCTTCCAGGTTGGGCCTGAAATCAGAGCCTGTGCGCCTTGGCGGCACTAGAGGCCAAACAAGGCTCAAGAAGTTCTTACGCGAGCTGCTGAGGCCTTTTCTCGGAGGGGGCGAAGGCCGATCCTCCACCCACGAAGCTAGATGCGAGCAAAGCTCCTGTCTCATCTTATGGCTTATGGCTTTTAAGACTTCGACTTCTATATAATTGGATGGCAGAAGCAAGTATGGCAGAAGAGCCATTCGCCGTGTCACGTGCCTGCTGGTAAGAAGTTCTCAGCAGTGCAGGGACCGCCTGAGGCGGGACTCGTGTAAGGATTTGGATCTTGTGAGTGTCCATATGGCTGCAATCCAACTAGCGAGAACTATTCTGAAACCGGTCGTGGACCTCCGAAAGCATTGTGTTTTATGGGCTCCGAGGGCTTCTCGGATAACGCATCTTACCTAGGACAGGATGCTGCTTGCACACCTCTTCCGACTTGGAATGTCCTATGAGTCGAAAACCTCTTTCGTAAGAAGCCGGCGTGTGTTCGCACTCGTCCAGTGCATATTCCGCAGCAGCTGTCCAGGGTCAACCGACATGGATCCGTGGATCCATGCTTCTGGATCCCAGTGCTACGCAAGACAGTTACCAGAATCTACCAGAATCTCCAGAATCTTAAGCTGTTGACTGGGCTCTCTTTTCATGTAGTCTGGCAATGACATCTTGCCATTCCACCGGCTTAAGGGCCGTTATGTTGAGGTGCCATGATGCGGTGGAATTGCCCACACCATGGCCAAAAGCACTTCAGCGCACCAAGTGATGCTGGTGAGCGCCAGCATGTTAGCAATGCATAGCAATGCGTTTGCTTCGTGATGGTCACATGGATTGACCTTTAGCTAATGAACGCCTTGCGTTTCCCTCAAACGCATTATTTATTGGTCAAGAATTGCGTTTCACCTATTGGGCGCTATCTCATCGAAGTCGTAAGTTGTCATGCTGCACGGATACAGCCCGCTTGACTGACAGGCAGCGTGTTGCTTGCATAATCTTGCATAGCTCATCAGCATGACAACTGCGATTGCACACGTGAGCTGCAAATGGTACCTCTTCACCAAAGATTTCAGTTCCGCGGAAGAAGGCGGAAGCTTCCAGGACCCGGTCCTCGGTTGTTGTCCCCGGTGTGATTGGCTCCCTCAGATGAGGCGGGGTCGCTTGCACATGAGCTGCACCCATTTCCCCAGCCTACAGTCTCTCCAGATTGAGCGACCTGTGCAGCTTGGCAGGTCAGCACCAGTGGCCTGAAGAATATCAGAAGGTGAGGAGACCTGGGCGTAAAATGATTCCGAGATAAAGCTTTAAAAGGACCTGTGGGGACATCTGGGCAATCAAGAAGCTAGAAGTGATAAGTATGGTGGGTGCTAAGAGTTGGCTGCATAAGTTACATGTTGGCAGAGACCAGGCACTCACACCAGGGTGCTGGCAGCACTCGTTCACCAGTCAACGGCCCCATGCCAAAAAAGCTCTGGGTTTGCATGGATTTGCTATGTCTGTGGTGTGCCGTGCTATCTTCCGTGATGATCAAGACTGGCGCTTGAAACTGCTGCTGCTGCCGCTGCAACTTTGACCTTTGGCTCGTAGTAGGGGCACCGAAGACGCCCCGTGCTGCTTTGAGGTGCGTTGGGATGCTTTTGCAAGGACGGTTCGAGACACTTTAGGGATCATTGGAATGTTGCTAGAGGCAAAGCTCATACTTCTGCCGGTATGTGGTAGAGGGGGCTCTAGTTTCGACACGTCGCTTGTCGGGGCTGTCATTCGCACCTGCCCCACGTTTCTCCCACCGTGCTCCCCGAACGCTTCCAAGATGAACTCTACTACAGTCGCTTCAGAATTGCCATTCAGCCGGTCGCATCTGGAATTTCTCGCTTGAACACGTGTTTAGGTCCTTCTAAGCTCTAAATGTAGGGATGTCTGGTAGTGGTCTGGTAGTGCTCCCGTCTGTGCATCATGGTCATGCGCACAAATCTGTTGGACGAGGTGCCGTTCCAGCGTTACCGTCAAGGCGCTTCAAAGATGGCATTTGTCCCAGATGCAAGCTGCTCTGTCATGCTCGTCCTGCCATGTGCTGCCCCATATTGTCTCATCACATGTCATCAGACTAGAGGCAATGTTCAAAAAGAAGAAGGATGAAGACAGGCAGTGGGCAGCCTGATCTCCCTCTCATTCGGCCCTGTGCAGTGGCAGGAAGCCGATTGAGCAGGAGATCGCTGAGCTGCAGCGGAAATTCCGCGTCCTGGTGCCCCGGCGGCTGGGAGCGTGCATCGTACCAGGGTTCTCCTCGACGACGGTCTTGCATCGAAGGTGAGCGGGTAGAGTGGTAGAGCAACCATCAGCGCACTGTAAGGAAAATGACAAGAGAGCCTGTAGCGAGGACTCTCAAGGCTGGTTGCACGGTCAGGTCACAAACATCTCAGACGATTCTTTTTGCAAAATGTATGCTCTGTCCTCCAGCCTGCATGACTGGCAGTTTCCAGAGGCACAATTCGAAAGCAGCGTGCCACCATCGAAAAGCTCACGCGCGAGAATCGCAAGATGAAGGCCCACAATGAGATAGTAAAGTAACCCCTGCCCTCAAAAGTTGCGAACTCGGGTTGTGACGAGTGGCGATGCCGTAGCGCTGGAAGCCGCCATACTCGAGCTTTGCCATCCTTGTCTTTTGTTTACAATAAATTCTGCTCCTATGATCTCCGATGCCTCTTTCGGGGCCTGAGGCGGAGCTCAACGAGACCCGGTCCAGCACTGGCACCCAGGCCTGCATTGCTGCAAGGGTTCTCTCTGCCTTTAGACTCTTTAGAGTTTAGAGCTGATTTTCCAAAAAGAGAGAAAACTCAGGGGAGCCTGAGAGTCTGGAGCCACTGAATGGCCAGCAGGCGGAGGCCAAAATGCAGCAGGAGACCATCAATAGGCTGCCAGAACCTCACACACACACACATCTCCCAAGACATGATCGAAGCATCAGCGCGATCAGACCTAAGGAGCGAGCAGAAAGAGCAGCTCACTGCAAAGACAGATGGCGAGGCCTGGCAGCTGATGGTGGCTCACGCGAAGTAAAAAACAGCCTTTGATCAGGAAGCTGAGGCAAAGAAACTTCAGGACAAGTTGGGCCCCCAAGACTGCAAGACTGCAAGGAGGGAGGCATGTGCCCTGGGCATGCTGCTTATACGGAAGACGACAGCTGGCCACTCGCTTCTCGAGGCTGGACTCAACCCAGAGACGGATCTTCGAGCTTCGGGAGGTGGGGATTGAGCAAAAAGAGAGCCGAAGAGAGCAAAAGAGAGCAAACACCATGCGCAGAGATGTGGAACACTCCGCAGTTCGCAGCAGTTCGCTTCGAGAGGAGATGGCCAAAAGCGGAGGCGTGAACGCGGCGCTCGACAACTCCAAGGCCGGTACATGTGAAACATCGGTGAAAGGGGAGGCAAGGGAGGCATTTACGGAGTCATTGAAGGTAGGTGCTCAGAGCAGATGTTGTATGCGAGAAACAAGTGAGGTGAAAGTGTAGGAGCAACTGGTTTGAATTGGTCAACGGGTCATGCAGTGAGCTGTGGTGAGTACTGCGGGTGAAGCGTGAGGCCATTGCGAAGCAAATCCGTATCCTGGAGAACAGACTGGACAAGGCCTCAACCGCTCCTGGGCTCGGTGGCAAGGGCCTTCTCATGCCATGTGCCAGGGCTTGCAGAAGTTCAATGAAGCCATTGCTGCCAATCGAACTTTGCGAGAGCAGCTGGCTTCTTAGAGCAGACATTCTGAGAGAAGCGAAGTCCCCCCCCCCCTTCCTGTGCGAGATGCACAGAGTGCTGTATTCCCTCAAGATTAGCTTATCATGAGCTTGGCAACTTGGGCTCTTTCATACCAGAAGCCATCATCAGGGACGTATTCCAGTGTTTTCCAGACATGCGACACCACTTTAGATTCAGTCAGGGATGTTTCTCAGACATGGAGCATGCACCTTAGATCAAGTGGTCACACAAGAATCCAGCCTGGGCGCAAGCAGAGTCCAACGAACGCTTGTGGCCGTCGCTTTCAGGATCGACACGCTTCGCAGGGAACGTGTGGCACGGAACCAAGCGAGTCTCATGTGCATGCCCAGCGCAGTCAGAAAGGCTTTCGGTGTGGAGATCAGGAAACTTGGATCTTGCAGAATGCTAGCAAACAGGAGTACAATGGAGTACACATCGTCGCGTCTAAAAAGTGTTTCAATTTTGCAACGGTCGGATGTGCAAGCCATGATGTGGAATGAATGTGGCCTTCAGCGCCTGTGAATTTCGTTCTTGTGAGGTCTTTGACGACATCTACCGGAAGTTGGAAAATGAGCTGTTGCTCCCTCAGCCCACTTCCAAAAGAAAGGCCAACTCGCTCTTTGTCTACCCATGTGTTTTGGAAGGCAGCAGAAAAAGAAAGAAATGGCAAACATCATCGAGCAGGCCGCATGTTTGTAAGTTTGTAAGTGTGAAAGGCAGCTGCTTGACGCCGCGGCACAAAAGGCCCTCTCCGAAGCACAAAACCCGCTTGCCAACCTCCCACTTCGCCAACTGCGCCACTGCCCCCAGTGCCGAAAAGGTCCGCGAAGGGGTCCCTTGGTAAGGTTGGCGCTGAGGTCCCCTGCTATGGCCCTACACTTGGAGCCCAGTGAATAGCCTGGCATCTCAAAGCATGTACCGCCAGGAAAGAGTCGCCAACACTCAAAGAAATCCTCTGTTGTACCAAGCCCCCGACACATAAGCGCTGCTGCTCTTGGAGCCCGCCCTTCACGCCATTGGCTTTGTACAGAAGCCAATTGCTCAAGAGAACAGGTGAGAAAATGCTCCGTGTTAGCAACTTCCGTGCTTGCAGGCAAACGCCGCATATGAAGCCCGAGATTCTGCCCAGGCACAAATGGCGAAGGACTCAGGTTCAGCTATGAAAACGCTAGGTTCAGCTTGAGCTGCTCAGCTGCTCCCTCGCCCATCCTAAGGCTTCCCTCAAGCAGCAGGCAGACAAAGAACATGCGGAGTTCGAGAAGGATGGGAACCTGTGTGCAGAGTTGAGCGCTGCGCGACGACGGTCCGTTCTGCATCTTTGTGGATCCTGCATAAGACTTCGGTGCAGGAGTGGCGCGAATTAGGCCGTCTTATCGAGAACGACAAACGTGGCCTTCTTGCAAGCAGCATGTAGACCTGCATCAGTCTCTTCTCAGAAGTAGCATGTTATGGCATAGCTGGAGCGAGCTCGTGCGCTATGCCCACAATGTGTTGCGGATGTCGAGAGTATCGGAGTTGGGAATTCTGAGGCATGAAAGAGTTCATGCGCACGAAGGCGCCGACTGTTTGACTGCAGCTTCTGAAGTAACGCATAGCGACACAGCGACAGCAGCGTGAATGGCCACGGCAGCAAAGTTGTAGAGTGTCCTAGCATTGAATCAGGCCACAGAAGTCTCATGACCTTGCAGAGTGCTTTAGCAGGTGCGTGGCAAAGAAGAGGGCCGGGCACCTATCGCATCAACCAACAGTCGCAGCTATTGCGAGTTAGGGAAACTTGCTGCATGCCAAGGCGATAGCAAGGATGAGGACAAGCACAAGAAGAAGATTACAAAGCCTGTGCCTGATTTGTGCACTGCTCTGGCGGCTTGCACCTGTAGCGCAAAGCTCCAAAATTCATCGTCATGAGGCACACCTGGGACACTACCAAGTCTTTGGTGACTATGACCTCCAACCAGGACAAGGCACAAGACGAATGCAGTACCTTTGTGGACAAGACTTTTCTTGGCCTTGTCAAAGGCTGCTTTTTTTGTTGGGATGAAGCCTTGCAAGCTGCAATCCAAGATTGCTCATGCTGACAGGTTGCCAGCTACGAGGAAGCCTTCGCACGCATCCAGGTATCTCGCCATCGCTGCAAGATGCACGAGTCGATGCATTCAAGTGGAGACATTCATGCCAGACCAAATCGCGGTACTTCTGCAAGTACGCATGTTTCAGATCACGCCCAGGCGCTCGTTAGGTTTTGTGCACGTGTTCAGGCAGCGACTGGAATCTGTGACATAGACCAGCTTGTGCAGAACTTCATTGACGCGGAGGAGAAGCCCCTAAGATCGCGTAAGCTGGGCTTGGGCCACTTGAAGCACCCCTCGGCCTGACAAGGACACCAACTTCTCCCTCTTCAAGTACAACAATGAGCTCAGCGCAGAGATCGAAAAGCTAGAGCAGCAGATTGCCGAGTACAAGGAAGAGTGCGCCAACAGTAAAACATTCGATGCGCAAGCTCGTCTGTATGCCAGGGAAGTACGATCTCGGCTCGCTTTTGCTTTTGAAGGTACATTACTCTGAGTGGTCAGAGCAGCCGCAAAGAAGACACCGAGAAGGCCCCCCGGAGAATGTGAGATGTGCCATGGTGCCAGTCCGACACGTCGACATGGATGCCTTGTCTGTGTTCCGCTCCTCCTCAGCTGACTGAGATCATGAATACATGCACATGGATAGCAGCCTAGAACATGCATGACTGCGCAACGCGGCCAACCAGTTCTTGAGCCTTGAGCAAGACTATCAGTGACTATCATCCAGTGTGTGAGATGCTGCTTTAGTAGAGCCCGCAGACGGATTCCCATCTTGGAGATGGACTGGGAGTTAAAGACTCCCCGCTCAGGGACTCAAAGCCAGCCCTGGGAGCAGTCTCCCTTGCAAAGCCGCACGCCATGCACCCCCACAAAGCCAATGTGGCTTCAGCGATGCGAGGACATTGTCTTGCGTCAATTCCGTCAGTTTCCTCCAGTCTTCGTTGCTGCCGCGGAACCGCCCCGCCCGCTTATTTGAAGGAACAGAGCAGACAGCAGCAGCTCCGGAGGGCTTGCTTTCTCGTTCAATCTCCTCTCGCTTCCAGTTTCCGGGAATCGAAAAAGCCGAATACCGTGTGGATGTCTTCCAACAACCCGGAAGGGGTGGGAAGGGAAGGGAAGGGAAGGGAAGGGAAGAGATTCCAACTCCGTTTTTAACTGGCAGAAAGTTTCGGACCCGTATCTCCAAACAAAAAATCGATACATGTATATATATATATGTAAATGTATATACATATATATATATACAAGATTTTACTGCAGGTTGCATGAGAGTTGGGCAGTTGCGCAAGGGCATTGTCTGCCGAGACGTGCGCAAGTGTGGCTGGTGGAATGTGTGGGGCAGTGATAGGCCATGGGCCTGGCTCAGCTCATCTCTTAGTGCCCTCAGCTGCCGCACTCGGTGGGTTTCACATCTCGGTACTCGTATGAGTCGACAAGCTCATGCCCAGGGAAGCTCAACGATGCCGATGTGTAACGTTATACTATTTTGATGAGGACGCGTGCAGGCGCTGCCGCTTCCCTTCGTGCTTCACCATCGACAACTCAGCCAAACGAGAGGACCGCCTAGTTATCGACACGCACGACGGCGAGGTGATGTGGGCAGTGTTCGATGGACACCGCCACCCTGAAATTGCAGGTCATGCGTCCCGTGTGTTGCCCCAACTGGTCTGGGCCCAGCCTTCTTGGCCTTCCAAGCCAGATCTAGCCCTTAGCAGAGCCTTACAGCAATGCAATGACCTAGCGAGGCAGGAGAAGCTCTGTGGAGGAAGCACGGCGGTGGCCGTTGCTACTTGTAACAAAGCGTTGTGGTGTGCATGTGCCGGCGATTCACGTGCTGTCGTTGGCCTTCGGAAAGGCGGCAGCCGACGCCTTAGCACAGATCACACGTGCTCTTCGCCAGAGGAGGTGGAGCGTGTGAAGATGTGCGGGGGCCACATTGCCCTGGGACGTCTGGGTGGAATATTGCCCATGACGCGGGGTCTGGGAAATTTCGATCTGGAGGCTGATGGCTTCGCCTGCCTCCCCCAAATCAGCTGCGTGGCGCTTTCGGAGGTGGACTTTGTGGTTCTGGCTTCGGACGGCCTGTGGGACGTGGCCATGCCTAGTCGCTGAGAGCACGTAAGGTAAGAGGGGAAGGCACGCTGACCTTGTGAAACAAAGCAGCACTGCAACATCCTAAGTCCTAAGCGCGTCTCAGGTGCTCAGCGACTCCGAATGCTGCGATTTGGCTAGAAGCTCAGTTCAGGCAAACCATCAGCCACCATGAATCATAATCGCTGAGACTCTGAGTCAGCTAGGTGTGGCACCGGCAATGAGGTGCGGAAATTCGCGTCGACCAGCGCTGCTGCTGAGCTGGCTTCGGTTGCCCGAGAGCGGGGCAGCAGTGATGACATTGCCGTTGTGGTCCCTTGGCTGCAGAACACACGAGCCATGCACATTCACGGGCACTCGGGGGAGAGTCACGCAGTGAGAACTGCCAGGTTAGGAGACGGGGAAAAGCTGGGGTTTTTGCTTCTGAGAAGAGTTCATCTGAGAGGCTGGGTCATGAAAACTCAGAGGCAAGAAGAAGTACGATGTTTGTTGCAGGCGTAGGTGCCGGATTCAGTCGCTTGAGAACTCAGAATGCTTGAAAGAGAACGAACAGAAAGAAATCAGGACTGCGAAGTCACTGAATTGCGAGCAGAAGACATGCGTCGAATGCTCACAGGGAGTCTTGTTGAGCAGCTGAGGTTGGCTACATCCCGGCAGTGATTTCCTCTGCTGGAGGTGCGTAAGTGTCACATCCTTCTCAGAGCCTTGCTTTGGAAAGGAACTTGCACAAGCTAATTCAAGTGTGCATTGTCTAGATGCAGTGTAGATTCTAGATGGTGTGCAAGAAGGTTGGGAGCTTTGCAGTGCACTGACCTAAGTGCCAGCCAAACTCGGAATCCTCTCTGGATTCGCTGCCGTGGAAAGACATGACAACGAAATCACGCGGGATGCTAAAAAAGGTGTGCCATCACAGTCACTTCAAGTATTCGTTTGACCAGCTCCATGCGCCACAGCTTGGCGACGCCCAGACGTGTCCTCGCATGATCTCGCAGTTGTCCCTGCATGCTTCAGGCGAAGATCCTTGAGAGCCTGGAGGAGAAATGGAACGACATCGATCGCAAGGCCATCACCTATGAAGTGAAACACCAGGAGCCGCTCCAGCCGCGCAAGAGTGAGCCATTGCGAGGCTTTGCAACTTGCTATGGTAGCCAACTGTGCCCCATGCCTGTGAGGAGTCGCAGCAGACTCTGTCTCACATCAGGCGGGGCAACTGAAAACGGTTGATAACATGCTGTAGCCAAACCATGCCATGAACAAACGGACTCAACTATATTTCATGAACTTTTCGAACTGCCAGGACCTGCATCGAGTCCATTTTCCGACGGCTGGGCTGCACCGCCGAGGCGCCCAAATCCCGCCCATTCCCCTTTTCATTTTTCTCACCTGCCAAGAGTTTTTGGTGGTCTTCTGCTCTCAAGCACTGAAAACTCCTTCTGAGTGCCCTCACTTAGGATCTGCCCTGTGGTTGTGGCAGTGGCATCTCAGAGGCCAACATGATGGTGTACCAGCCTTGGCAGTCCAAGAAGCCCTGAGACCCTAACGTTTCTTATATTTCTTTTGGCTTAGAATGTGTAAGTGCGGATATGATCGCTGAGTGTGGCACAGCCCGACTCACATGAAAAGGTATCTGGCAATCATCGAGCAGCGAACCAACGAGCTTCTGAAGATGTACGACTCCTTGAAGCAGGACCCGGTCCGAGCCAGTTCCGGGTCTGTGTATCCTTTTTGAGCATGTGCGTCGAGCGTGGCTTCCTTGCCGCAATCCAACTTCTTCTTTCAAATCCGCCGTGGTCCAGAGGGATCTTGGAAAGCCCACCGGCCGGAGGAAGTAGGGACACCCCCCACCTCAAACTTGAACAGAAGTAGACATGGTAGAACAGGCCCAGCTGATCTAAACTAGAACCCAAGATCTGGACGGTTCGAGAAATGTTAAGAGATGTTAAGATTTGTTACTCATGGGTACCCCACAGATCTCGCATTCGGCTGGCAACCTATCCTCACATACCTTGGAGTGCCATTTCAGGAGGATGACGAGTACGAAAGCACCAGGCCGCAGCTGCAAGCTCCAAGTCTGTCAAAACGCCAGTCAGAGCAGCAATCAGAGCGCCAAAAGCAGTTCGGCAGGCCTGCGAGAACTGGGCAGACCTCTACCAGCCTGCAGATGAAGCTCCCAAGCACGGTGGAGGACTTGCCGGCTACCGGAAGACTCGTTACTTCGAGTGTCAACGCTGGGAATCCAAAATGCTTGTGGTATAGCTGGTCTTTGGATTCCCCTCCCGCCTGGCACTTGAAGGACTACTCAGATGATGAAGATGACGAAGACGAGGACGATCAAAGGCTGGTGCTAGCAACAATCAACAATCAACAATGAACAATGAACAATGAACAATGAACAATATTCGGTGGGTAGCTAGTTGGGGCATTTTTGTCAGCCTGCGCTTGCTTCAACTTGACAGGCCTTTCACTCGGGACGAGCTGAAGACCAAAGCAAACAAGAACTACAACAAAAAACAGAAGAAGCCGAGGACTTCATCAGCAATGCCCGTTCCGTTCAGTCGCACTGTCAGCCGGCGTTCAAGTCACACCGACGCTCACACCGACCCCCAGGAAAACTGGAGCACCAACGGAGAAGTAGGTGTTTGTGGCGGGCCTAATCAGCGCATGCTTGTCCCACAGATGCCTGTAACTGTAGTCCGCAGTCGCAGGCTTTTGCCAGCATGAGACTCAGGCACCAATGCTCGTAATTACATTTCTGTAGCCGGGACGGGCCCAAAGGGTCATGGCCTGGAGACCGGTGTCACCCCATGGCAGAGTTCTGAAAGGCATTGTGCAGAGGGCAATTGTGACACCGCTTGGGAATGCAATCTAGGGGGAAACATGCAAACGCCACCTAATCCTCCTAAGTTTTTCATCGCACCGATGATGGAATTCATCCTGACTTCTTGCCCGTGCCAGATGGATCTCACCCGGGCTTCGTTTCACAGGCGAGTTGGGCATGTTCAAAGTTCAAAGTGTGCTAGCAGCAGTGTACTGAGCGAGGGCTTCGCGACCAGCGCCCAACTTCCACGCCCCTTGCGTGTGACTCGAATTCTCTGCGCAAGGACTGACAAAATATGCAGCAGGCTGTGAAGTGAAAGGGGGCTCCTGAACTAGCACTACTTGCATGTCCGGTGAGCTTCTTTCAAGCTTCACTTTTTGTAGCGTTTATGTTCAACCCAGAAGAAGACCAGCACCAGAGCCATTGAACCAGCCATGGAGAAAAAACCATCCGTGGGCTATTTGGGTGCCGGGCTGAGATGTCTGCTTTGCGCATCTTATTGGCAGAGCTCAGCTCATGAAAGCTGCTACAAGGAATGGGCATCATGGGCACTGCCATGGCGTGCAGAGCTCAGTTTCCTCTCTTGGCCTGGGCTATATGTAAAGTGGGCAGAAGTGGGCACTTGTGCCGTGGCAAGGGGGCGATTGGTCGACGCGGGCTATCCTGTCACTGTGTGGCACACCTGGCACAAAGCGAAGAGCAGAGAAGGGCATACTCGGTAGCGCATGCCTAAACGTGCTTTCAGTAGATAGAGCAACTACGATGACTACAGTGTAAAACCATAGTACTTCACCACATGTGTATTCCATCCAGTGTGTATTCCTCTTTCTGTTGCCAGGAATCGATCGCGGGATAAGTGCGCTCCCTTGGAGGCCAAAGGCGCCAAGGCTCCCTGCCACAGTGCAATCGAAAGGCAGAAGTTTCTAGTGCGGAAGGCTATTACTATATTCAGCATGAAGTTCTATGGCATGAGAAAGAGATAGATTGGGTGTCATGTGCTGTCCAGGTCGCTGAGACTGCACAGGAGGTCGTGGAGACCTGTGATGTGACTTTTGCGCGGGAAGCTTGGTGACTGCTCTCGGTTTTGCAGCCTTTCGATGCGGCCGAGCAGCACGGGTGTGCTGCAAGGCTTTAGTCAAGGTAGATCTTGGTTCATCGCATGTGTGTGTGTGTGCTTTCTGTTGGCACTGCAGCTACGCTGCGTTTTTACCTTTAATTCATGCCTAAATGGAGGCACGACTTCTCATGAAACAGAAACGACGTGAGCGCTGCCCCACGGGAAACACGCCTCAGTCTCAATCGGTTGATTATCTGCTTCTTGCAGCTGACGACTCAAGATGGGAACGGCGTCACAGCACTTTGCGAAGCTTAGTGAAGAAGCGACAGCCCCTCGAAATTACAGTTTGTTTCAGCTGCGTGTGGCGTACCATCCAGGCACTCCATGGTACTCTTACGAATTCTTGCCATCCTGGTCAGAGCACAACAGTGCAATCGGCTGGGAGTCGTGAGTTTTTGGACGTTTGTCTTGTGACAATCCGGCTCTTGGCACGGGCTCCTAATCGGGCTTGCTGTGGATGCACTTGCAAATCTTGGTTCGACTTCAGTTCGTGCCTGCTCCTGAACGTGGGGTCTAGGTCTACAGGCTTACCTTGTTTGTTGCGTGGGGCATGTTTACGGTATTGTTGTACAGACTTGCCCTCTTTTGGATCTTCTTTGCGCAGAAGTAGGTTGTCCTCGTGGCTTAGCGTGTGCTATGCGCGCCGTAGGTGCACTTCGGACCCAATCTCGGCGAGAGCTGTGGTTTTCGGTGAGAAGGGTGTTTTGGCAGGAGCCGAGGGTGACGCCAAAGATTGTCGCAATTACAGGTACGTCAAGTCCGTGCTGCGCAGGCATTACGAAGGGCAAGCGCTTTGTGGACATGTCAACCGTAGATGAGGACAGCCATTTTCGGTTTGCATGTTGTGTTGCACGGAGAGCAGGGTATACTTTGTGGCAGATCAAATTCTTTCTCCAAATTTTGCAGCAGTTGCTAGGAGTGCGTGAAGGAAATCGCCCTGGCCTTCGATTTTTTTGGCAGTGTGGCTGCACAAAGCTGTGACAAACATTCCTCGGCCAAGGCCGATGCCGTCACAGCCAAAGGTGGTCGTTTTGTTGAGGCCGTGACATTGCAGAATTTGCGAGGGCTCTCCCCTCGTAGCAGTGCTCAGGCACCAGTCAGTGGCTCCAAAGGTCCCGCGCTGCAAGGCTAGGCTTGAGCCAACATGAGGTTTTTTGTTTCATTGTAATTGTTCGGCCCTTTAGGACGAATTCAGTTTCACTTTGTGTAAATGGTCGGCTGGATTTCTTCCTGACGAAGCAGCTTGTGGCATTCTGTGGCGGAATCGTGCACCAAGAAACGGTTCTGACTGCAAAATCTCTAGGATTTCTCGGTCTTCTCCATTAATCGTCGAAATCGTCTCATTGGGGATGCTGGAGGTTCGGAAAGGGTTTGAGTGGGAAGGGCCTGTCGAAAAGTTCTTGCAGATATAGAGCAACTGGCCCAAGAGCAGAAATTGATCAGGCCAGCTGGTGATCCTTGCAGCTGGAGAGGAGGCCCTCCAGAAGGAGGTTGGGGAACTCAACAAAGGGTAGCACAGCGCCCAAGGGGGCTTGGAGGATTGTCGCCACGGCCCTGTTGGAAGGTGCAGCCTTGCTTCGACGTGTTGGGCAAGAGAACGTTCTTCCTCGGTGAGGCAAGGCAGCGCTTCTGACTCGCTTTCGAGTTTTGAGAAAGCTTTGGGCAGGTAGGATGTGGAGCAAGGATGAAGCTCGTTATCAACATGGCCACTGGCCGAGGTTCATGTCACGCCCATTCGTATTGAATCGTCAGTCAAGAGCTTCTTGAGGGTTGCGACCTAGGTGATGGGAATCAACATGGTTGCTCTGTCTGAGGGTCTTGCAGCCTGCGCCCTTGTGCAGCAGTGGGGCGCATTTCTGCATGTTTTCTGGACCTAGGTGGGACAGAAAGCAGGCCTCCAAGGGAAGGATATCTTAGAGGCAGCATGCAGCAATGCAGCGTCCACCGGCAGCAAATTATCACAACACACCCCTCACGTTTCACAGGTCATTAAAGAAGGCGCCATCGCGTCGCCAATGTATGGCTTGAAGGCAATCCACTGTGCGACGACATTGCGACGTCATTGGGCTGCGAGCGGTGTTTGCGATGTCCCCAGGGTCCGAAAATGCTGGAGGGAGACTTTGCTCCCAACTTCCCACTGAAGCACCAACAGAAGGCAGAGCAGCGCGTGAGCTCTTAAGACTCTGAAGCCTCCGCTTGAACCTCCAACTTGAGAGCAGGATGTCAGATTAGCCGTGGATCTCGGTGACAAGGTGGGACAGCTGGAGCCCAAGAGCCCTAAGGCATAGGGGCGAAACTGCACATTTTCCCGTCTTTGCCTTGGGTCTCTTGTGCACACTGGCACGAACATGGTCTCTTTAGGCCAATGCCGCTGGCGGCTGCTGCCAATGAAGCTTTCAAGGCTGCTATAGCTCTTCCCCTTATCATGAAGCCCCCCCTCCATAGAGAAATCCGGATCCGGGCCAGACTTTCTTACTTCAGGGGGTTTCGGGTTTGGGAAATGGAGCCCGGAAGCCCAAATGTGGTAATGCTTTGTGTTGAATTTCAATTGATTTTTTGAAGTTTAGGTTCGATATTTAGGTCTCGGAATCCGCTCAAAGCCACACTCCAACATCTTAAGGCCTCCCCGTCCGGGGGGGGGGCGGGTCCGGCCAATAATTTCTTTTATCAGGAAGGGCTTTCATAATCATGTGAAGGGATTCGCGTGATTCGCCCTTGTAAGCAAGTTCAGGCTTCACGCAGCCAATGGTGCCCCTAAGCTTGCACAGATGTGTGCAATTCTGATTGGCTGGAAGCTTGTAGCTGGGCATAGCTGGGAGTGGCTCGGAAGTGCCGCGGGTGTATGGTGTGCACTCGGGAAGCCCCTGCTTGTTGTGCAGGCAGCTCGTGCGGCGGGGAAGGGAGACGAGGCTCTTTATCCCTTCGCTCGTGTGTGCGGTCTCACCGGGTTTCATGTTAGGACTTCTCAGCTGTTTTCGCTGCAGTCCACGACTTAGCTGCTGCGCTGCCTCGCAGTTCGGACTACAAGCTTTCGAATCGTGCAGAGGTGCAGCTTCTTTGATTTGTGGCCGAAGGTGAATCGATGAGCTTTCAAGGTGCTCGAGATTGCTCGAGATTGAAAGGAGTCCCGCGTTTCCTTGCCGGGGGCCGAAGGACTGGCAGCCGAGGCCTTGTCAGGCTCAGGCCAAAGCAGCGCCGGTCACAAGGACCGGCCGGAGTCCACCCGATTCCCGGGCTCCATAGGTAGGTTTAGGCCAAGGCCCGGCATGCAGCTGAGGAGATTCTCCTACCCCGGTTGCACACCAGCTTGTCGTTGTAGACACAAAACGGCCCGAAGCTTGAGATGCCCAGCCTTGCTTTCTCCCTTCCAAGTAACAATCTCGGACACCTACCAGTTCCGAACTTACAGTTTGACCTCGGTTGGCGAGCTCGTACTGATACTGCTAGGTTGGTCCATGCTGGGCCAATGGCTGTTGCACACCGCATATATATATATATATACACACACACACACCATCACACGCCCCCCCAACGACGAGTTGTTGTTTCAGGCCGATAACCAGGGGATGCGCGATTGCCAATCGACAGCTCTTGGATTTTGTTTGCGCTTCTGCCTCGCATGCCTTCGAAGCATAGCTGCAGCATTGGCTCGGCCGGCCTCCGTCCACCCCTTGGGCTGTGGTGATCATGCTGGGCATGCTGAGACGCTCGCAGGCGGACTTCTTCGCCTGCAGTTGTGTCAGCACTTCTGCTTCTGTTTCTGATACCAAGCACCGCTCAAGAGCGCATGGCATGGCTATGCACTCGGCTTCTCAGAGGCGCGCCTGGCGCTTCGCTCGGCTCCTCGGCGTGGAGGCTTCGGGTCGCCGAAAGATCATGAGCCTGCAGGGCGCTCAGATGTGCTCAGCTTCTGCGGCCCCCCGCTTGAGTTGAGAATACCCTAAGTAGCTTGATGTTGCAGTTTGAACAGATGTTGTGTTTTGTGAGGCCTGGATTGAGCGTTGGATGGCCGACAGGCGTGAGGGTCAGGCAGCCGACCCAGATTGTAGAGAAGGTAACGTTCGGTGGGGCAAATTTCGTTCGTGCCTCCAGGACAAGATGGACTGGTTCTTCCGCGCCTTCAACTCCACGCGCATCTACGAGGTTGCGGGCGTTGGCCAGACCATGGCAGATGACCATCAACGCATGCCATGTGTGAGACTAGCTGACCGCAACAGATACGCGACTGACTGTCTAAGCCTACTAACTTGGTGCAGACCTTTCTGAAAAGCTCTCCTCGATTCTACGGCTTCATTGTCTGGTCCAGCATCATTGGTGGGTGCTCTGCCATTTATCAGAAGCTGAAGTAGGATTGAGCCTTGCGTGTTTTGCTTTGCTTTAGTGTAGTCCCCGAGCTCCAAGGTATTGCTGGAGCCGAATGTGGGATCACATCTGGGACTACATCAATCAGGTCAGACATGTTGAACATTGTTGCTTTGCTTTCTGCTTCTGTGAGCGAGTTAAGGGTTCCCTTGCGGTGATTCCAGTGCGCGCCTTGCAAACGATCCGTGCTCCGGCCAGGGCAAGCTGTATCGTCACAACCCCTACGTGTACCCGATTCCGGACGATGACGAGTGAGCTTAAAGGCTTGCTGGTGGCCGGCAAGAAAGTTCACTTCTTATGACTCTTCCATGCAGGCCATGCGAAGTGGGGAAGGAAAGAGTCTGAGAGGCAGTTTAAGTGGCCTAGGGCAGAACGTGATTTCTCTCAACGCCTCGTGGCACGCTTTTGGCCAAGAGGCTCGTTTGCCTCCGCTTGAGCGGGACGTTGGCTACATGCCTTTCTCCGCACCTTGAGCCTTTGATGGGCCTGGTCATGCCTAGCCTCCCTAGCCGTTGTCTAAGCCACTGGCCTCTGCAAACTAGCCTGTGCAGTTACGTTGACACCTTAGAGATATTGAAGGTAGCAGAGTTCGATGGATAACGCTAAGCTGTGTAACACTTTCTTAAACTTGCAACTTTCTGACGGACGCAAGCACTCAACATTCTTAAGGTGAGCTAAAAGGCTGTGCACAGGAATTTACTTTTGTTCCTCATGAGCTGCGTTGCTTGTGCAGTAACATGGCATGCCAGCGGCGTTTTGGCCCGGTCGGGTGGGGGTCTACGCAGGAGCCGATCCCTATTTGTAGAGCTTAGAAAACTGGAGGTCTTGCGAAGACACTCAGCAAAAACAGGGTCACATCATTTGAACGAGGCTGCTTGGGCCATGGCATCTTAGCCGTCCGTTTTGAAAGTAATGCGCGGCCCACGACGTGTTTATTGAGGCAAAGATGCCACAAACCGGATCGGCATGTGACAACAAGGTCCGGGAAGCTGAAGGGCATCTACGACGCGTTAGACCATGCAAACTACAAAAATGCCGTTGCCCCGATCGACTCCGACGTACAACAGCACCTTTCGTCTGTCTCGTTGTTGCCAGGCCTGCAAGCTTTGTACTACCTTCCTGCAGAAGCAGCCTGCTCATGCGCCATAGCCTCAACAAGATCCGTTTCGCGTAGCCTTATAGCATTGTCTTCTCTGTTGTCGGGCATGACATATGGGCCATTTAAGTCCGTGTGGGGAGGCTTGCTCGGGCACTCCACGCAGTGGCGTTGGAGCGCTGTGGTCGGAAAGATGAGGTGGGCCCTGGGCTCGCCACCGCAGATTTATGAGAGATCCCGCACTGAACCCTTTCCCCTTGGTAACAGGCAGTGCAGCTGTGTCAGGAGACGGTTTCAGCAGGAGTTGGCCTCAACTTTTTTGTGGACGGGTGTGGTTGAAGCAGACATGTTCACCAGAGGTGCCACTGCCTCGAGCGCAGCTGTGGCATTCCTGGACGAGACCTGTCTCAACACGTTGCAGGCCCGAAAGAAATCCAGACAAAGTTTCCATCGATAGAATCTTGTGCAAGCCCGGCAGCTGAATGCCAGGTGGTTTTCAGGCGTTGTCGGCACTGGGAGGCAATCACCGAGATGTTCGAGGTGATGCAGCTCCTTGCCTGACGAACCGTCTGAAGTGCTTGGATGTTGCACTCAGGCTGCCTGGAACAGGGAGCCGGACATGGAGGAGCAGGAGCCTCATGCACGGAATGCCCGCACATAAACATGAGCACCGCAGCTCGCCAAGACCGATGGCACTCCGAGGTATGCCACCTCCCTTTTCCTTAGTCACATCCGCTTGCGCGAGTTTGCGAAGGGACAGCAGGCTCTTTGGAACAGCAGAACAACAGAGCAACAGTGCTGCTGCTGCTGCTGCTGCTGCTACTGCTGCTGCTGCTGCTGCTGCTGCTGCTGCTGCTGCTGCTTCGGCATGCCACAAGTCTTGTCCCAACTGCTCTCGCATGATCAGAACAGGTAGCGACAAAGATGTACCGGAAGTTTAACAAAGGCCAGTATCTTCTCTGGGCGCTTTCCTGAGACTGCTGCACGTCTGAGAAGTGGCCTGTGTCTTCACCTGTTGAACACAAGGTCATTGCCACCATTCTTCTTCAAGTTCGGGCGCGGTTGCACTTGAAGACATAGCTTGGGTTCGTGGGTTTTTTTTGGGGGCCTTTGCACGTCTGGTGCCTGCGAGGATGGTGGTCCCATGAAGATGCTAGACCTGGCAGTGATGATGCTGCAGAAGGCGAAGCGCCAAAGGATGTGCTCTCCGAATGAATCGGTTTGAACAGCGGCAGTTTGGATGTCCAGAGTCCTGTATAACTAACCGCTTCCCTTCACGTCACCCCTCCCTGCCCTTCCCAAAAGGATCACGCACAACTTCTGTCTAACTTCTGTCTCAGGCTCTCAGGTCCATGATGGTCCATGTCTATCACAAAAGGGCAGATTCCAAGAATGGGGGCGGCTACGGGGCGCTCTCGATTTGGGATGCGTAAGGTAGGAGATGCATGCAATTTGTGCTATCCGAGCAGGCGTCATCATGCTATTACGTTTCTGTTCGTGCTATTGTTATTGTCACGTCTTCTTGTTCTTGTTCTTCTTCGTCTTCTTGTTACTATGGTGTTGCTCCTCGTTCAATTCGTCTTCTTGTTGTTCTTCTTTTCTTGTTCTTGTCGTCGCCATCCCAAGTGGTGGCCTTTGTCGTTGTCATTGTCGTTTGTTGTGGTGGTTGCGGTGGCTGTGGTGGTTGTTGTGGTTGTTGTTCCGCGACTCAGAGACTACACTTGCTGGTTATCATTGATGGCTTCCAGGCGCCCATCAATCTTGACGCCCTTAAGGAGAGCAAGGTCCCCTTCAATCGAGGCTCCGAGCAGTGCCAGCGTGTACTTAGCACACTTTGTTGAATCGGCACTCTGGAAAGGTCAGCTCTACCTTTTCCTGCTCCATCTCAGCACACTTCAGCTGCAGAAGAAGCAGGCGCCATCATGAAGTGTTAGCCTGTCAGGGTTTTTGAGGGGGCTTTGGTGTTACAGGCAGCTTCTTTGAGTTACTAGTTACACTCTGTGTTTGGAAGCATGTTGAAGAGGTGGAGGCCTTGGAGATGCTGGAGGCTTCTCGTCCGGACACATCCGCGCATGGCAGTGTGCTGTGTTGAGATGTGTGACGGGCCTGTGACGGGCCATGTGGGGGTGTCCGCAGGCTGGTAGGCTGCTGCTGAAGCTGCCCTCAGACCTCTCGGCGCTGCGCGTGCGCTCTCCGGATCTGTGATGTCAATGGCACCAACGTCACGAAGTGTCACGACACCTCCCACGACAACCCCCAGTCACCAGTCTTCAGGTGCAGCTCCTCTGGGAGGCACTGCCGTTAGCTGCTTTAGTGGCAGTTTGAATCTTCCATGTGAAAGGCCCGAAAGGTCATTGTCACTTGAAGTCATGTGTACCCTTGCTCACATCAGAGGCCGGAAGGTGCCAAGAGGCGGCACTTGAGGCTGGGGTTTCTAGAACTTGCGACACGGTACCTCAATGTGCCTCACAGCCTCACGGCTTTGACAAACCGAGGCACGTGCACATGTCATCGCCAGCCCGGGCAGCTGGACTTCTGCCCAGGCAGGGGGCCACCTAACTTCGCATACATGGCAGGATACCGTGTGTCACGTGCCAGAGCACGAGCTCACACCACACAAGCACCATGCGCTTTCGGGCTCGTTGACAAACAACTGCACTGAATGTAGTCCTCGCATGCAAGGACTATGCTCGGCTGATACTCGACTTGCCTTCGCCAGATGGCTTCGATGTTGGGAGCCCGTTCATAACACAGCGCTGCCGAACTGCTCTCATCCCAAACAGTCACCAGAAACCGGCAACTTGCACCGACGTTTCGAGCGTCAAGCCCCTCGAAAAAGAGAAAGCGAGAAAGATAGAAAGCGAGAAAGACAGAGAGAGAGAGAGAGAGTGAGAGTGAGAGAGAGAGGAAAAATAGAGAGAGAGAGAGAGGGTTCGTCCCCCATGCCTCCAGAAAGAAAGAGAGAGAGAGAGAGAGACAGCATGCTCGATCCCCAAACCTTCGGCTCTAAACAGGGGCACGCGCTGCGCAGGGGGCTTGACTCCCGAAGCCCCGCGAAAGAAGGAAAGAAAGGAGAACGAACGGACAAACAAACGGAAAGAAAAATAGAAAGAAAGAACGAAAGAAAGAAGGAAATAAAGCAAGAAAGAAAGAAGTAAAGAAGAAAGAAAGAAAGAAGTAAAGGAAACATGAACGAACGAAAGAAAAGAAAGAAAGAACGAACGAAAGAGCAGAAAGAGCAGAAAGAAAGAACATAAAGAAGGATCATAAACACAAAAAAGTAACGAGCGGACGAAGGGGTGACGCTCCAGACAGTGTCTGGGCTCGTGTTTCACACCAACAGACCCTGTGGAGCACAGGAAGGAAGGAAGGAAGGAAGGAAGGAAGGAAGGAAGGAAGGAAGGAAGGAAGGAAGGAAGGAAGGAAGGAAGAAAGAAACACACACAGAAAGACATAAATACAGAAAGAACTAAATCAAGCAAGTAACAAAGAAGAAGGAACGAAGCAATGTGTGTGTGTGTGTCTGTGTACGACTGTGTCTCAGGAAGTTTGTTGCGCGGGTGGGGGCTTCGGAGGTGGCTGGTTGGTTGGGCTGTAAACGCTCAGTAGCAGCAAACGGCCAGTGCAGCAGGGCATGTGTCATGCACGGTGGGTCATGCCCCCACGTCGGGGTGTCGTTCTTCTGGGGTTTACTTGGTCGGCGCTATCGCTCTTAGAGATACGATGATGAGTAGAGTCTGTCACCTCAACAAACGGAGGAGGAAGGGTAGGCTGTTGACCGAGGACTTGTGTGTGCTTGCGGGGGAGGGGGACGTTGAATTGAGTGTGCTGTCTTCATCGGGGGGGAGGTTCCATCAGTTCTATCGGCATGGCGTTTCAAGAAATTTGTTGTGCGAGCGGGGTGAAGGTTGGAGTGTAGGAATCTTCCACGAGCCGTGCATGGCAAAGCGTAGATGCCGATGTGGGGGCAGTGTTGGAGTTGTTGACAGCGAGTAGCCTAGGCCCCGATCCCGTAGCCTGCTGAGAAGAAAAAACCGACGAGGGAGAGAGAAGAGAGAGAGAGAGAGAGAGTTGGACATCACAAAAGTCTCACGTACGCGGGAGCGGGGCGCGCCTTGGCGCAGGGTCCGTCCCTATGCCCCTAAGCAAAGCAAAGCAAAGAGAGAGAGAGTTGCTTAGTGGGGGCGCTCAGACCGCGAGGGGGCTTGCCGCATGCCCCAAGAAAGAAAGAAGGAAAGAAAGAGATAGAAAGAGATCAAGTTGCTTCTCCATGCCAGTCCCTCCGACCTCAGTTGAAGCCCCCGCGAGCATTCAATGAGCTTCAGGCTTCGAAAGGCCATACCGCACGCTTGTCCGGCATCCTTCCATCGGTCTGGATGCTGAGCTGTCAAATGCTGTCGACATCCACTTGCCACGACTTGGAAGCAGGATGTGACATGCCTTCCTGCATCTCAATTCGAGAGCGTGTCCGCGGCGTGGCCGAGGTCGTAACGATTGAAGATGTGAAATCTAGTTCGACAGAGGATGAGGCCAGTGCCGTGCCTTGAGCATGTAACATACGTGACCATGTTTTTGGACAGTGGCTGTTGACGGATGCAGGCATGGAATGCACTGCTGCTCTTCCGACACTTGCAACAGGTGGAGGACGGTGGCACCATGACATGCGCGCACACACACACACACGCCCCAGAGAAGTATGCATATGTGTATACATGTACATATACACCGAAAAAAGTGGTGGCAGCCAATAGCAGTAGTGGGCCGATCGGATCGGAGGAGAAGGGGCTTAGCACCGGCGGTGGGAGCGGTGTCAATCGTGTCGCCTTTCTGGGAGAGCTCGAGCTGCGAAGGCCCTGCTGCAAGCTGCTGCAAGCTTATCCTAGCTTCATGCTGGCATGCTGCTGCCGTGGCCTTTCAACGGAGGTGCGCTCTTGCACGGACGCAGCTTGAGCAAGTGGCAGGCAGAGCCGAAGATTTCCAGGCGACGGGTCGGCATTTCGTGTCCAGAATTGTTTAGATCACCCCCGCAGGAGATGGTCAAGGTCATGAGCACCTTCGTGCAGCGCTTTGCGGGAAGGCAACACTGTGAACGATAGACAACGGCCGTCAGCGACCATGTTTCCCATAAAAGGGTCCACCTTTCGACCTCCCTGGTAGGGCCCACTGCTTTTTCGACTTGAAGCCTTATCTTGCGTGTCTCTCGGCCCTTGACTGAGGCGCATCTTGTTGCATGGTACCGGGAGCTTATGAGGCAACGACGCCCAAATCAGCTGAGGATTCCGATGCATCGCCACTGTTGTCGGCAGCAGCAGCCAGTCAGGCAGGTCTCCGCATCTGTCCTATCTGGGTGTACATGTGAAGTTGTACATGGCATAGCCAGGATCGGGAGGCGGTGGTGCTCGAGGCCAGGTTAAGGAGATCTCTCCGAAGAGCGGAGCGGGTCGTGGGGACCTCTCATGTTCCTTTCAATGTCTTACAACGTGCTCTTCGATGACCCATGTACATTATGTACATTTCCAAGGCCGTCACAGCCGAGCAGTCAGCATCCGAGGTGCTTCCATAGCATTGCATGGCCTTTCTGCGAGGTTTTCGAGCCTTCCGAGCCTTTCCTGAGCCTTTCCAGAGCACGCTTTGAACTTCGCTCATTCGCTCGGCAGGAAGCCGAAGCCTGCCGCTTGGTGGAGACCTGGACCCGATTCGGAGGCAGGGGGAGCCCTGATTCGGAAGACCGCACGTTTTAAAGTTGTTTTTGGGCGTTTTTTTTGAGCGAAGGTGGCTCCGGAGAAGGGAACCGAAGCCCTGAAGCCTTGCTGCAGCTGGCAGCTTTGGCCTTGGCAGAGAGCCGTGTGTGCTTAGCCACCAGCGCATGAAGCGCATGTCTCCCTCTGAGGTCGTGGCCCTTATTGAGGCAGACAGGTCGTCACCCAGCAAGGCAAGGCTGCGACCTGCCGCAACTGCTATCTCAAGCCCATCTCATCCCATCCTCTCTGCTTCTTCTGCTTCTGTTCTATTCTCTCTGATTCTCATTTTCATTGGGTTTCTCAAACCCTTCTTCTTCTACCGTTCTACCCCCCCCAACATGAAACTAGTCCTTCGTAGCCGGGTGAGTGGCATGTTCACGGTGTTGTGCGACAGCCGAAAACCAGAGAACACGAGGAAGTGTGCATGAGAGCTTGTCTTCAGATCCCCGCATTCCTTAGGCGTAATCTTCTTCTGTGAGCCCTGCTGCTTTTTCTCTTGCTCTTGGGGTTGATGCAGCAACGCCAGAAACTCTAAATATTCATTCTGCAGCATGCTGCAGCGGTTTCAAAGATTCCTTCCGCTAAGCTGGCCGGCAGGGAGTGCATCGACAGCATCTTCTTGATGCCATTGTGCCGGCTGCCTTGCAGATGCTCACAGAGATGCATTCAGAGAACATCTTTGGTTTTTCAAATGCCCGAGGCTTGCGCAGTTGGGCCTAAAGGAGCAGAAGCATGCTTTCGGGTTCAAGGCCCTGAGAGGCTTGAAAGGAGGCAACGGAGGCAACATGCTCCCTCCGTCCCGAATGGAGGTGCTGCTGCAGTTGATGTACAGTGCAATGGGCTTGCCGATGTTGATGTTCAAACTGCGCCTTGACTATCTTGGACAGTTGCAGCATTCCTTGCAGCTTTGTGAGAGTTGTCAGATGCCAAGTTTCGCCTTAATCTCCAAGAAGAATGCGCAGCCCAGGCATAGCACAATGGACATCAAAAACATCCAGGTTGGCATTTTTTCTGGCATCAGCGTGGTCATGCTCATGCTGTGTGGGCAAGCGCAATTACCTGCTGCAACAAATCGAAGCCATGGCTGAGAGATCAAGCATGGCAAAATAGCTTCTTTTGCATGATGGCAGCTCCGTGACAGCAGGCTTGCGTAGCTGGCATCGTGTGCACAATAGCAAGCAAGTAGCCAGCCCTCAGAACCATGTAGAGCCTTGTCATGGCGATCCGGCCATGTCCTGCTGGGTGCTCTCCAGAGGCAGGGGACGTCTCCATGGGTCTCAATTCGCTTTCCTCCCTGGAGCTGAGGACGATGACGAAGCTCAGGATGCGGCATCAGCTTTGCCCGAGGCAGTGGTTTCGCCTGAATCGCGGCCAGGTTGCGCATGTTGCGCTGAGTTCAGAGCGGTTTGGGGTCGGGAGCACGTTCGGATGTGATCAAGTCTCGCTAAGGCAGGCAGGAACGCAGTCAGTGCAGAGTTCGCCTGCTCCGTCGGCGACTTGTAAATGGAACGATGGTTGCAGTTAAGAGTCTACAGTTACATGATGTTGCAGGGCATTGCGTGGTCATGGTATGATTGGTATGGGCATGAACATGTCGGACACCAAGGCCTGCAGCTGAACAGATCGACTATGATGAGTTGTTCGAAATCCTTCGAAAAGGCGTTTGGGTGTTTGTTGCAGGTAGTCTCAGTCGCAATAATCCACTCATCTGTGCTCGTAGCTCGTAGCTGCCAGTGACATTAACTTGCATATTGCGCTCCTGGCATGTCGAGGTTTGCTGTGTCGAGCTATCACTTCTGACCGGTTTGTGAGAGGCTTCCCCGACGCGGAGCAACTCCGGAGCGAAGAAGGCGTTGAAGGCGTTGAAGGCGTTGAAGGCAAGAAGTTCATCAGCGGGGCAAAAGGTGCACATCGCAGGGGTTGCACGTGGGGCATAGGACTGAGAGCTGAGGGTGAGTATGCTTGACGTGGCTTGAGGTGCGTCCTCTGCTCGGCACTCCGGTCCAAAGCCTGATAGACTCACAGCATTGGTTATCAACCGCAGGCGCAGAAGACGAGCCGTGCTCCACTACTCCAGCTACAAAACGTCAAGCAAGCATCAGGGGCGTGATCGAGCAGGACACACTCAGGAACCATTCTCGATGAAACTGCTTGAACAAAGACATCAGACTCTTCAGGAGCTTTCTGCAGAAAGTGATGCAGGGGGTATCTTTGTACATAGTGGCTCGATGCTTGGCACGATTCCCTCCCACACTCGCAAAGCAAACGAGTCTGTCTTGACAAGGGCTGATTTGACCAGGTCTCCTGCTGGACAGTCCAGCTTCCAAGCGCCCGCGGTTGCTCGGCAGAGCCTTGCGAGAGCAGTGACCCAGTAGACAGAATGTGGCATGTGCTGTGAAGAGTAGTTCTTACTGTACAATGCCTCTGCAAGTTTTTGGTGTTTTGGTTAGGTGTACTTTGTTGACCAAGGCTGGATGGGATGAAGGTGCGCTTGCCTTGTGTTTGTTTTGCTGTGATCAGCAAGCTGAGAAGCTGTGCTTTTTCCTTTTTGTCGACAGCGAGGGTCGCATGTTGCTGGACTGTTCGAATTCGGGTTGAATGCAGCATTTATGGCCAAAAGAAAGTCGACGTGACCTGGTCCCACCTCGACCATCGACCTGAAGACATGGTCCTTGCCTCGCTTATCCGATGTCCTCGTTTGCTCTGGTCGTGTGAGTTCCCATGCGCAGAGTAAGGCTGGCATACTTATGCAGCTCGCAGTGCTGCTATGCAGCTACCAGGGCATTGCCCAATCAAGTGCTTCCCGTCTCAGCCTTAGCACGAGACACCACTAGCCACGTGCCACATGAGACAATGAAGTGACGAAAGCACTAAGTTCAAGCTACATCTGCAGCGGAGAGCGCTGAGACCCAGCGTCTTGGCTGGAAGATAGCAGACGGAGATATACAGACGCAGGATCCAAAACCCTTTGTGAGGTCCTGGCGGAAGGATCTGTCTCCTCAACTTCAGCAACAGCTGCACCAACGCCTGGCTGACCTGAAGGCTTCAGTGTCACGAGCAACGAAATGGCCGCTGTGAGATTAAGATGTCGGCAGGGTTGCCGGAAGTTTTCAGGACAACGCGCAGCACGACCTGCACATGATGTCCGAGAGTGGAGACGACGAGCTTCGAGGACTGAAGCGAGCGCCACTGTGACAGCAAGTAGATTCGTTGCCAGCATGAGCAGGTGGTGTGGAGATGGACCCAGGGTTACAGGAGTGCGATGCAGGATTTCGATGGATGTTTGTGGATTCAGGAGTTTAGTTGGGTGGCAGAGGGTGTATTCAAATCAGCATTATACATAGTACATGAGCCTAAATGTCACTGTAGTTTGGTAAGCTGTGAGCCCCGCAACATGTAGATATGCCGCGAAAGATTCGCGATGGCACCTGCAACTTGTTTTTCGCGAAAGGTTTTGATGCAACCCAGGTTGCGTCCTATGTTGCCAGCAGCTTTGAGAGGCTCAGTTTCCTGCCAGACTGCCCATCCGAATTCTGCGCATTTTTGGCAACTTTGATCCCAAGCCCAGATTGCGTTCATCCTTCTCAGGCCGCCTCCAAAACAAACAAGTACAGAGTCCTCGTGGCAGGATTTCTCGCGAAAGCCGCGCTTAAGTCAAGGTGGCCAGTCGTAGGACCGAACTCATCATAGACATTCCGGACCTGTGCACCTAGGGGTGTAGAAAGGTCGAAAGGTCTACGGTTGTTAGGTTCTTGGGTTTGAGGTTTTAGCCTAGCGTCTGGGGCTTTGCTTCTCATATCATCATATCTCTTACATACGGCGCCAATCTGCTGTCGCATCCAGGATCTGCAAGACATCTCATCATCCCGTCCGTTTCCGGGTTCAAGCCCGATATAGGGTCTATGTAGGGGTTTAGGGTCTGGAGTTGGTTTGGTTTGTTTGGAAAACTTCGGGATCCAGGGCACTGAGAACAGAAACCCGCGCGACGACGGGTCCGCGAAAGTTCCGCGAAAACAAGTTGTTTCCCGCGAACAAGCCCATGTTGGGATGATGGAATTTCGATCAGCGGATATATGTATCTGTATATATATATATAGATATATATCCTCATATATATATATATAAATATATGAAGATTCCCTACGGTTAAAAATCTCTTGGCTGGCGCCTGATTCTGAAGGCGCATAGCCGCAGAGTCCAAAGCCGAGCAGAAGTCTGGGCCCTGCCTCGGGCGCGACATGGGGGGCGTCACGAGTGTTCGATGAGGTCAAGAGCCTTCCAAGACCGTGAGGGTTCGACCATTTTAGGTTTGACAGGACGAAGGCATCTCCGTGCCATTCTCAAACTGTCCGGGGCCAAGGTTCGAAAGATTAGAAGAGCGCAGCATGCGGAAGCAGGCTGGCGCGGAGGAGCAGCCTGAATGTCTGAAACCTGAGACCATCTTGAGCCCCCTGGGTAATGTGCGAAGAATTCGACACAACCTTGGACGCGTCATACACAACGCTTGCAGGAGTCCCTGCAGAAGAAGCTGACCAAGCTGAAGGACTTTGCTGTTGCTGGATGGAGCTGTTGCAGTGCAGGCGGACAAGCAAGTGACAGCAACAGCAATCGGAGAAGCGTCAATGACGAAGCTAAACCAAAATGTTAGAATCGAGAACTTACTCACCAAAGGCCCGCAGTTTCTGAACATGGCACCTCACCAAAGGCCCTCCCAGTTTGTAGATGTGCACCGAGGGGAGTAGGTGCTGTGGTTGGTGCATGCACTAACTGCTGCACGGTATTGTGCCACGCAATACCGACTGAATCCAGTGCAAGGGCTTTTTTTGCAGATACCATGCACGGCAGAGGACGCTGCTGACAAGAAAGAGGCGCACTTTGAGAAAGCAGAGCAAGAAACGCTCAACAAGCTCAAGCGGGAGCGGTTTGTCTGCAAGTGGCGTCCACAGACACGGTTTGACCAGCTTCGGAGAAGGGGGCAAAACGGGAGCTATTGATCCTTCATTAGTGCCGACGGCTGCAAGTCTCGGCGAAGCTCACAGGGTTGCTTTCCAAAGGTTACTTTCAGTATAGTTTTTTCAAAGCCTTAAATCCGTCTTGTGGCCTTTTTAGGTATGACGACAAGGAGGCGAAAGTGCTCGGCAAGTGCGGGGCATGGTTCGGATTTCCTCCAAGGCGAATCTTTCTGCATTTGAGTGAATTCACTCAGATTCCAGCATGAAGCAGAACAAGCCTGGATGAACCAGTTCCAGAAGAAGCCAGAGGCCAACCAAATCAGCATTACGGTGTAGCTACTTAGGTGTGTCGCAGAGATGCTGGAGATTCTAAGATTCGTTCGCTTTCTTGGAAACTCAGGCCACCTCCCTGCTTGCTGGGATGCATGCCAATGCAAGCAAGCCCGCCCCTGCCAACAAGCCGACACCCCGGTGCATGGACTTTTCATATTGTCATGCATTCTGCGCAAGCATGCGCAAGCCGTTATGCTGAAGGTCCAGCGACTGGTGGAAGGCTCTTGGGCAGCCTGGGGGTAAACCGGTGCAGATTCTGCAGGCCATTCTCGGATTAACGAAGTGGCAGGTCCTGTCTGCAGAGGAGGAGGAGCAACTAAAAGAAAGCCTAGAACAACTAAAGGACTGCGGTGCAGTGGCCTGGGCACTGCATGCATGCGGTGCAGCTGTAGCTGGTGTGACCGCACAGGAAAGCCTGCAAGAAGACGAGGAAGCAGTAGAAAATAAAACGGTGAAGAAGCTTGAAGCCGTGCGGGATGAGTGCCCAGGCTGCACCAGTTGAGGAAACATGAGCTGTCGCATTAAGAATCTACTTCGCGTTTGTTGTGCCCCACTGCCTTGGAGATCCCGTTTGGCTGGCAAGAGCTTTAGTATCTTAGCACGCTCGAGAATCACAGACTGAAAGCATGCCTGGTAACTCAGGTTTTCTCACAAGGAGACGAAGGCTGTAGACAAGCCGCATCCTCACCAGGGGCTCGCACGTCAGACCTAGCCACAGCGGTCTGGAGCATGTCCTTGCATTGCTTTTGCTATCGAGCTGCACCTGCCACTGAGAGGCTCACAAAGAAGATCGAGAAGATGCAGAAGAAGGAGATCAAAGCCAAGGAGTGAAGCCAACTGTAAGCTTGGAGTAGAGTTGTTCACCTTCCAACATGGCCCCTGTGGTGCTGGATGTCCGAGTTCGACAGGAAAAGCTGCAGATGGTCCTCGAGAAGCTGGAGGACAGTCGCCCTGACTCTTGCGATCTTCGCCCGCGCGTAGCCAAATTTGAGCCAGCTTGCCATGGCAGAACAAGTCGAAGTCCACTCAGAAGAAATTGGAAGAAGTTGGCCCGGAGATCATCCAACGCATCAAGGAAGAGCAACTTGGACAGCAGACGCATGGCAGATGGATGCTGGCTCATCTATAGGCTAGCCACAGAGAGGCCGCGTGTGCTGCGTGCGTTTGTGTGTCAGGTACGAGGAGAAGAAGCGCAGCCTGGAACAGCAGTCCATCCCTCAACTTCCGTTGAAGCCACAAGGAGCAGGACACTCCTGCTCCTCACGCTCGTGTGACGGTGTGATATGCAATGATACGTTATTTTCCGTATGATCCGGCGATGCGCGGTATGTTTCATACTTGCGTTTTGTTTCGCGGGGGCGCGGGGGGGGGGGGGGGGGGGGGGGCTCGGATTGCTAAGGGCTGGGCATTTTGTTGGTCAAAGTTGCAGCTTCCTTCCCAGCACTTCACAGGCGAGTCGGTCCAATGTCTGAGAGCAAAAAAGCGCTTGTGGCAGCTCTGAATGGGAGCGAAAATCCTAGGATGCAGTGCTTCAGTTTAGGAAACCCTCTTGGCATGAGCCCAAGGTTTAAGGAGAAGGCCGCGCAGCTGAAGAAAGAGCAAGAGGAAAAGCAAAAGGAAGAGGAGGAAAAGAGAAAAGAGGAGGAGGAAGCAGAGAAGGAGGCGGCGGAGAAGGAGCAGAGCATTCGCACGCAAGCAGAGCTTGGCCCGCAGACGGCTACTGTGGCCTTTCTGTGTGGTGCATGGTCTCAGTCTAGTATAGAGCCTTCTAAGACTCTCAGCACTGCCCATTTTTATTTAGCTCACCAAGAGAGTAAGGATCGGATGTAACTGCGCTTGTGTGGGCTTGCGTGATGGGCTGCTGCGGATGCTTCAGGAGCTCGCCAAACAGAACGCAACCAAGCAGAACGTGACAAAGCAGACCATAGCAAAGTCTGCAAAGCCCGCAGTCGCTCCAAATGCTCCAAATGCCACAAAGGCGGGGGCTTGGGCTGCACTTGACTCTACTTGCGAGTGCTCTTCAGTTGCCAATAGTTTTGCCAATTCAAATGGTGTGGGGTGGATGCCAAAGCCAAGGCAGCGAGCTCCCAGTTCAAAAGCCAGTGGCAGGGCACCAAGCGGTTTGCAGAGATATTCGCCGTTGAGTGGCCATGTCCAGAAAGGAGATGCAAAGACCTGTGCTGCAAGAGAGAACACAATCATTGTAGTGCAGCCTGCGATTCTGACTTGCTCATGAAATCAGGGCGCGGCTAGGAAGCTGTGCTCCACATCAAGCCACTCAAAGTCCCTCGTGCGAGGCCAGATGCCGGACACTGGCTCCGAAGCCACACCGGCATCCTTATGCTGGCAGCTCTTGCACTTCGGCTCATTGAGATTGCCATCTCATATGAAAATTTTTCTCGCCACAAACCATGCTCCGCATCCTCTACAGGCAGTCTCCGCATCGGCGCTGCTTTTCTGCCGATCACTGCACCCAAAGCATCCAGCTTTGCTGGAGCCGTTGGTGTGAAGTGCCTGTGGCCAACAGGACATGGCAAATCATGGCAACGTTGGATTCGCTTGTGGTTACATCGTGCGCTTTGCAGACGTCATGCATGCCGCATTCCGCATTCAGCAGGAATAGAGTGAGCTCACATGAACAACTTTGCAAGACGGCCAGGGATCTGCACGAGCTATCCATCGTACAGGATGGATGGCATCTGTACAGGCTTTTCTGGGCATTCTATGGCATTCTGTGATGCTCTATGGGAGGTAGATGATCCAGTCAATGAGGGCCAAACCAAAGACCCGTCTCGCCTGGATGGGGCTCCTGCTGGCAAGGAGCTGATGTTAGAGGGGCTCAAAGGGCTCCTCTATCTTGCTTCCATATGTAGTTCATATGGCCGGCATTCCCATGCGTGGTGCATGGGAACTTGGCCTCACTTGCTCGATCTTATGGACGGGCGGCCCTCAGACGTCTCGTGATCAGGCAGTCTTCCCACGAAAACATCCCGTGCTTCAGGATTGGTTTCAGGGGTCCAAAGACTGTCAGGCAAGCGGCAAAGGGTTCGAGATGCAGTAGCCAACTGGCTCAAGTTGGAACCCATCCCCAACTTGAGTCAACAGCCATTCCGAGGGAGGTGCCGGGTTTTCGATTTCAATTAAAACCATGTTCATAGCAGGGCCTGGGCCGCTTAGCTGCCAGAGGCCACAGCGACATTTTCGCGCCAGTGTGTTCGGGGCTCCTCCTTCGCCTCCTATGTTTTTGCACCGGAAGTGTCGCACGAGGTCTTGGGACTTCCCAGGGTTGTGGGTCGCAAACAGAACAGAGTTGAACACATGCTGTTTCGGCGGGAGGAGGAGCATGCCAAACCCCACGCCCCTTTTAAACTTCTCCGCGAACAGGGAGGCAAGGGTGAAGAAGAATAAAAAGAAGAAGAAGAGGCAAAACGGCAGCAGCAGCAGAAGAAGAAGAAGAAGAAGAAGAAGAAGAAGACGACGAATAAGAAGAATAAGGAAGAAGCAGAAGAATAAGAACAAGAACATGAAGAAGAAGAAGGGGAAGAAGAAGAAGGAGAAGAAGAAGAAGAAGAACAAGAAGAACAAGATTGTGAAGAAATACCGAAGATGAGGAAGGCAAAGAGAGAGCGATAGAGTCTAGCAGTTTAGCCGAGTTTAGCCCAGCGGCATCTGGCACATGTTATTTGACTCAAGAGAAAAAGAGTAAGGACCGCCTTTGCCTCGAGCCCCCTAGAAAGGAAAAATGAATGAAAGGGCGACAGTGATGGTGCGCTGGATGGCTCAGCCAGGCACTGGTTCGGGCCAATACAGATGATGGCTACGACGGGCCGCCGCCGCCGGATGAGGCAGGGATTTGCCAGAGCTGAAGAAGGACTCGTTCAGCAATGGCTGAATATCCACTGCGGCACCGCCTAGGTCGCTGAGGCATATGCCCTGTTCCATGCTTAGCAGGGCTGGCAAGCAGGGCTTTCTAACCAGATCTGAACTTTGCATTGACATCTGGAGAGATAGTAGCTTCGGTGTATTTGAACATGAAAACAACTGCTGTGTCTCATTGAGTCACTGAGGCTTAATCTTCCGCTTAGTGCCTTGCGAAGCGACGTGCAACGCCGCAGTCGTGTCCTTGCTCGTGAGTGGCACCCCGACAAGGCGAGCGCTTCCCTCCCGCTTTCTCCGTTTCTTGTTTACTTTCATTTTTCTCTCTCACTCTCTCTCTTCTCTCTCTGCTCCCTGCTTCTCTTCATTTTCCCTCTCTCCTTCTCTTCGTTTTCCCCCTTTCTCTCCTTCTCTTCATTTTCCCCCTCTCTCCTGCACAGTCTAGCCACAGCGATTCTCAAGGCACCACCTGACCAACGAGTGGCCCAAGCACGTTTTTGAGTATTGTTTAGGTGAGCAAAAAGTTTACGGTGTCAGCTCCATGCCAGGTCAGAGCAGCCCGGCTCTTTCGCCAATTGCAAAATGCCAAGGTCGTGATCGCGGTATGAGAATCTTATTTCGGTGTTGCTGAGACCTGGGCTCTGCTGCGCCACAGCAAAACGTTGTGAGGAGAGAGTTCTGTCCTGGCTGCGGCAGAGCAGTTTTCCAGTATTGGATGGGCAGCAGCCACAGAGAAGACGAACTGGCAGCACCCACTCACACATGATTCTGTTGCTATTACACACTACACTGTTCCCACATGTAGTCTGGTCAGGTCGGATGACTCACCCTGCTTGGACAGCGCTGACGAGTGCGATGAGGACTGCAGGCACGGGCTGGCTCATTGCCATAAGCAGCGGAGGAGAAGTTACAGCGGTAACCAGCACCGGCAGCACCGGTAGCCGCACGACGAGGCCTCCTGAGGTTATGTTCGGCGAGGCCGGAGATGCAGCAACCTAAGCGCAGGCACATCCAACAGTTCCCATTTTGAACCCCAGACTCTGTGAGAGAGGGCTCGCTGCAAGTGATAGACAGCCCTGCTCCAAGCTTAGCGTCCTGCCGCAGCTCAGGTCAATGCAGATTTTGAGCAAGACGGATCTGGCAGTGAGTTGGAGCAAGAGGACCAGAAGGACTGCACAACACTAGCCAAAACTCAAGGGAATGAAAGGGACCAGGTAGTTGTATCATGATAGCTGTGTACAGTACGGTGTGAGTTTGAAGATGTTTCTTGGCAGGCAGCCTGCGTCTACAGAGGACGAGGGGACTCGCCAGACACTCTATCCAGCAGCCAGGACCTCAGGACTTCAACATCTTCGCACCATGTGTTCACGCTGTCTCACGCTGACCCTCGCGATTTTGTATGGAAGACTGGACCTGTCTTGCTGTGCATTGCTGATGGGGAGCTTGCCCTGTGCAGGTGAGGAGAGTGCAGAGGAAAAGGCTGGGCTGCTGTGGCATATCATCCCAGAAGCAGCTACGCTGTCAGCAATTTGAGTCAGTTGGGATTGTCAGCGCTGGAGGCGGAGACTGCCCTGGCACTGCGGAGCAGGGGCATCATTCGAACAGAGGAGAGCAGAATTGCAAGGGCTCGGCTCATAGCGAACAGAACACAACATAGAAAGGCCCTTCGGCGCTGTCTGTGGGCGAGGGCAGAATAAATGTGATTTTGTTAGACGTGCCGGCTCTGGCGGCTCCTGGGTGCACCGCAAAACAATGCACAGCATCTCTGTGCTCAGGAAGTCCTGTCGCAGCTTACAAAAGTACGGCCTGCCGAGAACAGCAGGAGCAGCAGTTGACAGACTCGACGGCCATCAAGGTGAGCCATCCGAAGCTCTTCCCAGCCCTACGCCCTACTCACGGCGCTGCAGTGCTGCAGGGTCCACATGCCAAAATGAGACCTCCGTGTGGCAGCTGCTGGAAGCTGCATTGGCTGATGCCCATCACGGCTTCAGCCGATTGAGATATGGTGCATGGTGTCGCTCCGATGCCGAATCAGTCTTGGACTGTTCCAAAAGAAGCAAGTCGTGGATCAGCTCTTTGGGCAAGCTTCCTAGTGGTGGATTGAACCAGGAATTTCTAGCAGCCTGTGGTACGTAGCAGGCTACTGAGATAGCAAACCGCCCGGGATCTGCACCGCCCATACGCAAAATTACCGAAACCACGTCCCTCAAACCGGATGCAGGTAACAGTATCAGGCCCCTCCCATCCATAGTTTGCTGACAGTGGCAACATGCCATATGACAACGCCTGCTGTCCACAGGGACATCGGGGATCTCATAGAATCCCGGGCTGCGACCCGCCGACCTGCCCATGTGCGGACGGAAGGGTCCAGAAATGTCCAGAACATTCCAGGATCCAGGTGTGTGATGCGTGTGACGCGTGCGCAACTTGGGGGGTTGGAGCGCGGCAGGTATCGTTCCTGGAAACAAGAGCCTTGCAGGGGTTCACGTGCCAAGAGCCTGCGTGAAGGACTCCGCTCTTGTTCAGGCCACTGCGTGTGAAGCTTAGCCAGTGGAAGATATCCACTCGTTAATTTGTCAGTGTGAAACTAGGCGGCGCGTGGGCTTGCGCATGGGCTATTTGCTGGCGCTATCTCGCGCTCGTGTCATATGTGTCGCTGCCGCTCGACTGTGTGCCCCATTGTGCAGATCGTCACAAGTTCGTCTGTCTATGTGTGTCTTTGTATCGGTAAGTTGTCCTTCCAGCAACTTGCAACCCATGGTTTTATAGACAAAGCTTTACAGCACGTCCATGAAGTTTGTGATGCATCAGTCGAACTTAGAAAGGACACAGCCCCGAGGGCGTAGAGGTCCCGCTTTTGGCGTTGCATATTCTACTAGTTTGCAGTTAGTTGGCCTCTCTGGTCCACCACCACAAAGACTCTTGTCTGGTAGTTAGTTGCTTTGCACCTTGTGTTTCCCGGTGCTTCATTCTGTTTCTCTTTCAATTTGTTGGGGGGCGGAGAGGGGATGGAGGGGTGAGGGGGCGGGGCAGGCGGGGGAGGGGGGGGATAATGACGGCGAACATGCCGAAAACACTTGTTTTGCAGCGTTTTGCTTCTTTGTACAACATGCTTCACGAGGACGATTGATATCTCTGGAACAAGACGAGCTGTCACAAGCATGCATGCCTTTTGTGAAAATGCAGACTTTTGGCATTCCCGCTCAAAAAGAAGTAGTTTCGGAAGTTCCATGAGCGCCGCACAGTTTGCATTTTCGAAAGTGCTGTGCCTGCCAACAGATCCGAAGATGTAAGCGCACGAAACGTCCAGGCAAGATAAGGCGCTGCAACCCAGTATTTACTTGCGAAAAGGTGCAAGAACGACAGCCAAAGCTTCGCGTCGCAGGTCGTACGTACACTAGCCGCTCGATGGTTTCTGTGCGCAGTGCTTGTCTCGCACGATGTTTGGTCGCCACACGTCCGTTGCTGCAGCAGAAGTATACATGTCTGGTGGCAGAGGCTTAGCCATTTCATGGCATCCCAGAAGAAACGGCAGCAGGTGATGTGTCGCAGCCTTGGTTACGCCAGTTAGCACAGGTACATAAGCATAAGAACTCGGAAAGGGTCCAGAGAAAAGAGTGATCAATTCCCTTTCTCTGGCGGCAGCGGCTCCACCGCCTTCGGCACCAAGGCAGCGAGTGCTTCCAGCGAAAGGTGAGCAAAGGCTCAGACCTGTGTCGATGGCTCAAAGTTGAAGCACTGGACCCTGCTCGACGTATAGGGACCTAAGACTTGACCAATCGCCAGACAAGGTTCAGAATGCTATGATGAGATGCGTCAGCTTCGAAGATGTCACGTTCTCAGTTTTGCTCTGGTGGGTTGCGGGATGGATTTCACGCCGACTGATTTTGTACTGAGGTCTTGACATGAACGCAGACTGATTCCATTGCTGGCGTTGTCGAACAACTGATGCGGGCCAAAGACTGGCTGCATCACTTTGACTAGTCTCGGTCCTACACAAGATAGCTTTCCTGCTTCTTGCTGTAGCAACCCTAGCTTGGCAGAAGCTTGTGCAAAAAACAGGCTGACCATTTGAGGCTGTGCGTTCAATGAGCGAGTGCAGCGAGCTGTACACCTGGACCCTGTGCAGCACGAGAGCCTCTCCTACCTGGTCTTTGATTCCCTGGGCAGCATTTGTCCGGAACAACTGCGAGAGGCCTTGATCGTCCAGCCTAACTGACACAGCGTCGTGACCTCGTGCGACAGGTTTGTCGCAGCATCCAGTCCTTTCACGAGGAGCCATGCCCGGCTTGCAACACTCGTCGCTCCTAACATCTAGGGCGGCCGAAAGGGCGATGAAAGTCTGAGTCGAGGGTAAAGTGCACAGACTAAACGAAGAAATCAGCCACGGCTTACTGGCTTACTGCGCGACGTGTCAGGAAACCTAGGCTTGGCTAAAACAATCAGTTGAAGCTAGGGCCTGGCTGCCTGAAAAGCTGTTGTGCTGTTGTCGAACCGTTCAGCTCCATGAAGCTCTACAGCACAAGCCGTGGGTGCACGCGTGCGACGAAGCGGGAACCAAGTGCGGTGCGACTAGTTGATACTAGTTGTTTGCATGTTGACTTCGCAACTGACACCCTGGAGCATCCCTTGCAGGATCTAGACAGGGATGGCGCCGATGCTCTCGGCGCAGCCTTTGGCATGCAAGGTGCGCATTCCTTTAACTGTTTGGGTTTGTTTGGCAGCGAAGTGGGTTTTCCCGACGTTTCCCGACATTTGCAGTGGTAAGATGTGGCAATTTGCCGACTGTGCCGAGCTGCCGAGCCAGGTATCCTTTGTCGTGTGCCGGAGTATGTCGACTCGATCGCGCAGGTTCGCTAAGCTTCGACACTTCTTGAGCCTCGGATGCCTCGCAGTCCGAAGTTGACAGCCCGATCTTGGTGCACAGGTTAGCCAAAGCCTCATGTGGGGGAAGGCCGTCATTGAAGAGGCAAGGCTGTCATGCTGCCAACAATCCGCAGCTGCTCTTGCAACCACACTATACTGAATCAGACCGCTGCCGATGTAGCTGCTGCTGCCTCCTGGGACGCTGTCGCTGAAGGTTGTGGAAGGCGCTAGGAAGTTCCATGCGCTCTGATCGAGGATGAAGCTCCTTTCATGACACCAGCTAGGCTGTTACGTTTTCTGGGGAAGTTTCTGGCATGGTGCTCTTGGAACTGCAACATGCGCCAAGACCGGAAAGTGTGTGATTGATGTTTCCGCATCAGTGCAGGCAATTCCGCATGCTCTCAGCAGTTGCAGAGAAGCCGTCGAGCCATTGGTCCCGAAGGACTTCAAAAAACCAGATTTCACGTAGCCCATCATGCTCTGCACACCTCATAAATGCGTCAGGAACCAAGACCGAGCTTTGCTTAATGGACTGCAGCAGCTGCCCATGATCACAGCTAGCCTGTGCCTCAGAGCCAAGGGCAAAAGCTGTCTATTTTATGTGTGCAGTTCCGGCAGCCTCTGACAAGCTTCGATCCTAAAAGCCTGTAGCCGGAGCAAGAACAGAAGCCTTGCACCCTTTCGCTGTTCGCGCTGTTCCACGGTGTTTGCGCTGGGCTGCGGTGTTCCACCGTGTTCGCGCTGTTTGCGGTGTTCGCGGGCCGCTATGGTGTTCATGAGCGGATGTTCTAGGACGAGTTTTAGGCATGGTCAGGCTTCATCATTCGAATTCCGTTGATGAAATGAGCGCGACGCTGATACCGAAAGGTGTGGTGCATCCTTAGGCGGCCGTGCAAGCAGATCTGCAAGTCACACGCGCACAAATGCCTCGAACCAACACTGCGATGTGCCGTTGTTTGGGAGCAGCGCAAGCAGTATAGCCTGAGCCCACATCTCGAACAAAGATCCACTCGATCATTGCTAGCAAGGCTTTGATCCAAAGATTTTCCCCAAGTCACCTCATCTTATTTGTGCATTAGTCGTGCCTCTGCTTCTCAGCATCCCCGTGGACTTTGAAGCATGAGCCCCGCCTTGGCCCCTGAACAAAATAAAGGCGTCAACTGGCGGAGTTTACTTTGAGCTGAGGTGAAGTGACAGAGATGGAGGCATGGAGCATGCTGGCTTTTGTACTCGAACTTTCTTTTTTACGGTCCGACGGTGGCAGGGCGATCGGCTGCGGCCTGAGCCCGAGTCTTTGACCTCCTTTGGCACATCGTGGAGCTGCAAGCGAGGGCATCGAAGGCCGCAAGCAAAATGCCGCGGGGCGGCTGATGAGTTACTCCATGGTGCAGCAAATCCTGCAGCCGAAGTCGCTTTTGCAGGATCTACACTTCAGGTAGTAGGCATTTTAGCCTGTAAGGACGGACCAGCGGAGGATAGGTTATCCAGATCTATTGAGTCCGCGCGCGCTGCTTTTGCAGAGCTTTGGGACGGTGGCAATCCGGACTTGGAACCTGCCACAGCTTCAATGAAAGAGGCCCTTCAATCCAGTGATTGTAGCTGCTGGAGCCAGGCAAGTTCCTGCTTCCGGAGATCTTTGAGCGCATGTAGCTTTGCTGCTTGCGAGTTCGCCTTGCTGGTGATGAAATGTTCTTCAGGCACGGAGTCGTGGCTGCAACCCGCCAAAAGGCTGGAGGCCCTGAGCACCGCTCTGAGCAGCGCAGTGCAGGCTTTGCATGAAGCGCCGGATGACTTTGTGCCGCCACCTCGCTGCGACAACGGCGACGGCGACGACGGCACCAGTGACAAGGGTCGGTGGCGCCCTTTCGTCGTGGGTTCCTTTGGACAGGCTTGTCTAGGCTCCATGCTGACCTGTCTTCTGATTCTGATCCCCGTAGCGGTGTGGAGCACCCAAGTGCTCCCCAAATCTGGGTCCAAGAAAGCGAAGGCTGGCCAGGAAGACCTTCATGCCTGCAGAACAGCTCTGAAGGACTTTCTTCAGGCCTTACTTCGTGCTACAGAGCTGCAGTCAGACGCGGTAGCAGCCGCAAAGAAGGATGCAAGCGAGTTGCTGCCACAGCGCCCCTCGACTGTCGCCGCGAGCCTGTCGGGTCCTGCGCTGGAACAGTTCGAAGCGCTTCGAACCGAGATGGAGGCAGCGATCCTTGAGACGCAGCGAAAGCAACTCAAAGGATTGGGGGACATGCTGGGACAACGCTCAGCGCTCTTGAAATCTCGTGGTGCTTTCAAAGTTTGAGCACACGGAGCGTCCCCAAGGCAGAATGCCGATTGATTTTGCGGTTGACGAAGTCCCTATTATTGTTTTAGGGTCCCTAGGATATTGGGGATCTCGATGGTCCCGAAAACTCTAGCTAGCAGGTTTCACGCGTTCGTCAGATACGGTCCTTAGCGGCCTTGGCGGACTCTGATGGGCAAGCTCGCAAAAATGCTGCATGGAAGCATTGCCGGAAGTTTATGCCAGAAAATCCTCAGCATGTTGCTGTTATCTGTTTCATCTGAACGCTGGTCGCCTCCTTGTGGCACACGTTGGGATCTTGGGGATCGTGGCCGGAGGCACTGACAGCAATCTCCGCATCATTTACCCATGCGGCATAGCTGCATGACGGCAGCAGGAGCTCCGGGTAGAAGCATACGACAACGTCTCCAGACACCTACACAGCCCTTTTGCGGGTAGACTGCTAGCCACAAGTTTCCTCTCGGCACTCTTGGAAGCGTGAACGCGCGATGCAGGACCTCTTTTTTTCCATGTTTCCAGTTTTGTTGTGGTCATTTGAGCTGCCAGAAGTGTTGCTCATGTTTTTCACATTCTGTGGTGTCGCAGTACGCTCCCTTCGCCCAACTTCCAGCCCCCGCTGGCCTTGTTGGCCGGAGACTGAGCCCGGCGGGAAATGAATGTTTCTGCAGGGTAAAGCTCTTTGCTTTACAAGGCACTCGATCAGATCAGATTGTGCTGCCGCCGGCGACTGAGAAGTGAACTGGATGTCTGGTCTTCTCATAACGCATTGTTCGCTTGAAGCATACACATCTCGAAGCTGATCGCAATTATCGAAAGAGGGCCGCGCGCAAGGTCGCACAGAAGGGAGTCGAGGGTGCCATGGTGTGCTTCTAGAGTGGTTTGGGCTCTAGGGCGGTGTGCTCACCACATCCTAAATTCCAGCAACATCACGAGCTGCCCTCACAATGGGTGTGCGTCATCAGCACGGCGGGTTGGGAAGGGACCCCTCCCCGAATGAGCCGGGTGAGAGCACGAGAGGGCCTGTACCGTTTTGTCAGGCCTGGGGGTTGGATTTCAATCAGTGAGCAGCCTGTGTTTCAACATCTCAGGGCAGCTCTGAGCGACCTGAAGGCTACTTCGGAGGAGGCTGCCTTGTCCAACCTGCTGACACGCAGAGTAGTGAATGAAGTAGTGAAGGAAGTTCAAAAGTACAGCAAGACAAGCTGAACGTGGCACAAGGAGACACAGAAGATTTTCAAGCTTGCTCGTGATGCCGTTGCCTTGTGCGTCCTTGTGTGTCCTTGTGTATGGGTGTTGGGTCTGAGACAATGCCGAGTCTGCATGGGCCTCGAGGTTGTGTCGGACCATGACAAGTGGTTGTCCACGCTGAAGGAGGAAGAGGCACCTCCATTGGCAATTCGCGCACTGCGAGGGGTGTGCTCACAAATGCTTGTGAACATGTCTGAATCTTCTGAAGCCTGGAAGGCGAACAGGAAGGAACGGCAGGAACTTCTGCGTGTCGTAGCGCAGACCTCTGGTCCCGTTGAAAAAGAAGTGAGATGCTCAGACCGGTCCTTTTCCATCTTCACCAGCCCTTGTCGCGCCTGCCCACGAGGCAACATTGAACTTTCAGATGCCCGGCGGCTCGCAGGTGCATTCGCTTCGAAGACATTAAAGTTTTAGTGATAGCAACGGTTCTCGGATGTTCTAAGCTGGTTTAGGCGTCAGACAAGTTCGACGTCGAGGCCACTACGGCCTTCGACCTCAACTCCAAGGTCTCAATGCACACGCTATTTGCACACGCTATTTGCACAATATGAAGAGCCAGGCCAGACTTCAGACTTCAGCCCGTTGCTGTGAGGCTTACCAGCTTCTGAGCAACACACGCGACCCATGGAAAATCACAGCCTCGCACGCAGCCGTGTGAGACATGCGAAGCTCTTCGCATGGACCGTCTGTCACTGAGGTTACAGGCCCTACGGCTGGCTCAGCTACTTCGATCTCAGTCGAAGTGAGCGAGGCCAGGCGCATGCATTCAGCAGTTCATCAGCTCCTCCGAACATCGAACAACAGTCAGAACTCATGCAGGTGTAGCAAGGAGACATCTATGAATCGAAATTACGCTGCATCAGCAGTCGACTGACGTTGACATGTTCCTCTGCAGGCAATGTATGGGCAGAGCTTGGCCAGTCTGAGGCTTAAGATTCAAGAGCCTTCAAAAAGAGCCTTTCAAAAGAGCCCCTTTCAAATCATTCAGACGGACTTGTCACAGACCCCGACATGTTTTCAATTGTGGTGCCTCTCTGAGGTCTCGGGGTTGTGCCAGGCTGCAGCTACGCCGTGAAAATTGTACAGTAAGGTGGGTCAGGCTTTGTGAAGGTGACCTTCAAGCAAAGAGTTGAAAAGTTGCAGTTAGATTCATTCAGGCAATCCCATGCACAACGAGCTGACCACTTGCTCTGCGTGAGCAGCCCCGTCTCTAGGGCGTGCGACCAGTACAGGGTGCGGCGTCTGGAAAATTCCTGTATTGCAACTCAGCCTTAAATACAGCACTCCAAGTTCCAAACTTCCAACCTGAGATAGGTCGCGGCCCATGGCGGCCGGAGTACTTTTTGCTGTGAAATCCATTCCACGAAGCTGCATCGGTCAGCCAGGATCGGGCATACTTTAACTCAACATGATACTACATCTGAGCTCCACTAAGAAGTCTGAAGCTAGAATGACATTCTGACCAACTGTTCTCACTGCGCGGTGGGTTCCTGACGGTCAGGCTCAGTTGGTCCGGGCCTAGCCACTTATTCTCCTTCCCGCAGCTTCGCAGGCTCCTGGACAAAGACAGAACAGCAAGCTTGTAAGCTTTCACTAAACAGAATGCCAAGCCAGGCATCAAGGGCAGTGTGCACCAAGTCTGTAAGAACCTTTGCCTTATGCCTCGCAAAGCAGCCTGAAGAGTAAGTAGGGCGAGGACGGTTAGCAGGGCCTCAGGCCCCAATGAGCTCGCTTTGTGTACCTCCTGTTGATATGACCCCCCTACTTTTGGAATACCATTAAGCCATAGAGCCCCCCCCCCCCAACTAAGACTCTGCCGATGCGGTTGCAGACATGAGCTGCTGTGTCGTCGCAAACCCTTCAGAGTTGCAGGCGCCTCCAGACACGCCAAGGGCTCTGGGTGGTGGATTGTCTTATCTTGTGTAGGGTCCAGAATACAGGTGCGAATGGGTTCATTTGGGTACAGACATTCAGGTTCATAGACAGTATCAGGTTAATGTTACCATGTCAGCATAGTGCTGATTCGGCACCTGATTTTCCATGTATTTGTTTTGGGCATCTTCGTGCAGTACCATGCAGGATGCAGAAGATTCGAGCAGATTCGGCGAGTCGGTTTCGCAACTCCAAGGGTCTTGACATGCGCACGCCCCTCTAACCAGACGGACTCGCAGTTTTTTTGACACATTGCGCGTTCCAGTAGCAGTCAGTTGGCCAGTGTGCAGCCTCGCCACGACGTGAGGCCCAGCTCAATGAAGCTCAGCGTGCGCTCGCAGACTCGCGCAGAGCTCTTTCTGCTACGAAGAAGGCGAAGTTATGCATGAGTCGGATGAGTCTTATTTTCGGTGCTCGCAGTGAGGATCTCTGAGGCCTCAGAGCCCTGTGCCCAGACGTGAAACATCAAGGTAAGCGGGAGCCATGGTTATCGTGCCAGGCTCTCGCAGATGCAGAGAGGTCACTCCGGGACCAGGCTGAGGCAAGGAACTGCTCAAATCACAGCACGAATCATGAGAAGGTGTCGCTTTTTAGCAGATTTGAGCAGATTTTGGCAGATAGCTTGGAACCTTTGGACCCGCAGAACCGCAGTGCCCTGAGATGCCTTGACGAACCCGCGACTTTCAAGGCCTATGGTTGTCTCCGACGCTGCTTCGATGGTGCAAATGCACCGGTAGTTGCGCTGAGCCTAACTTTCCCACCTTTCCACGTTGGAGCCGGTGTGATTGCAGCGGGGGGAGGGGGAGGTTGCTATCTGATTTCGGGGTAAGAGTTCTGCTGTGTGTGAGAGGGCAGCTTCATAGACAAACCGGAGCATCAAGTTGCGGTTAATCGTTGTTACTGACAAGCAGGCAGGCATGCTTTCAGCATGCCGTCTTGCGCTTCACATAGTTTTGGCAGCGCTGTTTAGAACCAGAGTATTCAGAACTTGCAGCAGGATTGGGCATGTGAGAGAAAGTTTGCCTGTGCCAAGGCTGTGGACCGTTACGGCCTGATCACTCGGTGGAACAGGAAAGCTGAGGAAGTCTTTGGCTGCCCCTGCGAGTCTGCTCTCAGGCGCGCCTCGTCAACTAGGGAGTCACTAGACTGCGGGCATGCTCAGATGATTCTGGGGCATTCGCAGGAGACCCTTCTCCGAGTTTCTCGAGACAGGAGACCAGCCGGGCTTGGCCGACCTTCAGGAGTCTTGCTTGCAACCGAGTGTCACGGGTCTGCAATCTAGACACAATGCCAACGACCTCTTCGATCAAGTGTCAAGCCAAGGCAGCCATCACCTCCAAAGCGGTTCTGCATCTCAGATGAATCAAGCGACCACACTTCAAAACCATGGTTTTTGATTACACTAATGATCAGTGCTGTAGATGCAAGGGAACAGACAAACCAATCCCGATTAGGATGTGATCCCCCGCGTCAAGTCTGGCCAGCCCGACCCAACCTCACAACCATACACCACACGACAAAGTGAAATTGAAACCGTCTGAGCATGAAGATGACACTAAAGCTCTCATGAAGAGTTGTCTGCAACTCCTTATGACACTTGCATCCTGTACACTGACCACCTGGTGACTACCTGTTCCAAAGAAAGCGCACCCACCGTTGAGGGTAGGACCGCAGCGACGCTTTGAGCATCCTCTGGAACCCAGCTGCTCTCTAACGGTCTCTGACGGGCAGGAGAAGCAGTTACAGGGCAGCATTTTTCTGTGTACTTTACAAGACATGCTATCCTGTGGACATTCTGGTGCGCTCAACTTGTGCAACTCGTGAGAAACACCTGTTGCGGGCAACAAATGCAACAACTGGCAATGCTCTCTGCAAGTAGAGCTTCGGAGGTCTCCCAATGGGGTGGCCCACTTACAGCGACGCTTCTGCGTGCACTCCCGAGCGGCTGGGCAGCCGTGGCATGAGGTGGGAGGCAATAAACTCATCTTCAAGCGAGTGCGCACCTTGTTAGGAACTGACGTATCCTAACTGCCTTAGGCAAAAATGCAACAGCGCAACTGAGATGCAGAGCCCTGCCAGTACAGTGAAGAGGGCTTTGAGGGACTGTCAGGGCAGTTCGAGCAAACCGCAAGCTAGCAATCGCGAGATGAGCGAGATGAGCCAGCTTTGTGTCGCTCCTATGTTGGCGTTTTGGTCCTTCACGTCAAGAACAGGTTCGGCCCTACCCTGCTTTATGGGTAAGAGAGGTGTTTTTTTCGTCAAGTCGGCCTAGGTGGTACTGTCCGGTTGAGCCCAAAGCCGACCTACAGCAACAAACGGCTGCGAAACGTAGGCACGGAACCAGTTCTTGACGGTCTTAACTCTCCTTGCAGGTTCTTTTTCTGGCATCCAGCTGTCCAAGTGCCAGCAGCAAGGACTCGTCCGGCGTGCTGTACATCGGTCAGGACGATGGAGTCAATGAAGAGCAGTTCAAATTGCTGTGAGAGCGCAGTTGCTCTGCACGATAGGAAGTCACGGGCTTGCTCAAGAGCTCGCACTCTTCTGAAGTGACCCTGCAAGATCGTCTCATCCGACGCTTGGATCTGGACATCATGTGGCAAAATGGCACCGAGATTTGAGACACTGGGAACTTTTCAGAGCTATCCTGTTCAGGAGAGGTGAATGCCCCTTTGATTGCGGTAGACAAATCTGGATGTGTGGAGGAGCCCTCTGGGGACATGACACGAGTTGCGCATTATGGCGCATTGCGGCGCATTATTGCGCATTGGCATGTGCATCCGTGATCTGCAGGAGTGGAACCGTGGGACCGAGCTTCTGATGGGCTTTACAAAAGAGGAAGCTGTCGGAAAGAAGCTGGTGCAAAATTTCATTGCTGACGAGTTCTCTGACTCTGTACAGACCATGCTCTCCCAGGGCATGAATGGTCAGGAGCTCGGGTCTGTACTGACGAAGTCTTGATCGGATTAGCAGACGGTCTTTCAGCTGCTCCCTGCTCGGATTCAACAAAGCGATGCGGGCTGATCACCTCTGGGTGGAGCCCTGCTGAGTCCCAGCATCTGAGAAGTAGACTGCATGCATGACCCCTTGCAGGAGATCACAAACTATGAGTTTTCCCTCTGGACGAAGAGTGGGCAGCGAAAGGATATTTTGTGGAGCGCTACTGCCCGCCGCGATCGCCATGGAAACATCGTGGGCGTGATCGGCATCGGTCATGACGGGTCTGTCGAGAAATTGTAAGTGTTGTGTGAGCGTTGTGTTTCAGAGCTGCGGCTGTGCAGCTGCACAACATTCGTGATGATCCGCCATGGTGGATTGCACATCAGCCCAGTGCTGAACTCGTGACCCTTGCCTGAAGGACATTACCGAGCTACGCTCCGAGTCGAAGATGCTGGCAAACTACGTCCGCATATGTGGCGCGGCGGTCTGGTCCCTGAAGGGGAATGCAAAGACGGGAGTGATCACCGAGCCTTGAAGGCACGAACCGACAGGCACTGATTGAGGTGGATGGCATCTTGCAGCTATGTTCCCTTCAAAAGTCTGTGACCTTGTGACCTGACAACTCTGGCAAACTCAGGACAGCAAAACGCGAGAGATCGAGCATCTGATCTCGCAGCAGGCACAAATGGACATCTGCGATCCACGGATGGTGCTCTGGCGCGCCTCCTTCGTCTCCATCCTCAAGACCATGTGCCGGGAAGCCCAGACTCGGCAAATGGTATGCGCAGCAGAACTTACTTAGTTTGTATCTACATATGTGTAACATACACTTGGTTAATTTGTAGAAGTTATTACTTATATAAGATATGTGTATCATAAAATCTAGAATATAAAATGTAATCTGATATGTTTAAAAATTAAAATATACAATCCCTAATATAATATATATATATATATATGAGGCAGGAACCTTTGTGTATAATGTGATGATTCGTCCTTTTGTTTGGGGGGGGGGGGGGGGGGGGGGTTTGAATAGTTTGAATAGTTTGGGGGGTCACGCCTGGGGCCCTAAACTATTCAAACTATTCAAACCCTGGTGGTTTGAATAGTTTGAATAGTTTGAATAGTTTTGGGGGGTCCCTGGGAGGAGAGGAGGGGGGGGGTTTGAATAGTTTGAATAGTTTGGGGGTCCGAACTGGGGCCCTAAACTATTCAAACTATTCAAACCCTGGCGGGGGGGGGTCCGGCCTGGGGCCCTAAACTATTATTCAAACTATTCAAACTATTCAAACTATTCAAACTATTCAAACTATTCAAACTATTCAAACTATTCAAACTATTCAAACTATTCAAACTATTCAAACCCTGGGGGTTTGAATAGTTTGAATAGTTTGAATAGTTTGAATAGTTTGAATAGTTTGAATAGTTTGAATAGTTTGAATAGTTTGAATAGTTTGAATAGTTTGAATAGTTTGAATAGTTTGGAGGGTCCGGCCTGGGCCCCTAAACTATCCAAACTATTCAAACTATTCAAACCCTGGGGGTTTGAATAGTTTGAATAGTTTGGATAGTTAGACTCACAGTTAGACTAGTTTTGGGGGGTCCCTGGGAGGAGAGGAGGGGGGGGGGTTTGAATAGTTTGAATAGTTTGGGGTCCGAACTGGGGCCCTACACTATCCAACCTATTCAAACTATTCAAACCCTGCGGGTTTGAATAGTTTGAATAGTTTGAATAGTTTGAATAGTTTGAATAGTTTGAATAGTTTGAATAGTTTGAATAGTTTGAATAGTTTGAATAGTTTGAATAGTTTGAATAGTTTGAATAGTTTGAATACTTTGAATACTTTGAATACTTTGAATAGTTTTGGGGGGTCCCTGGGAGGAGAGGAGGGGGGGGGGTTGAATAGTTTAAATAGTTTGGGGGTCCGGCCTGGGGCCCTAAACTATTCAAACTATTCAAACTATTCAAACCCTGGGGGTTTGAATAGTTTGAATAGTTTGAATAGTTTGAATAGTCTTGATAGTTTTGGGGCGCCCTGGGCGGAAAGGGGTGGGGGGGGTTTTGAATAGTGTGGAATAGTTTGGGGGTCCGAACTGGGGCCCTAAACTATTCAAACTATTCAAACCCTGGGGGGGGGGGTCCGGCCTGGGGCCCTAAACTATTCAAACTATTCAAACTATTCAAACTATTCAAACTATTCAAACTATTCAAACTATTCAAACTATTCAAACTATTCAAACTATTCAAACTATTCAAACTATTCAAACCCTGGGGGTTTGAATAGTTTGAATAGTTTGAATAGGTTGGAGGGTCCGGCCTGGGGCCCTAAACTATCCAAACTATTCAAACTGTTCAAACCCTGGGGTTTTGAATAGTTTGAATAGTTTGAATAGTTTGAATAGTTTGAATAGTTTGAATAGTTTGAATAGTTTGAATAGTTTGAATAGTTTGAATAGTTTGAATAGTTTGAATAGTTTGAATAGTTTTGGGGGGTCCCCGGGAGGAGAGGGGGGGGGTTAGAAACTATTCAAACTATTCAAACTATTCAAACTATTCAAGCCATTGAAACCCGGGGGTTTGAATAGTTTGAATAGTTTGAATAGTTTGAATAGTTTGAATAGTTTGAATAGTTTGAATAGTTTGAATAGTTTGAATAGTTTGAATAGTTTTGAATAGTTTGAATAGTTTGAATAGTTTGAATAGTTTTGGGGGGTCCCTGGGAGGAGAAGGGGGGGGGGTTAGAATAGTTTGAATAGTTTAGGGGGGTCCCTGGGAGGAGAGGGGAGGGGTTTGAACAGTTTGAATAGTTTGAATAGTTTGGGGGCCCGGCCTGGGGCCCCAAACTATTCAAACTATTCAAACTATTCAATCTATTCAATCCCAATCACCCGAAGAACGGGGGGGTGGTGCAGGTGCTGGAGGCAAGGAACAAGGATTTGGAGGTGGAGACCTGCTCAACACTCTGGTGGCAGGGATGGCACAGCTCCAGCAGGCACAGATGGCGATGCTCAATCGGAAGGATGAGACCCCAGAGCAAGTCAAGCCGGGAGTAACGATCCTGGCGGTTTTGGGACCTCCAGGAACGCCGGAAAGCGCTGTGGCGGTTCAGGACTGGGTGGAACTGATTGACAGTCCTATGTCAGACATCAGCGACACCAGTGCGGTGTGGTGGAAGGCGGTGAAGACGAGGGCCCAGGACATGTATCAACAGTGGGTCAATAGCACTCCGTACGACCGCCTTCTCCTCAAGGATCCTTCTCCTGGGGACTTGGAGCTCGGGAAGTATTCCCGGGTAAATATGAGGGCAGCTGGAATGATTCTGAGTGCTCTTCCTGATGAGATTCAACGAGAGATGGTTTCAAGGCAGTGTGCAAAGAGCACTTTGGGGATCATCTATCGTGTCTTCACCTGTATGCCCCGGGTGGCGAGAAGGAGAAGACCCACATCCTTCGTTCATTGTCGGAGCCGGCAAAGTGCAGTGATCCTGATTCCGCTGCGAAGTCGTTGAGGCAGTGGGAAAAGTGGGTTACAAGAGCCAAAGAGCTGTCATTGGTGTGCCCTGATCCAGTCGTGCTCACCCGAGGCTTGGGTTTGATCGTGGGTGAGGTGTTGTCCAAGTTTCCGGAGTCGGAGTTCAGAACGAACCTCATGCGCAACAAGCTCCAGGTTGACACAAATCCGAACCTGGAAACCACAATGCGCTACCATCAACATCTTCGAGCTGAGATGGAGTTGCTCTCTATGGCAGGCGCTAAGCAGACACCGACCCCGGCGAAGGCAGCCCCACAGCAGAGCGATACCAAGCTGAAGCCTTTCCGACCTGAAGAGTCAAAGGGAAAGGGTAAAGGAAAGGGCAAGGGCAAGCAAGACGGGTCTGAGCAAAAGGAGGGCGACCAGCGATTGTGCCAGTGGTTTGCAAAGGTTCCAGAAGGGTGTCGCTTTGGACGAAATTGTCGCTTCAAACACACTTTCGAAGGAACTACGAAGAGGGACAAATGCCTTGAATGTGGAGGTGAAGGTCACTTCGCTGCAGCATGTCCTACGAAGCAAAGCCCATCCCCGAAGGCAAAGTCTGACCCTAGTGCAAGGCCGAAAGGTTCTCCTTCGAAGCCTACGACTACAGCTAAAGCTGAAGTTCTTCCTCAAGATGGGATCCAATCCACCTCGACGCCTCAGGAACCCGAGCCTCAGCCAACTTCACCTTCCTCGACATTGACCTCTACTGTGTCGGGATCAGGATCTAGAGAAATGCATGCTGCGGTGTCGGAGGCAGCCCAGGCGTTGAGATCGTTGGTGGGACAAGGGAATTCGCCAGAGGGTCGAACAACACTGGAAGGTCTACAGCGACAGCTTGATGAGTTGAGGTTGAGGGCTTTGAGGGTGACCGATGATTTCGACTTCGGGAAGCTGAAATCCTTTATGGACAAGCGAGTGTTCCAGGAAGCCCTGAAGCCCCCCAACGTGCTCATCGACTCTGGTGCCACGAACATCATGAGACAGCCTAAGGGTGAAGAGGAGTGGAGTTCAGCTTCAAAGGTCAACGTGGTCTTGGCGAACAACGAGAGTGCCCAGCTCTACCAGAACAGTGCAGGATCGATCTTGGCCTCGTCGTTGGATATACAGTCCCTCCTTCCGATGGGCGACTTAGTGAAGATTGGGTGTGAAGTTCATTGGGGAAAAAAGGGGCTGAGGATGAGACACCCAACTCTTGGGGTGTTAAAGACAACCTTGAGGTCGGGATGCCCGGAACTCAACTTGGCTCAGGCACAAAACCTTTTCGATCAGATTGAGGCGGAGAGGATTCGTGAGCTGGAAAAGGGTGCTAGGGAGCTGGAGGTGAAGTTGGACCATTTGATGGCGAAGGAAAACGAGAATTGGTCTACGTCCTTTGAGCGCTTTGTCAAGACCGGGAAGAAGATCGACCTGTGGAAGGGGATTGAAGGATCGTTCCTGAAAGGCCTTAGCCCAGTGACCAGGGACGCTTTGCCAGTGGATGTGAACATTGAAAAGGGCACTAGGGTTTAGAGGGCTTAATTCGGGGGCGTCAGGGGTTTTAGGGCTTCTGGGAGCTTGAAGGAGTTTACGGACTTGGGGCTTAGGGCTTTTTGGAGCTTCGGGGGCTCGAGGACTTCTTAAACCTGGATCAAGAAGAAGCCCTAGACTTGGTCCATTGGTGGCGTGCTTAGGGGTTAGGGGTTTAGGGGTTTAGGGGTTCATTGTTTAGGGTTTAGGGTTTAGGGCCCTAGATCCGAAGCCTTAATCCCCCAACCATAAAACCCTAAACCCTCAAACCCTAACACCCTGAACCTCAACCCCAAAACCGTGAGCTTAAGGTTTAGGATTTTGTGTTTAGCGTAGATTAAGTTCCTCAACAAGAACCGGTCCTATCCTATTGTTCCATGCTAATGTATTCAAGGCAATCGCTTGCTTGAAACACTCTAATCTCCTCAAGGTAAATGTCCTAAATACCGCACCACACAATGAAGTGCAGATACGTTCTTTAGGAAGATGTCAAGGCTGAGCCAGATGCACACCCGGAAGGCGGACCGGTCATCCTCAACAGAAATCCAACGGAGAGAAAGAGAAAAAACACAGAGAGACGCTTTCTATAATATTTAAAAATTATTATTTTATAATAATTATTTATTATAAGTTATGAATATTGTGCAATATCCTGCACCGGCTCCACATTCATCTCGCCGACATCTTGCAAGCATTTTCGAAGATCCTCCATCGTCATGACTTTTTTTGACGGGGATCTCGGCTGCGATGTGCTCCGCCAGGCCTTTCTTCTCCACCAG